TCTTTTAGGGCGGATCAGGGGAAATAATCTGGATAAGGTACGACGTATAGAGTATTGCAGTTCTGCTTAATATTGAGAAGCCGGATCTATGTCAGGACTGAATAATGCTGTCAGTTCTACTCATTATGGACATATAAATTACTTAGATAGACTTGAGAAATAGAATCCGTAATTTGACATAAAACAAGCGCAGCCTGTCTTTTTCAACTCCATTAAAACTTATGTCATGTGGGATGATTTTCAAGTGACCATCTACTTCAGAACCCCGCCCCCTTTTTCTAAGCGAGCATCCTACTAGACTTGCAATTCGTCTATTGACCTTTAGAGCAATGCTCGATGTGGTCGACAAGTGCCAATGGCAAGAAATATAGCCCATTTCAATTACTATAATCTTCGAATAGCCCTCCAAACAATTTATTATTCTGCATCTCATGTAACTAAATCATGTGACCGGCAAGCAATGCATCCTTCGTGGCGCAGCTCCCTTCTCTTCAACCTCACACTTCTAATTCAACGTGGACTGAACCTGGACTTGTTTGAACAGCAACTTGGTTGAAAGCTGTACTCGAGCCCTGAAATCTCCATAATCAACCAATATTCAACACAGACTGTGCCCCAGAAATCGGGCAGGGTGAACCAAAATACCTTACCTTACGCAGGCAGAAATCATGACACACGATTCAGCACCAGCTGCGGATACATCTCATGCATCTCATGGTGGAGATACTTTTCCAGATACCAGTCATCATGTATGCAAACTCTTCTATTCCGTCCTCTCAAGATCAATACCAGAGTCTTTTTTCCCTTCCGAATGCCTTGCTCACGTGACTAGAATGACCACCCCACCCAGCTTCGACGATCACCAGCATACCCACCATGGGGTTCCTGAACCCGAAGACCATCATCACCATCACCACATGCGCCACCATGATGGCCCCGATCCACCATATGACGACTCATCTGAAATCCAGCCCTTATTCCCACCTCCAGCTTATAGCTCTGCTAGGCAGGTAAACGATGATGAAAGAGGATAGTATCAACCTCCGACTAGACATGGAAACATGTGGAATATGAGAAAAGTATACGGTGGGGTTTTCATAGCTCTCTTCTTTATAGTGTGGTTTGGAATGTTTATGTTCATGTTAAGTAACGCTATACGACGCATGAGGATGGACTATCCACCCTAGCCTTAATTGGTCTTCGCGATGAATTGGGGATATAGGCTTTTGAATTTCCAACTTCAATTTCATAGAAAAGTCTACATACGAGGATGCAAAGAAGGGCAAGATTTTTGCAGACCGCAGCATATGCACCAGGAATGGAAATCGGTGATTCTTCGTAAAATCAAGAGTAGTTGTCCACTTATCGGAAAATACAGGTCATCAAGCGACGTGTTGCAAATTTCGCACCGATTTTCTTTATTTAAGGGATATATCTTCCCGCTTTCCGTTTGCCTCGTGCATATGCTCCTACCACCCAGTTTTGATTTTATGGTCAGCTTGAAGTTTGAAAGCTGCTCTGACATGGCCTTGATTTGCCCTTGCTCAAAGAATCCAAAATTTGCTTGATCCTGCCTGCTCAACTATGCCAACGCCAAGTACCTAAGCATCAACGCCACTGTCTACAATTCTTTGAAAGCGGCTCAATCACCACTTCACAGACGGTCCCCCAGAACTTGATATCCTCCCAATCCGGAAAGCGCGCTTCACCGACTTGCCTCTGGATACAATTGGAGACAGCCCTGTCATACAGATCCGGTAACGGGTTGTCTGTATCATCGAGCCACTCTGCCGCCAATGCTAGCCGCTGGTAGTATCCACTCGGTGCCTCCTCCAAACCGAATCGCGTCTCCAATGTAGTCTCATGCCAGACTTCCAGGAGCAAAATGCCAAGCTCCAGGAGTGTTATCTTCGGTTCTACACTTCGCCCAGGTTTCGTACTCTCGGTGTTGTCGTCGAATGTAAGAGATACAAACGGTCGGCCGAGGTCGAGTTGCAGGTGATCTTGGGCGCCACTATTGGTCGGCTGGAAGTGGAAATATACCACATCTTTCGACCAGGTGTTCTGCAGCCACTGTGTTTGTAAGAGTTGGAGGAGATTTGAAGCAAGTCGAAGTGCGAGTAGCATCCGAAATTTCCACGGGAGAATAGGACCTTGACGACGTGTCTTCTGGGTCGAGAGAAGAGCTTTCAGCGTCATCGTGCCGGTTTCTTGGCACTGAATTATTGTCTTATTGTCTGTAGATATTGTTCCCATTTGCTGGTCTCCGACAAGAACAAACGAAATTTGTCGCTTGTTGCATTTGGCCTCTTCTATTGCGCCGCAGATGTCACCGACAGAATGAATTTCAGACTTCACAAGTGATGATGCCGATTTAGTGGTAGCGAATCTTACCTGAGGCGATCCGGAGTTCTGGCTGGCCATGGGAGGTTTTGAGTGATCATCCGAATCGTCCTCGAATACTTGCACCACGGTCTCATGCCACAGCTTCTGCTCTTGGTTGATGCCTGCCGCTAAGGTGAGCTGGAAAGCGAGGATAGGCACAGCGCTATCTTTTCCAATCTGCTTCAGTATTTCTGGGGCCATGTCGACTCGATCTTCTAGAAACAATCTCGCCTCGTGCTTGCTATGACACCCAGCTCTCCAACCCTGAAAGATGGCCAGGGACAGGATGCCGGTAAATTTGCGAACATGGCGAAGAGCTTTGGCGAGTTTGATAGCCCTGTTGGACGATTTGTCTTCGACCATTCGACGATTCGATACTAAGATCCTCGTGAAACGATCCAGCGCACCAGCCGTGTCATCGAGTTGTTTCACCGCATTCTTGAGATCATTCATACCGAAAGCCAGCTTGACTCGTGGAATAAGGTCCAACCGCATGCCATCCGCATCTCGATTGGCATTGATGACCGCCAGCAAATCATCCGGCGCACCCTATCGCCATAGTCAGCATTTGGTCACCCGGGGGGCTTTTGCATGACTGTTGGCAGAACAGACTCTGAAGGCAGGCACAAGACCTGTGATATTCTTCGCAATATTTTTAACAATCTGACTGCTCTGCTCCAGGGCTCCAGTAAATGCAACATCATTCTTTGACCCCAAGTAGTCCAGAACTTCCTCTCGAACGCTTTCATCGTTCAGATACCCATATGGGTCATCGTCCAGACGCCATACATCCTCGCACCCGCTGGCGAGAATGACTGACTTGACGGTTTCCTCGAGGGTTTGCTGTTGTAGGAGGAGCGCACGAGCTAGCTTCTCCACGTTTTTGCGCTTTTGGAAGGCTAACCCGGCCCTGATGAAGCCATCCTTAGAAAAATCAACGGCAGCGAAAAGGATGGGCAGAGCTCCAAGCACGAGGCCGGCGACTTCGATTCCAGACATACCTACTTAGAGCGCATCACTAGAGAGCGTCAATACTGCATTTTGAGTGCGGTTATTAAACCACTAATGCCCTTTCAGTGAAATTGATACGGAGATACTGAAATAGCCGGGAGGCTGGAGGTGCTGCAGGGTTCGGCGCAATGTCAGACGAACGTGGACGGTCGTGATTGGGCTTACTGAGGCGTTTGACGGTACTGATATTGATCGGATGCACCATGCATGAGCTCCCTCAGCTCTCGAGACCCAAACTTCCTAGACCCAAATTTTCTTCCATGAAGCTTTGGACGTCCTGGGCAATGGCATACCGCAGCCATGGAAGCTGCATCAAAACCGCCAACTCTGGCCGAAGCAGGCATTGAGACAACTACGCTTCTGAAGCGGGTCAAGAATATCGACAAACCGGCTGAGAACAGCACTACTGAGGAGTGGCCCAAGGGGCTATTTGCGGCTGAAGCAGACCGTTTTGAACTTTGGGCCGTGAACCTGGGTCTCTTTGTATCGGGCCATGGCTCTCTGGATTATCGTCTCAGGGAGGCAGAAAGACTGGAGTCCACGATTCGTAGATTCATGAAGGATCTGAACAACTCGTTGACTGAAGGTTGTGCATCACCTAGACTACACAGTTCACTCTGCTGATGATGGGTTTATTAGTTCTCGAGTATTGTGCTGGCGAGTCTGGCAAGTCGACGGACGAGGGGCAAGATGATTCCGCGCCCAGGCCGTTCGGTGATTTTCTAGAAGACAATCCGGAGGACGAAGCCGGCGAGGAGCAGGAGTCTGATATAGACCTACTACTGGACAGCGTCAGAGACACTATTGATCGGCTTTTCAAGGTCTCGACCAGGATCCGCAATCCATCTTCCAGACTCGGGTCGTCAAAAGCGCTGCGCCATCAACAATTTGATCAAGATAGCGGAATTGACCTGCTGCGCGCCGTCGAAGGTTTCGATTATGATCACATCAGTTCCCTCTTTTTACAATATCGAAAGTCGAGGGCACTAGAAGAACATGAGACCGTCGAACCTTCAGAGGATATGGATGGAAAAGATGATGCCAACCACGTGTGGGAACCAATTCGGACGGTCCTCTCGCAGTATCAGAATGAAGTTTCAAATGGTACCGAGTCAGTTCTTGTTCGTCGCACAGCTCGCGCAAATGGGCGCCGCAGGCAACAGTTTGCGTATTGGAAGCAGCATCGAGACAAGCTCGCTCAGCACACCAAATCCTTCACACTAAACATCGAAACTAGGCAACAGGCAACTCCAATCATAGTAGATCTACAAAAGCAAGGTGACATGCTTGTAATTCCGGGGATGGTTATTGCGGACTCTGTCACGACCGCTAGCCGTTTGAACATACCACAGCTGGTCGATCGGGATGATCGGTCGATCGTCTCGGTCTCGGAGTATGCTCCTTCAATGTGGAAGCCGGGCAAAGAAGTTGTGGATTTTCCTGCCGCCCCGAAATGGGATTCAGGCGAGAAGTTTTTCGAATGTCCTTATTGCTTCACATTGTGCCCGACAGAAATTCTTGCCGAAAAAGCATGGAAGTAAGAAACCCTAAAAATAGTCATAAATAAGACAGCTCTAAGCATTCATATAGGGCTCACCTTATCCATGACCTGCGCCCTTACGTCTGTACGTACGACGACTGCCGGAATCCCGATCAGCTGTATGACAGCCGTCAGGACTGGATTCAACACGAGAATTCTCATCGAAGGATATGGCGTTGTCCGGAGCATCCAGCTCATATTTCTACCTACCTCGACGAATATCGCGAGCACTTGCACAAAGATCACGTTGATTGTAATGACGAGACACTGCGATCCTCGTTCATTCATGCTGCTGAAACGACATTACCATAGTCAGACAGATGCTGTCCAATATGCTCGTTACAGCTAGAGACTGCAAGGTCACTACACAGCCACATAGGACTGCATCTGGAACGATTCTCTTTGTTCTCACTACCTCGATCAGTTGACCAAGAAAACGAGGATTCAAATGATGGCTTCTCAGACAAGGCCAACACGGCTTTCGAGGGCTCCCGAAATGAGGACTTCGACTCGGATGTGGACGTTGAAGGTGAACATGATCAAACGACATCGGCGGCTGGTGTTGCGCGGGCACGTTGGATGATGGCGATCCGCGCAATCAAAACAAAGAGACTGGTCCGGAGCATGTTGGGGGGAGATCGACGAGACGGAATCAGGCTTGAGGACCATCAACGCAGACCCAGATTTCACGATGCGGAGGGAGCCGCAGTTGCTATCGCGCAAGCCCTGAAGGGGCAAAACCCAGCTGACATCAAATCTCTGATCATTGCCATCCTTCCCGGTCTTTCACACGAGCGAGTCTTGGATCTCCGGATCGAATACACGAAAATTGCGAAAGCGGGGTCGGAACGTAAAGGAGTCAACCTTGCCAAACACATCAAGATGAGACTCGGCACTGATACTGCGTTTGGTAAGATTGCATATGTCACTTCTCTGGGAAGATGGGAGAGCGAAGCATACTGGGCGAATTTCGGGTTCCAAGACGAGAAACGCCGGCGAGAACTCCTTGTCGAATCTCTTATGGGACGTACGAATCGGGAAATTAGAGAGATTAAGGATGCATTTTCGGATAAGAAATATAGCGACAGTTTGACGAAGTGTATAGATATGGAGCTACCGGATGGCAATTTTAAAAAGGCGGTATTACTAGGGGTGGAAGAGAAGAGAGGGGAGGAGGGGCCGGAGTATCCTCTTAATAGAGTGCTAGTTGAGGATGATACGAGGGATTTATATAACGCGGTTACAAGTGAGAAGGGGGATGAGAGTATAATGATTAGTATTGTGGTCGTAAGGAGTGATAGTCATCTTAGGGAGGTATTAAAGTTATATGAGGCGACTTATCCGCCCAACTTTGCGAGGGAGATGTTCAAGAAGAGTGGGAATTTAGTAGTATATGCCCTCCCTCCCTTCTTTCCTCCTTTCCTTCCTTTATCTTTAAACTGTAGTAATTAATAAATTTTATCTAGGGCGGAGTTCTAGCACATATCCTCAACGGCGTAATCAACAAGCCTGTCCGCGACGCAATACTCATACACAACGCCCTATCCTTCTCTACATCTAATAGCCTTCGCACGGATCTCCTTATTAGTAGATTAGTGCGCTGTCACTGGGATCGTCCGTATATAGAGGCGGTCAAGAGGGAATATAGGAAGCGGTATGAGGTTGATATGCAGAAGGCAGTAGTGGAGGGCACGAGAGGGGAGTGGGGACAATTTTGCGAGATATTGTGTGGGCCTTAACGTGGTGAGTGTAGTGCTTGGCTTTCTCCCGCGACATTAAATTCTGGTAGTTATCTACGCGAGCGAGCGAGTTTGTAACTCACCATGCCATGTCAAGGGATAGGTAAGAAATTTAGGAGATTCAAAGCAAGTAAAGCGTCTCGTCTTCACTAGGGATTATGTAGGCAGGCTGCAAACAGGTTTGGAACCCCTAAGTTACAAATTATAGTATTCATCTAAAGAAGAAGCTTTAGCTTATCTTTCTTGGACGTATTTCTAAAAGTGTTTAATTATTTTAATGCTTATATATTATTGGGATATATGTCACGTATATCACAAGCCTTAGCCCCACTGACATCGTTGCAACCTTAGCTAGAACCTTTTCTACACCTAGAAATGCAACCTCCTCCGCTCAGCAAAATCACGTGCGTGGATCACGAGATCCACCCCCCTAATTCATAAAAAGAACGTCAGGCATTACTTATAGTAATTTATATTAATAGATAAGTCATTATAAGACGTATGAATTACTGTAAAAAGGGGGTCCTTTCCCTCTTCCCTCTATAGCTTAGTATTCTTGTTCTTGGAGAAGCTTAATACTAGCCCTTCCTCCCACTTGATCTGGCCTCTCTTTTAGTCTCTAGGTCAAGCCGCCGCACTTAATAGAGACGACGGTTTACTTATCAGATTGCTTCTAATCGGTACCTAGGACATCCGCTTCTCCCGACTGTGAGCGAAGCGAGCGAAGTAGTATCTAGGTAAGGACCGACTTTTGAGGCCCCAGCACGCGCCGATAATAAGTATAATCGTTGGTTGGAGAGCAAGGCGACTTGAAGTTTTCGGTTCATCAGTCGTCGATGGCTATCGTGCCTTTCATTGGCCCCTTTGTTGTAATTAGCTTATCACTGATATCTATGTGGATTCTAAACTACCGCCGTTGGCGTTTCCAGAGATTATTGTGGTAGGGATGAGACGTGGTGTTTGGATAGGAGGGTCAGGTGACTAGGCATGTGACTGGGTTTATATATATATAGCCTCGCGTAGCTACTGGCCACCACACTTCAGTTGCAAATACACTCACTTCTGCCAACCTCTCTAGCCCTTGGCTCCCACGGCTCTATGTGTTTTGGGTTCAGTCCTTCCCCATTATAAACACGCCGACGGCGGGGATTTGTCTAAATTTGAAGCCCAATAAGAATAATAAACACGCAAGTGCCAAATACAGGATCAGAGTGCATTGCATCGTATGAATACGACGCTTCGACGGTCTCAGATCATCATCAATTCTACATACACACTCTTGTACATAGATTGTTATATTTATATTTATATTTATACAACGAAGGAACTATAAATCAGCTCCTGGCCTAGAAATCGCGCTTGTGTTGTCCCTGCACAATACGCGCTTGTGTCACATTTACACTGAGGGTGGTTTTGTATTCAGTGTGTAGGTGTGTTGTAATGTACCCCTATACCCACTCGCAGTCATCGTAATCCTCACCAGCAGGTTCAGTGGGCTGGGCGCTGAATGCTGTCGGGATAGGGCTGGAGATTCGAGAGGTCTGTAGAGTTGTGGGCACGGCGGCCGCGGAATATGTGGCGCCTGTGCTGGACGGAGCAGTGCTACTCAAAGCTGTGCTCGTGAGGACTGAAGAAGCAGAGCTAGAGGCAGCGGCAGCGGCAACGGCAGCGGAACTGTACAGAGCAGTGCCATTCGAGGCTATACTCTTAGAGACTGAAGAAGCAGAGCTAGAGGTAGCGGTAGAAGAACTGTAGAGAGCAGTGCTATTCGAACTCGTAGAGGCTGAAGAAGTAGAGTTGGAGGCAGCGACAGTGGAACCGTTTTTAGCTGCCGCCACATCTTCATCATCCAAGTGATGAAGTAGCGAGCCCCAGCCTAGCGAGTCGTAATGGCCAGAGCCCTCTCCCCAAGATCCAAGTCCGCCCTCGTAGCCAGGGCTGCCAGGGTATAATGGAAGACTGAAGTTGAGGTACGCTTTGACCCACGGAACATCCATTCCCAGAATCTGACCGTAATGGCTGTAAAGCAATTCCCAATTTGGTCTGAATGCACCGCGCGAGGAGTTGCTAGCCTCGGTGTAGTTACAGATAACGTTTGCGTACGGCACAAAAGGAACATCATTCCCCAGATTATAGCGTGCAAAATATTCCGCGCTGAGTCATAACGAGTTAGGTCAAGTTAACAATATGGGTTTGAGAGCACATACCCGCGGAGCATACGATAGTCACTATCGGCATAAAGATCAGTCCCTGATTCCAGGCCACCTGTGCAATGGAAGCGTGCCCATCTGGATCCAATGATGCATGGCCTTGATCACGACCCGACTCCTGGCCTTGACCCAGTGGCTTACCGGTCCCTGGCTCTTCGACAATATCTGAAATGGCAAGTGAAATGGCGCCGTTCCCATCCCCGGTGTGCCAGTAGTCAACGACGAAGTCGAACGTATCTTGATCATCAGTCAGAACGGCAATAGCAATGGCAGATGCCATATTGCAGAGCTCCCAGCTTGCAAAGTAGTGATTGTGAACACCCTCCGACCAGTCCTTATGCTTGATAAATTGGATATTCTGCGCCAGGAACACGTTGACCATCATATCGTTGAATTCCTTCTGGCCATTGGCGACAAATGGGGCATAGTCGCGTAGGAGCTCACCGGCATTCGCCATCTCGAATCCTTGTAGACCGGCAGTGAGGAACTGGTCACTATCAGTTCCTAGGCTCTCGAGCGTTGTTCCCCAAGCCGTTAGAATCTTGGCTGCAGCGGCCGCATACTCGTCGTCTCCTTCAAGCTTCCAGCGCAGCGCAAGGGCAAACGCGGCAGCTGCGTCGTGCCAGAGAAGGTCCGTATTCGTGGCGCGGGTGAGATTACTGACAGCTCCATTCGTATACGTGCTTTGGGCGTATGTCATACCAGTAAGAACAGAGTATGAACCAGTCCATGGGTCTAATTTCGCAGCAAGCTTCGTCTTGATTCGGCTGATATCATTGCTGTTAACCATAAGACCCGGGTGCACAAAGGCCGCTGAAATAAGCGGGGCAAAGAATAGAAATCGAAAAAGGCTCGTAATAGACATAGTCATATTTGCTATCAGTCAAACGAATAAATTGGCGAAGTAAAATTGGAAGAGCGTGTGAAAGAGCGTGTGAGAGAGCGCGTGAAAGAGCGCGTTAAAGAGTGTGTAAAAAAAGAGCGTGTGACAAAGCTTGTAAAAGAGCGTGTGAAAAAGGGGATAAAACCGCAGCTGGATAGAAAATAATAGCCCAAGGCTGATGGACGCAAAAGACAAAAAGCATCAGGAAGATGCAAGTATAATAAGGAAGAACGTCAAGGAGAATAATGTAGAGCGCTAGCCTGATTAGTTTGCGACCACGAGGGTACAGACAAATTTAGGATTTTTTCCGATCCAAGTGGACGTTTTGTTTAAATTCAGGGCCTCGACGTCGTCATGCTAATGTTTCACGCCGGGGGTAGCTGCAGCACAGTACAGCACAGTCCAGCTGTTCTGTCGGCCAACGGCCCATCGCTCGGGCTCAAGCCCCGGACCCGTGGGGTCGGAATCTTAATTTATGAAAACACAACACCATCATCCCGCAAACAGATTCTTTCCATGTCTTTAGCTGACACACTCTCGGACAAATAGTAATAACAACTCGCAAAGCCGGAAACCAGGAAATGGTGGAACGATCAACTGATAAAGAGAGCCTCAAGCCAGGAGGCTGTACTGTACTCTTGATAACTCCCCTATCTCCCGCTTTGTAAAATCTTACTTTCAAGATAGTCCTTCAAGTAAAGCCTCAATCCCCGATTCGTGGAAACAATGCCAAGCCGACCGTTGAGACTATGCACCCGCTCGTCGGGGGAAGTCGAAGGAGCGGCACCCAGCGTCTCCTCCCCCGAAATTAGAGATAACATGTCAACGGGTGATACCGAGTAATTTACTTCAGTACTTTGGTATTTGCAGGCTCGTGGTGAAGCCGTGGTCGTGGTCGTGGTCGTGCACCCCATCTATTCGAAGTCGGTAGCGTTGCAGGCGGCAATGGTCTAGGCCAGGCGTTTCCTTTGCTTGTACCAAGTACCAAGGCAGGGCTATCGTCCACATATGATAGGGTGTTCAGGGGCATTCATTGCGAAGAGTGATTAAGGGGGGGGGTTGGGTGGAGAAGCAAGCGGTGATGAAACTGATAAGATGGATTATACTTTGGCATGGCACTCTCGCTTAGCTGCTAAGGGGGCCATCTGCTATCTGATTAGTCTACACAACTACAGTGGAGTAAGTTAAATGAGGATCTTCCACCCTACCCTACCTCGCCTACCACTCTCCCGCCGTCCCGCGACCTTCCGTATATCAAAGCACCTAATCGCCTAATGTCTATACCTACGAAGTATAGAAAATGAAAGACTCAAGAATTAAGACCCGACCCATGGGTCTAGAAATCCCATCCCTAAGCACCCGCCCATGCACAATCCCATCTGCCACTGACCGGAGCCGCGCGTGAACTGTCAGGCCCTAGGAATCCGAGATCGAGTCGCAGTCGCTTTCGAGGTTGCCGTTGCTACTTGCAAATCCATCATCCTCCTGGCCACGCTGTTATCTTTAGCATGATGGGTTGGCAGCCGCAGAATTCGAACTTACAGTACCAGCACAAGCTATCTTCCTCAACTCTGGCAATGAGAATCGTATGCACAGCAGGTGCTCACCAGTGCTAGCTACCTCTCCAACCGCCTGCGTCGAACCTTAGAAAAGAGATCTAGGAAAACGGGGTCGTCACAAATAAAATCTCAGGGTCCATTCAGGGTCTTATCGTTCTTCAATAGTTGAATGTTTCGAAAATCACATTCCGATCATTTAACCACTCTAATAACGTCTTTCGGAGAGCCGCTCCGGTACACACGTACCACTTTTTGATAGCATTGTCTGGACTCTCAGAGCTCAGTTGGAAATCATCGTACGCCATCCTACGCGTTTCTACCATGGAATCTGTAGCATTAATCTTGGCCAAATTTTGAGCACCCTTATCATCGATCTCCCCGGTTACGAATAGCCGTGTGCAGTCACATAAGCCCGGTGCTCTCTCGAATGAATCCACGACCAGGCCAAGGTCCTCAGCTTTCACGGTCCAATACACCTGCACCCGAGATAGATGGAGACGGCCGGTCTGGGCTAGCAATGGCGTTATTCCCACGCCCCCAGCTACAATCCCTATCGTCTCTCGAGCTTTCTGCTGGAAGATAAACTCGCCGCCGAAACCTAGAAGGGGAAGGCCGAGCCCAATCTCTGCATCCTGACTAAACAAATAGTTTGTGACGATACCGACTTTGCGAATGGTAATTTCAAGTCGATTGTATCCTAAAAATTCGCCCGCCCCTGAGGAGATTGTCCACTTCCGAGCATAGGTATTATCGGAGACTTTGGCCTCACTGCTCAGGTGAGGGCGAAGTAGCGTCTCGAAATCTAGCGTAACATATTGACCTGACTCCCATCGGCTCGTCTTCCCAACATCGATGATCTGAAAGCCGAATCGAGCGATTGTCGGCGTTAATAGCTGCTTGTCAACCAGTCTTGCACAAGTCTGCTTCCTCTGGGGTTTATCGTGGAGCGCCTTTGCAACAGAAGAAATGCCATGTGCGTTTGTGGCCCGGAAATCTCGCACGGCACGGAATGTCAAGCTGTTCTCAATATACCGTATAGACTCAACATTGATCTTGACCGCAGTATTACTCCGCGGTAGGGTTCGGATTGCATCCTCACGCGTTAGTACTTCCTTTCTTCCTCTGATGAAGACGGCATTGCCAGTACGGAAGTCCGGGACAAGTAGTGCAGCTGTGGGGATCCTGCCTCCGCCGTCTAAGGTTTGGTATAATCGAACGCCAGAGTACTCGGGGTAGACTAGTCTACAGCCATTCTCGTCGTTTGTATCAAGGTGTACGAAACCTGGCGGGCCACTTCGCTGGTCAATATCCAAGTAGGGATCATGATTCGAAGATGATATAAAAAGTACCTCTGCTCTTGCAAAGATGTCGACAATATCGGATATCAAAGGTAGCGAGTGTGATACAAGCCAAGGCAACAAAATGTTTGGCAACATTTGCTTCGGGCTAAACGATTCCAGACGAGAGACTAACCACGTTAGCAAATTCCATGGCAAATATAGGGAGGGGGAGAGAGAGGGAGTGAACTGACCGAAACTTCTCTCCACACGTATAACGAGCAGGACCTCGCTAGTACCGTTCTCAACCTCAGCTTGAGCACCAGATACTAATTGACCGTACAGCTTCACTCTTGTACGTGCTTTAAGATCAATTCCAAGCATGCTGACCATTTTCCTAGGCCCACTATCCCGCACGACCTCTCCCACTGCTTCGGAACCTAATAACTCCTCGACCACTAGGTCATGCTTACTTTTCACAATAGCTCTTATGACCATGTTGGACTGCCCAATACCTTGGGTGAAGCCCGCTTTCCCTTCCCAGATCGTGATGCATGGGTTCTGAGCGGAATCTAGCGTACTTAGTACCAGTATTGGCGAGCGCGACAGCACGTTGGATGCACCGGGCCGGAGGTACGGCGATGCTGGACTATCTTGAGGTGCGACGCGTAGGAGTTTATGCGCCTTCTCGTTCTGTTCATGCGATTGCAAGTCGGCTTGGGCGAAATATGCCATGATATGTGTAGTGCAGTGCAGTGCAGTCGTAACAATTACTCTAATACTGATTGGAAAATAGATCCTTTCCATTAAAGGTTAGTATATGAATCACGCTATGATCAGCTGCTAGATCTCTCGAAACCTTCGGCATCGGGGTCGTCCCCGATCGGCTTTAAGACGTAGGCTCGATGCTAGACGCTAGATGGATATCAGAGCTACGATGATCAGAATCATATTAGGAGTTTCCATTAGGAGTTTCCTTGATGGCAGATCTGCAGGGTCTAAAGGTGGGGCTTTAGAACCCTTGCTATGACGTTACTGTACTGTAGCATGGCATTCACGCAATGTCCATACGGAGTAATTGTTGACAAGCGTTCCAATCGACATTGATTCGGGATGCAAGTGTCCGTTACTTTACACTTTGATTCGCCGATGATCATCGATTGATTATGAGATCGAGCACTGGTCTTGGGCCGCACGGCATCGTGAGCAGATCTTGGCCAAGATAGGGTTGCTGAATGTGCCCTCCCCAGCGGTTTCGACTTTGACAAGATCAAACTAAAATCTAGTGCAAGCAATTACCATAATCCTATAGTGCTATTTGTTATAGTCAAGATAATTAGGGAAACTCGGACGCTATGCTATCATCGGTGCTACCCCTTATATTAAATATCGGATGCTGCCTCAAGGTTAGTAATAAACATTCTGCTAGAGAAGCCATCTCATGGAATCAAGGTTACAATACATATACCGAGACAATGAGCCTTTCTTTGACCGCTACCACAGCTCCCTTCTCCGTATGTTCTGATATAGAGTTCGTGGATGACCCACTCGACTTCCGATTTGCAGACGCCTCCAAGGACAACATCACTTCCTCAACCCTAATCACAACCTCGCTCTCCCCTTGTTCTGATCCAGAGCCCGTCAGCTACCCACCGGAGTTTTGTTTTGGAGATAAATACGAGGATAATGTCTTCGATCAAGCCTTCGAAGACTTCACCATCGCACTGGACCATCCTTCACAACAAGAACAAGCAGCCGAGTATAATGTTGTTCCAGCGGACCTTGACTTGCACCTGCTATATCAATTACCGCAATTAGCATCGTAAATCTCACCATCACCAGCTACGACTATAGGTTTATTATTCTGACAAAACTTCAGCAATGGCATCTGCTTATTGCCAAACCCCGTCGCGATAGCAACAGAATTCGGTACAGCAGAACTTGGTACAATCAGTAACAATACGCAATCTCCCCCCTCTTGCCCCGCAACATCAACATCATCCTCATCAGCAACAGGATTGGCCATCACCAATGGTCCCTCATCTATCCCCCGCAGCCCCAAGAACCCAGACAAAGTCCGGAAAAGGTACCGACAGCGCAAACAGCCGACCGCAGAAGAGAAAGCGAGAAAGCGTAAACGGTTCCTCGAAAATAACAAGGTGGCGGCTTTCAAGTGCAGGGCGAAGAAGAAAGGGAGAGAGAATCAGCTACAGGAAGATATACGGATGGCACAAGCGGCCAATACATTGTTGCGGACGCAACACGCTGGTCTTTTGAGTGAGGTAGAAGGGCTGGAAGATATGGTCTCATTGTGCAATGCGGAATGCAATCGCGACAGATCACCGGAAGAAAATATAGAGCGTATATAAGGACACTTCAGTAGGGGGGAGTTAAAGGAACAGCTTTGTTTTTTGCTACCAATCTGCTCAATGCTATTATATTGTTTGAAATTCAAGTACGTACATTAGATGAGGATACTGGGAATTTTCGAGGTTTGTCTCTTGTCTCGAGCGCTAGCTCAGGGAGTTCATAAGGACAACTTAGTATACATATAAAATCGCTTGGGGGTTGTTTTGCAATGGAGTTCGAGATGACAGTTGGGACATCCCTAGGCGTACCGGCAAGATTAACTAACAGAGATTGAGTGGCTAGACTGCTTGGTAGTCCTAGAGTCGTACTGTACAGTGAACTTGTCAGATGCGGAACGACCTAGGAGACAGACCTGGTGGACCCGTGACGACATCCTCTCCCGACTCCATTACCCATTACCCATTACCTCCTTGTCTTGGAACTGTCCTGGCTTGGATTGACGTCATTTTGGGTGCGGCGTATTAGCCGTTGGTAGTGTAGTTGAAGCGGACCTTCCACTTTGGCCCGATCTCACGGAGGCGGAACTTCCACCGATAATGTACGGAGTAAGTTTTAGTTTTGGATCGACATATGATCTGTTACTGTACTGAGTGCTTCGTTCTTGGCGGCCGATAAGACAATGGCGGTGAAAAGAGTCCAGATTGGCGCACCTGCAGTTCACTCCACATAAGCGTAGACCTGCTTTTGGCTGCCGACCGTCCATGTCATCACAGCTGCTGACCGTTCGATATTCATGTCGCTAGAGCTCGACCACCTTCTTTGATAATCGTTCCTATCGGCTCGAGGGTGCCGTCGATATCTTCTCTTGACAGATCGACTATGCATGATGAACCGAGTCTCTATCGACCGTGGGAAAGAAAGGGGCTGCGTACTCGGGTTTGGTGATGATGAGCAGGACGGAGTCCAAGGATGCCAGGCAGCTAGGATCTCTTGTTGCAGTCTCTTCCCATGGGCCACACTGACACCTAGGAAAGCAAGATCTGCCTCGTGATATCCCTCACGACATCCCCGGTGTCAAAACCTTCGATCGATATATTCCAACATGCAAACCGATGTAGAAGCGTCGCCACGTAGTCCTCCATCACGTCGCGTGTGCTGCATCTAGATAGAAGATCCAGGCGTCAATTTTTGGACAAAGGCAGGATGGATGGGTAGATGTGCGCAGGAAGGTGCTATATATATAGGTGGTTGAAAGAACAGTGACGTCCCTAGGTACGGATCAGCGCAGCCCCTCCTCCTACTTGCCCTCAAGGGGAGGAGGATGGCCCCGAGCAGCCCTCGACCGGAGGGCCAGCTCCACCCAATCAGCAGCGGGGTGATCGGAGGGGCCTTCCGGGACAGCAATCGCGAAACATGATTGGGGTACTACGGAGGCTAGTTTGGCAGAGCATTTCCTTGGCATGGAGAAGAGACGTCTCCAGACCGGTCTGTGCTCTTCTCCTACGTTATTCTTTTTAGGGCCAGGACAATCAATAATTGTACTGTATTAGTACGAAACAGAGTGCAGTACTAACCATACCCAATTTACGTCAACCTAAACCTAATAGGTAGGATTCACTATAGGTCCCTATAGGTCCTTCCATTATCCTCTTATACGGATTTGATTATGCTATTAAAATACTAATTCAATATAAAGTAAATCATATTATTAAAGAAGCTGGTTCCTAAAGTATTACTTCTTAAGATAGGCTTAGGAAGCTCTCTAATCTCCTTTATAAACCTTTTAATAGTCTATAACGGATAAATAATATATATTGGTTTCACATAGTATATTGCCGTAAACCGGCTGGCTTGGAATCGTTGTTACGAGAGAGGAGTATAGCCTGAGAGAATGTCAGGAGCAGAGGATCGGGAAGTGGATGACATCACGGGTCACACTACCTACTCCGAGCTAGCATAAGCTGTATCTATGAGGATCCTACCCTCTTCCACTTAGTTCTGTAGCAGTTATCATATCGCTGATTCAGCTATCTACTTCACTCTGCTTACATACCCTCTTATATAGATGCTAGCCTAGTACAGAAGACTATTCTTACACGACTTCAGCTAAGCTAGTATAGAGAAGCATAGACCTTTATCCGGATGTCGATTTCTATAGCAGTCGAACTTTTAGCTATACTGGTTCATCTGGAACCCAAATTTCTGTTTGACTCACTCATCTTGCTGCGTGCACTTCGCGCGTTATATCCCGGGGGTCCTTGAAAAGTACTTTTGCAGAGATGTTTGGTTTTTAGGGTGCGACGTGCAACAAAACATTCGCCCTTTCAAGTGAATTGCTTTCTAACCCTTGCTTGCTCCACACCCTCACGATATTGCTGAGCTCACGACAATTGGAGATGGAGAAAAGGAATGTTTGGAATGTTGGAGAGAGAAAAAGCGTGATGCGCTCGGGATTAACGTTTGGCGGTCTAATATTCGGGGTATAGTGAGTGCTCTAATTGCCGGTGTTGACTGTGGTTTGAAGTGACGCAAGATGCAGGTATCTGATGAATGTTATTTAATCCAGAGAAGCTTTGTCTTTGATAGATAATTATGAAGGGATATCAGGAACTATAACAGCATTTGGGTATAACTCTTAGTCCAAGACGTCCATATCATCCCAATCACTATCCTCAATGACCGTCCCAAGAGCACCAGGCTTGCTAGCGTGTAGCGATGTCGTCTTTGCGAGGGAAATATTACTTGTAATAGACTCGGCATCCGAGCCATCTGTATCGTCAATAGCGCGCCAATAATCGGCAACCATTCCTTGCGTCCCAGGAACGAATTCTTCCATGATCTCATCTTCATCATCCTCCCCATCTGAAGATTCGACAGCGACTTGTGATGCTGAACCTTTTGTTTTCCTGGCCCTCTTCACCTTTAAAAGCTTCTCGACTTCTTTTTGGCCTCTCATCCGTAAGCTTAATTCCTTCACAACGTCAACCCATCTTAACTCTGTGTTGCAGCTGGGACAGTGGCCTTTTATCGGCACTAATGTCTCTTCGTCGCCACGGAGGAAATGCTTGCTTAAGCAAGTCAAATGCGTGACGGACTCGCAGCCTGGACTTGGACATATGGTGTAGATGCCTGCATCGTGCTCGAGATTGCGTTTGCAGATTTTACATGAGCCTTCCCGCTCGAACTCGACAATTTCTTTTCCTATTACAACGTGCGTTTTTTGGTTGGTGTAGTCAATGGGTAATGCAGCTATGCCATGGGTCGTCTTTCTCTTCTTGTTCTTTGGGCTGCTGCCACTTTCATCCCCGGATGATACTTGATCCACAGGCGAGAAATCTTGGATGACGGGTAAAGAATCTCGTATTGACTCAGCTGTCACTTTGGTCCATTTGGTCCATGCTTTATGAACATCCGCGGAAAAGAAGCGCAGCTCTAAAGGCCATCGTGAAAATGATGGCGATCGAAGGAGTACGTGGAGATTTGAGAGGAGGGATGGAACGGAGTGACGAGGTCGCTTTGGCTGGCCTGATCGTTTCTTTTGTGTTGCGCGTTGGAGCCGCTCTTCTGGGGCGATATGGAGAGTTATATGGGGGTTCTGCCAGGCCCATCTAGGAATTGTTAGCACGAGCGATATGTCAAGTATAATCATGGCGGAAGTTTTCGTGGCCTTCTTTAGAGAAGAGACTAAGAAGGAGCTACCAACGACTAAAGACACAAGGAAGACTGGAAGTGAGACGTCTCACGTGTTGTTTACACGTGACCGGTAGACTCACTCGAACTGCAGAGCGGCAATATGGCTTGGAAAGCCAGTAACTATACATGTCATTTCCCACGGCCGCAAAGTCTTCTTCGAGGTTCGTACAGCGCCCCCTTTGGCCAGCCCATTGTGCTGCTTCAGCCGCCGTACTATAAAACGCGTTGGTAGTGTTCTACGCGCCTTCAGGCTTTCGAATAAATGTATTGAAGCTCACCTGGATTTGGAGTCGAGCCTACATATACACTACCGTGTCGAACAGTAGATCTCAAGAGGTAGCAGCAATAAAAAGCTGGGATGGGGCGATCCATGGGCATGTTGAGGCTCTGTTGTTGTTGATGATGTTACGGGCGACGTTCTCCTTATCGATCAAGGGTAAAAAGATAAAGCGGCACTAAATTATTTGACGATGTGTTAGGCGCGATGGTGCATTGCCGGTCAGTGATAAGGAGTGCCGCTTTTCGTTTCCAGTGAGGGTACTAGTACAGGTTACAGCGGAAGCAGGGGCCTGTTATCAGACGAACAGGGGGCTTGCCGGTATATATTACCTTAATAATTAGATGAAAGGATCATCAAATTGTGTGTATCTAAAGAAATTGACCCCTAAGATAGCAAAACGTTCCAGTTCAAATGGACCGTTGTGGAAACCTCAATGGAGCCCTAAATCACTAGCGCTGCAGGATAGCTTGAACGGATTGATAGAAGTATATTTCAGAAGAGCCTGGAACAATTCTTGTAAACTTTCTAGTGCTTGGTAATTGTTATTTTGAGATAGAACATTAAAATACTTTTCAATTCCTACATTTACATTTATAGAAGCTGACCGAGGTAACGTCTGCCTCGATATCCGGATGCGGAACCTCACTTCTCTCTCCCTCTCCTCTTATTGGTTCGTTAGCTGGTGTGTGCCTGATTCAGGCTGCTAGGGTGCCGAGCATATCCTGGCAGTATCAATCGCCAAAATATAGCCTTGTTGAAGCTGGAAAAAAAGTAAAGCTGAGGATGATGAAGTGGGGAGAAGGACACTACCACGACATTGATTGATGTTGTGCAATGTTAAAGCAGAATTCAATATTTGTAACTCTTCTCATGAATCAGATTAATTGTATATTTATCTCAAGGCGTCTCGTGGATTTATATATGTGTTCGGGCGGGCAGGGATGTGACGTGCATTACAGCGTATCCGCTCCGCTTTCGTTCGTGCTTGCTGCTAAACCAACATGCCGTAGCAGAAAGCCACGCCACGAGTGCCCTTCGTCTCCTCCAATATCGAAAACGCTCATCCCGCGAGATATACACCACTTAATCGACTCTCACCCACCACCGACCACCACCGACCACACACTCTCTGGACCGGACCTTCGACCGGATTCCCCCCCTCGCATGCGAATGTAATAATATGCCGTAGCTCTTTCCATCCTGCGCATGCACTTGATCGTTCTTGCCGTAGACGTACGAGGGGAAAGGTGCCGCCCAACAGACCTGCTGGACGGAATATCACTATCCTACCACCCATCCATTCATTCGATGTCTGTAATTTGATACCTACGACCTGCGATCACTTAACTAGTCTACACGAACACCCTCGATCCTTTGTCGCCCACTCCATACTGTCAACATGGTGCAGGTACCGATGACAACGGCGGCTTCGAATATTACGATGCGAGCCTCGCCCGCAAGTGGTACGAACAGCAATGCGACGTCTACTCGAGGAAAGCCGAGTGGAAATGGCAACTCGAATAATCCCGCCGCCGCGCCGCTGCCTCTAAGCGCGATGCATTCCCTTCCTCTAGATTTAACCAGTGTCGAGAGGAGGGGACAGGCAACAGCTAGTCGAGAGTCGACAAAAAAGATACGACCCCATGGGCTGCAAGAGGCGCCAACATATAGACCTACGGAGGAGGAATTCAAAGATCCATTCGAATATATGAAGAAGATTGCTCCGGAGGCGTCAAAATTTGGTATCTGCAAGATTATCCCTCCCGATGCGTGGAAACCGGACTTTGCAATCGACACAGAGGTACGTGGCCGTGTCTTACAAATCCTTATTACAACTTTACAACATATATTTTGCACTTCGCTTTCTCAACCTTCTTATTATTCACTTCGAGCGGATTATTGACTTGTTGCAGCGGTTTCACTTTCGTACACGAAAACAAGAGTTGAACTCGGTTGAAGGCAGTAAGTCCCAGAAATTACAGTGTAACCATGGACTTCACTTCAAATCTCTAACACATCTTACCAGGCACTCGTGCGAACCTCACATATCTCGATCAACTGGCCAAATTTCATAGGCAACATGGAACCAACCTCAATCGATTTCCAAGCGTCGACAAACGGCCTCTCGATTTATATAAACTTAAGAAAGCTGTGGAGACGAGAGGAGGCTTCGAGAAAGTATGCAGACTCAAGAAGTGGGCGGAGATTGGGCGAGACTTGGGCTACAGTGGGAAGATCATGTCATCGTTGTCAACGTCACTCAAGAACTCGTACCAGCGATGGCTTTTCCCCTACGAGGAATACCTTCGACAGGCAAAGCCTGGCGTACATCAACAGCTGGAATTCGAATACGGAGGTCCTCTGACGCCTTCTCCCGCAAATTCTCCCATGAAGAAATCGCACCAGCATACGCCGTCAAGCCTCAGAGGCGAGTCTCCAATCATGAGAGCTTCGGATGCGCTCAATGCTTCTATGAAAGATGAGTTCGAGAAGGGCATGAAGAACATCCCTATGCTTGAGTCACCAGCCGCAGCCGCACCAACACCTCCACCACCTCAGCCGCATCCCGTCTCTTCAGGGTTCACACCCGTCAATGCTGGCTTCACACCCGTCAACACAACTCAGGCGACATTCACACCAGTAAGTATTAACAGGCGGGAGCGAGAAGAACGTAGTTTCACTCCACCAAGACGACCACCATTCGACAGCCCAATGTCTTCAGCAAAAAATACTCCCGAGTACAGGCCTTCAGCTCTTAGCTCGGCTCCTCTTGTGAACGGTTTTACGTCAAATCCGCTGTTGAAACGACAGCTCAGTCACGATAGCCTTGACTCACGATCGCGAAGAGACAGCCAACCTCCAGGGGATGATAGTGAAAGTGGCGGACGTCGTAGTAAGCGTCTCAAGAAAGGTATGTCAAAATCTAATGTTTTTTGGTTTCTGCGGTCGCAATAGGAGTATATTTTTGAGCTTGGGTGATGGATGGGATGGGGTGCAGGGATGCATTTTATGCATTTCCCACCATCCCGTCTTCGCCTTGTGATTGGTGATGGGGATCTGGCTAATGCTTGCCCTGCAGATGCGGTACCGACTGTGGCTGGATCGCACATGACCTTATTCCGACCAACACCCCCAAGGATCCCAGGAGAGCACCGTTCGTCTGCTCCTGGTGAGGTAAGCGAATCTAATCCAACCATATTTGATCCGAATGTAGACTTAGAGTTTTATCAGAAGTGTGAAAACTGTGGAATGAATGACGATCGGGGAAATATTCTGATCTGCGAGTCGTGCGATCTCGGTTATCATATGTATTGTCTTGATCCTCGAGTCACACATAAACCGGATTACGATTGGCATTGTCCGAGATGTCTCGTCGGCGATGGTCAATTTGGGTTCGAAGAAGGCGGAATTTATTCACTAAAACAATTCCAAGAAAAGGCAGCAGATTTCAAGGAAGGTTACTTCCAGAACAAGATGCCTTTCGACCCTGTCCTAAATTGCCCTCGCCCCGTTACGGAGGACGATATCGAGCGAGAATTCTGGCGACTTGTGGCCAGCCTGGAAGAAACTGTCGAGGTCGAATATGGAGCGGACATTCATTCTACAACCCACGGAAGTGGTTTCCCCACGATCGAGAAGAATCCCCGTGATCTATATTCGACGGATCCTTGGAACCTGAACATCACGCCACTTCATCCGGAGTCGCTCTTCCGACACATCAAGTCTGACATCTCTGGCATGACTGTTCCTTGGTTGTATATTGGAATGATCTTCTCGACTTTCTGTTGGCACAACGAGGATCATTATGCATATTCAGCCAATTACCAGCATTTTGGGTCAACGAAGACGTGGTACGGTATTCCCGGAGAAGATGCCGAGAAGTTCGAGAATGCCATGCGAGAAGCAATTCCCGAACTGTTCGAGACTCAACCTGATCTTCTTTTCCAACTGGTAACCCTTTTGACGCCCGAGCAGTTAAAGAAGGCTGGGGTCAGAGTCTACGCCTTAGATCAAAGAGCCGGCCAGTTTGTGGTCACATTCCCCCAGGCGTATCATGCCGGCTTCAATCACGGGTTCAATTTCAACGAGGCTGTTAACTTCGCGCCCAATGACTGGGAGCCATTTGGGGATGCAGGCGTTGAACGTTTGCAGCAATTCAGGCGACAGCCCTGCTTCTCGCATGATGAGTTACTCTGGACTGCCGCCGAAGGTGCCAGTGCCAATGGTGTCATCACAATCCAAACTGCAAAATGGCTTGCACCTGCGCTTGAACGTCTTCGAGATCGCGAAACAGCTCAGCGAAAGGTTTTCCTCGATAAGCACAAAGAACATGAAGGTCCATGTGTCATTACCGATGCCATTGAAGGCGCTGGCCCTCGTTGTCATATCGGCTTTGTCATTGACGAGGAAGATGTTCCTGAAGAGGAATATCAATGCACCCATTGCAAGGCGTACGCTTATCTTTCAAGATTTAAGTGCACCACTAGTGGTAAGGTCATGTGTCTACTTCATGCGGGTAATTTTGAATGCTGCCAAATGCCACAAGAGCAGCGTTACGCTGGAAACAACCATACTCTTCATTATCGTCGCACAGAAGATGCAATCGAAGCTATGTATGAGAAGGTTGTCGAAAAGGCTCGACTACCAGAACAGTGGGAGGAGAAGGTAGAGGCAATACTTGAAGAGCAAGCGACACCTCCTCTCAAAGCCCTCAAGTCCCTTCTTAACGAGGGAGAGCGCATCCCCTACGAGCTAAAGTCACTTCCAAGCTTGAAAGCATTCGTCGACAGATGTGTTGAATGGGTGGATGAAGCTACTAACTACATCGTTCGGAAGCAGCAAAACCGTCGCAAGAACGAAAGAGCTTGGAGAAAAGGTAGCAAGGCTGCTGAACTGGAAGAGAGAGACCGTGAATTTCGAAAGGTTGAAAACATCAAGAAACTGCTTAAGGAAGCTGATAAGATCGGGTTCGATTGCCCTGAGATTACCCAGCTGCGCGAACGCGCAGAAGCCATCGACTCATTCCGCCACGACGCCAAAATCGCAATACAAAATATCACGCTACGCCAAACTAAGGAACTCGAAGAAATGCTTGAGCGAGGGCAGAGTTTTAATGTCGACATGCCGGAGATAGAGAAGCTAGATTCGATCGTGAAACAAATGAAGTGGAACGATCGCTGTCGCGAGAACCGTGGCCAATTTCTCAGCCTCAAGGAGACGATTGATTTGATCGAAGAAGGTCTCAAACTCGACATCCCAGAATATAATGACCACCTGTGTCACTACATGGAACAAAGAAATTCCGGCATTGCGTGGGAAACCAAGGCCAAGGAATTGGTCAACGCTGAAGTTATTCACTATCCCCAACTTGAATCTCTCTCAGCACAGGCTCAGGCTGCTGCACTCCCAGTCTCTGCGGAAACTCTAGCTCAGGTCGACCAGATCCTTAACAAGCAACGAGAGGCCCATCGACAGATTCTCTCCTTGTACGACCGTAGCAGGACTGAAGATATCACCAAGCGACCCAAGTATGCGGAAGTTCGTGAGACAATGGAGCATCTAGCCGAGTTAAACAGCAAACCACAAGGCACTATAGATCTTGAAAAGGAACAAAAGCGCCACGAGGATTGGATGCGAAAAGGCAAGAAGTTGTTTGGCAAGGCCAATGCACCGTTGCATATCTTGAAGTCACATATGGAGTATGTGCTTGAGCGGAATCTCGACTGCTTCGACATCAATTCGGATAAGCCGAGACTGCCAGCTGAGCCTGCCTCCCGTGAGCCAAGTCCGTCCGAACAAAAGCTACATAGCTGGGAGGACCCACGCTTCCGCGAGGTCTTCTGTATCTGTCGTAGGATTGAAGCTGGTATGATGATTGAATGTGAGCTTTGTCACGAATGGTAAGTGCACTGACGTATTTCTCATGAAGATCACTAACATGATCAGGTACCACGGCAAATGTTTAAAGATCGCTCGAGGCAAGGTCAAAGATGATGAAAAGTATACTTGTCCTGTATGCGACTGGCGAGTTCGAATTCCACGTGATGCCGCTCGTCCTAAGCTGGAAGATCTTCAATCATGGCAGGATGAAATCCCAAACCTCCCATTTCAGCCCGACGAAGAAGAGATCCTTTCGAAGATTGTCGACAACGCCCAAGAGTTTCGCTCCCATGTTGCTCCTTTCTGCAACCCTGTGATGGCCACTGCCGACGAATCAGAAACTCAACGATTTTACCTCCGCAAGATTGAGGGTGCCGAAATCCTCTTAGCCTATGAGACCAATTTCTTCCGACAAGAACTCCACAAATGGTCACCAGTAGCGCCCGAGCCTCCGCCTGTTCTCGACTCATCGAAGTCTACCAGGAAGCCACGTCCTACAAAGCTACAAAAGCTAATGGCGCAACACGGAGTTGATGATCCAGAGCAGCTCCCTCAAAACGTCCGAATCAAACCCCACCAAGTAAAGCGCAAATCCAGCGAACCCTCATCATCTACCCGCCCTCAAGCACTCCAACCCGCACCTGGCCGCTCCGACTCCGGTACGCCCACCTCGCATACCTTCCCCTCTCACACAATGGGTGGCCCAACCCTTGTCAGCAGCGACCATGGGCACGGTCACCCTTCGCACTTTGGTGGATTCGCCTCGGTCCAAGACCCGCACCTTAGCATGTCGCCATCCAGCCAAACGTCGCCCGCCTTTGCACCACACGCTTTCTTACACGGCTCCCCTGGTTTTAGCTCAGGCAGTCCGCGCGCTGCTATGTTTGGTGATTCCGCGGGGTTTGGACGCATGGATGAGGTTGCCACACTTGGGAATGAGGAACGTATGTTTGAGGAAATGACGAATCAGGACGATGCTTTGGACAAGGCGAAGAAGATTGAGAGACCGGGTACGGGAGGTGGGACTGGTGGAGCTTGGGATGCTGGCGATGAGGACATGGAGTTGTTTTTTGATGGACCTTGAACTGATGAAACCATGTTTTCTTGTTGATTTGTTATTGCATCATTGCATTTACGTGGACCTGATGATGATCGGCGTTTACTATGGGGCAGGAAATCTGCGGTGGCGCTCGGTAGTGAGGGACAGAAAGAGGCGTTGGCTTTACTTTGTTTTGCTTTGCTTTATCTACCTATGTATTCTACTTCATTTCTGCATGACGCATCGCATTGAATTGGATTGCATTATATTGCACTTGAAAAGGGGGCGAAAAGGAGAATGGAACGGACAGAAGAGGGAGGAAGAGGAGAGGAGATGTGTACTTGCTAGATACGGCAGTTGAAAAATGAGCTTGTAGTATATGTATTTTCCACCGGCTTGGTGTTTATGCTTCTGGTGAAGACGTGAGGTTGTTTTATTTTGCTTTTATTTTGCTAGTAAAGGGCCGGGATGACTCGTCGCTTCGGAATTGTATGGCTGGCTTGTAAGTGATATGTATATGTATATTTATTTATAGTAACATACCTTATCCCTGATATGAATATAGTACTTTTGTCTGAATTAGGGGACTTGTCTTCCGGTATTGTGCTAGGAAAACTTTTTGACATATCATTTTGTTGTTGACGCTTTGATATCGTTCGTATGGTATTGAAAGGCTGGTAGAGTGACCCTTGCCTGTATATTGCGGCTTTTGTTTTGGAATGGAAGGATTAGGGAGGGGCTATGCCAAGCCTCGAAGGGTTTCTGACGCACGAGAGAAATCTCTAAAGCAACCTTCAGTGTTGTTGGTTTCTTTGTAGAATAAATAATTGTGGAGCCGGCGTGGGTTTCCACCATTGATTTTCTTCGAGATGTCGAGCATTGCAGGCTCGGCGTATCCAATTGCTTTTGCGTCGTGAGCTACCCCCATATAGGCTCCACATACTTCAATCGAGTTGAGGCCTTTATTTTATGATACCCCTTGGGAGTTCGTCATTGTGGCCTTGATGCTGTCCCACATCAAGGCTCAGGTTTAGTAGTCGGTAGGCTAGTAGTAGTAGAGTAGACAGCAAATTAAAGCTACTCATACAGAACCTCTGCATACCTAGGAATCTCAATTGTCTTAGTTCACCCTCACTCTGCTTCTCAACCGGCTTCGTAGAGCTCCGGATGACTTCAACCGGGCTGATTCGAAGAGAGCGCTGCCAAGCCCCTACCAACAACCACCGAATATATTCGCTAAAACAGCCTAATTCTAACCCATCAATAATCGTACCGCACACATCCCGCTCAGTCCCTAATATGCTTTCCCGAGCTTTCAGAATGTCTGATGCTACCAGGGAGACTTTCTGGCTTCAAAACAGCGAATCGTCATCATAGCCGTACTCACACCTATACACTTCGGTTGGACTCGCAGCACATTTGCTTTCTATAGGAAATATTGCAGTCTTTTGCACGGGAACAAGGTTGTATTGGCATTGTGTATGCTTGAGATCGATGTGTTTGGGATAACCAGAGTTGATTCCGATTGGGGTTTCGAGATTGTCGTTGAGAGTTCTTCGCATGGTTGATAATTGTGTGTTGCGTGTTGGTAGGAGTTTCGATATCTATAGAGCGGAGATAGTGGTAGGTGGTTGAATGGGGAGTTGTGGAAGAACGCGAAGCGAGAAGAATTACCATGCAAGCGATGCGTTTTCAGGGGCACGGCGCGCTAGGATAGATAGTCACGTGCGACGTATTTACAACCCAACTTGGACCGCGAATTCGAATGCAAGTTCCTTCTCTTGAACGACAAGTAAAACAAAAATACACCTTTTTCGGCCGTTCTAGCTTAAAGCTAAGTCATCACGCTTAAAAGAGGAGTTCAATCTTACAAAATGACATTCTAAACATTCTATTATACCGATTTCATATACTCGAAGTACGACTCAAACTACTTCTATATTTATCCCAATCCCATCCTATTTGCAACACAGACAAACAGGCAACTTACTCAGCATCCCACTGAACCTTCATCGTAGTCGGAAATGGAAAATAGCTACTCTGATCAGGCGTCATATAACCCTCCACCCCTTCCAGCCCCATATGTGCAATCCTCTTCATCTCCCCCTGACTCTCCCCATACCATCCCCCACCCACCGCCCTCCGCAGATTTCTCAACCCAAACACCGTCTTGAACATAGCATTCATTGCAGCCATACTCACGTCCATCCCTGCACATTGGTGCGGACCCAGGCCGTAGTGCAGATAGCTGTCTAGCGGACGATCGAGACGGACGGCGAGGGGGTCTGGGAACGCAGCGGCGTCAAGGGAGGCGAGGGCTATGTTGGCAAAGACGCGACGGCCGGGTGGGATGGGGATTTTAGTTCCGGCGTCTGAGATTATGGCTGGGGTGGGCGAGGGGGGTGTTGGGTGGTAGGAGCGGTATACACCGACAGTTGCGCGGAGACGGGCACCTTCCATGAAACTGGCGAAGGTCAGTATATTGAAAGGATCGTGCATGGTGCTTAGCTTACTATCTCAGAATCTTATCCTCGGCTTCCTTTGTGTTTTCCTTAGACAACCTATACAGCTCAGGAATGTACTGTGCTCCGTCTCCCAAGTAGTAATCGAGAGATTGCGTGAAGATTTGAGATTGATTGGCCGTCATAGCTGCAGCGGTCGGAAGTCTACGCGCCATGTTAGGAGACTGCGCTACATACAGAGTTTACATGCATGGGCACTTACAGATGAGACCAAACAACATCTTTGACAGATAGGTTGGTATCCAACAGTCGTTGAATCATATGTGTTCCATACTCCGTTAGTGGACTAGATTCGTGTAATTTGGCGAGCAGATCCGCAATAATACCAGTCTTTGAAATAGCCTCTGCATTTATCAATATCAATTCTCCCAACTGCTGGGCTAGTATGTGCCCGGCTTCTCGGAGCTGGAAGCTCTTGGCAATGTCGGCATTGTTGAATATAACAATGAAGAGTATCGAGAGAACTGTGTATAGCTCCTGTTCGGTGTAGATGCCTCTAGGATGTTCCTCGGTCTTGATTGGCAGACTGAAAACCGAGGCCGCAAACCTCGTGTTGACAAGGTTGGCAACGTCTCGGACGATATCGACTTGATATGCGGTTGCTCCTGGGACTTTGTAACTGTAGGTTTTAAGAAGCTTAGTTGTTGTCTCCTCGTAGAACCTTTTGACCTCGCCTTGCCACTTGTCGGGGTGGAGTCCCTTTATTATCAGCCTCCTAGAATCAGCGTTCGCAGGATTGTCACCAGCCAAGGCAAAGTCGACCCCATTCTTCATTTTGGGTTGGCTCGTAAGGAACGTGATCGCTTCGCCCCATGTAACTTTCCAGTCAGTTTTGTCATCGAGAATCTGTTTCACTGCAGCGTATGACTTGATAATGATGAGCTCTGGAACGCGAATCGGCTTATCCCAAGAGTACTTATCGGCTCTGCCCAATGACTTGAGAATGGCGAGATTTTCGCTCGGAACGACCAGCGGAAAATGGGCATAGATTGAATTGTCTTTAAAGTGATTTGGGAAAGCGCGGAAGAAGAGCTTGTGAAAGACAGCTCCATCGGAAACATTTAGATCATACTGGACTTCGTTGAATCTAGAGAATATTAGCAGGAAAGCTTTACAAGCACCAAATTGCTTACCCCCAGTTCGTGAGATTCTTTGGTGTGTAGTCGAGAGTATAAAAGCGATCACCGCGCACCAGAGATACGGCATCGGACAGAATTGCATACGAAGTAGTAAAGTTGACACAAAGTCCTGAGCCCGGGGACATTGGCGGTTTTGCTTTCTCTGCCACAAGACCAGGGTATAACTCAACGTAGTCAGGATGCTCATATAGGTTCCGTAGTTTTTTCGCCACCTCTGGGTCTGGATTGATGTCTTCAAAAGTCGCGTGCTTTGTGAGTCCAGTAAATTCGCGGAACTCGTTCAAAGATGCCAAGTTCCATGACCGTGCCTGGATTATGCCGAGAATCTCAACTGCTCGTAGATTTTTAGGGACTCTGTTAGCTCCAAACGATCCGGCTACGTCCTCAACTGAAGACTGGACAATCTCGACTAAAGCATCATCATCCAAGCTGCCGTCCGCATTTCGGTTAAGTCCAGCAAAGGGCCGTTGGAGAGGGTCTTCGGGAATGTCCTTTTCCATTACTCGCAGAGCACTAAGAAGCTCGGGCACTGTCACCTCCTCTGGGCTTTTGCCTGGAAACATTCTCGTATAGATGTCTTGGGTCCATTTGTCGTCTTTCTGAGAGACTGCTGAGTGCCATCGGTAGACTTAAAACAGTATTAGCACGAGCAACCCATATCTAGGAAAAGTTGCTTACTCAAGTTGAACTCCGCAGATACCTGGTTACCTGTCCCTTCCGCTGCAGGAGTATTAAATAAAGACTTTACTTCTGATGCACGGGGATCCAAATCCCACTTCGTGCCAGTTCGATTCAAGCTCAAAATGGTTCTAACATAATCCTTCAAAATACAATTGACGTATAAACCACAGGTAATCAAGCGGCCGGTTTGGAATAAATCATTGTCGTACTTGGCCCAAATTTCCTTCGTCGCATCTTCTTTGGGCTTTGAGAAACGTCCATTTTCGTTAATGCTGACCAGAATCAGCAGGTTTACCAGCGGTAGGCTGGTATCTTGACTTACAGTGCAAGCTGGGTAACAACATAGTTATGGAACCTATTAAACATTATGACCAGAACTCCAACGCCAGGAGGAAAGCCAAGGATTCTCTTCTCAGAAAAACAGTCTGGCTTCAGTTTGCCATCCTTGAAGGAACGGACTGTGTTTTGTTCTTCTTGACTGCTCCCGTACAACGGAGAGAGATCAAGGTAGCTGCTGGTCATAGAATTATTGAAATCATTGTGATCCTGAATTTTATTAATTGAGGGTGAAAACCTGGAAATTGTTATACTCACGGTTCTAAATATGTCGTGGATGATGACTGTGGCCAGATAAAACAGCATGCTGGAGATCTTGTTAGGGTGTGTCTCGAAGGTTTCTCCACGGACCATCAAGCTGTCGAAAATCGCACCAGGATCTGGGAGGGCGATGTTTTGTAGCACCTTTGGCTTTGCAGACCTAGCATATGGGGTATTCGCGGCTCCGAGCTCCGGAATTCTGATGTTGTTATAGGACCCATCTGCTTCCCGATACTTGTATTTCGAACCCAAAGATGTAGGAGGTAAGTGGGGGAGCGCATTCCAGAGATTGTTGACAAAGCCAGTTGTGAGCTGACTTGACACTTTTGAAGTAAGGTCGAGCTTGCTGAGGACTCCAACCAGGTTTTCGAGTAGGAATTTGTTGTCGTCTTGAACACCTTTCACTTCCGAGTTGAAGAGCGAGAGGAGAGTCCCGACATCTTTAAATCCTAGTTTTTGGAGGTCGTGTATAAGACCCGTCATCTTCTGGTTATCATCATTGAGTGGGATATAGCGTTGCGTGGGAATCGGAGAGAGTGATATGCCAATGACCTGCTTCACGGCTTTCAACGCAGATTCTATTTCATTCCGCCATTGTTTTGGTTCGGTGCTGGAGGTATCCACAGGGGCTTTTGGGCTTGAAGCCATGCTGGGAGTATATAGAGAATTCAAAATTTGGGGTTGAATAAAGCTATTAAAATGAATAGTTGCAAGTTTCAAGGTATAATCAAGATGAAATTGAGGGAGAGAGTTGTGACGATTGAAGTCAAGGCATTGAAGAGGAGGCTATCAGGGAACTACATTGATTTACAAAGGTTGGATTATCGGGAAAAAGGCAGTCAGATGCTTCAGTGCCACAATTACACGATGACATGACGGCATCACATGAGAGAGAGCCTTTGTTCACTATCTCGGTGACCATGTAGAGACGCCTCAGCCGAATCGCCCGGGGGAATAGCTGAAATCAGAATTGTCTGTACAGAAGTCGGAAGATATGGAAGGCCTCAGCCGCTCCAAAACCAAAATTGATACCGTACCAGAGATGGTTGTGTAACCAGCCCTTTCACCTTGACGAATAACAGATGATGCGCATCAAGTCATCATGTTGCACTGCAGCTATGTTGAAGATCCCACACCAATCGGATAAAGTTGCACATCAGACTTGAGTACTGCCCGGAACATCATTTCTTTGAAATGGAATTAGAAGATGTTATACGGAGGTGCTGGAGACTTGTTGACAATAAAAACACCACCAAAATAAACATTTGTCACATACCTAGATATCCTTGGTGGTGACCTTTTACAGCGTGACATGAAAGTTTCTTGCAAGTCCCCACATCAGCAGGATTGGGAAGCCGGAAGAGCCCCTGCAACTTACGCCCGGCAGATCTAATCCTCGCTGAAGGTGGTGCTCTGCAGAAGCTGAATCTTTCAGCGCCCTACACCTCCAACCTCACACTTTACCAATGGCTTCACATGGCAAGGATGGCCCTTGTATCCATCCACACCGATATCAGCTTGATACCTCATAGAGTATGCAATTAGGTGTGGATTCACCTCTGTATTTGATGTACTGTAAGCAGGACTGCAATGGCATAGTCTGCACCTGTTACAGTAATCAGCTTATGGTAGTACACCAATACCTGCACTCTACTCGTGTGGTTCCGTATCGTACGATAGATGTATCATAGACTCGGTATGAAAGATACACATAGGGTCTTCTTTCAATCAAAGAGATATCTTCAAGTACTAGGAAGGTGAGCATATATTCCCACGCAGCAGATAATCAACCTCGTGACTCCATCCGCACCCCACCATCCTATCCTCAAGCACCACCCTCCCTCTTCGCATACTCATCTTCCATTTTCTCCCTATACAACCTATCCTTCTCACCCTCATCCGTATCCGTCACATCCTCGATCCTCCTACTCCCATTCACATTCCCATTCGCATCCCCACTCCCACTAAGCTGTCCCTGCCCCAGCGTCCTCCCACCATCCAAAACCTGCCTCCCATTCGCATCGTAATTCCTCGTTTCCCGAATCGCCGGCTGGCCTAGGTTCTGACTCGTGGTCTGCACTCGGGTGCCCGAAGGGTTCGAGTGCGTTGTTGATTGGTAGACTTGGCCTGTTCGCTGGACTCCGCTGGAGGACGACAAGGAGACGGAGGACGAGGATGAGTACGAGAAGTTGAAAGACGACATTGTTGGTTGTAGTTGTGGTATTGCTGTGTTATTTTGTTTCTGTTTCTTGGAGTAGATTTTGTTGATGTAGACGGGTTGGTTGGCGAGCGCTAGCCAAGCTTTATATATTTCTTTGCGACGCGCGTGATTGACATCATGGTTGGTGGCGAAAGCTACTAGCACGTGATTGATCTTGAATCCTGCTGGATGATTCTGTTCCCTTCTGATACATTGTTTGCTATTTGACACTCTTTAAAGAGGCTATCTATCAAGCTGTATACCTGACTAACACTACTTTGAAAATAGATTGCAGGAAAATAAAATGGATTGAAGGTCGAAGATCAATCTTATCAGATCCTCCCCCCTGAACCGGACCCCACAACCTCTTCCCAATTCTTCACCCACCACTCAAATCACCGCTGTCTTAACCTTTTAATAGTACTTTATATATTTGTCACTTACTGGAATTGAAACGCCATCTCATACAAGAAATATTTTTTCTCACCATCTCTATATATGAGCCATAACCCTACTCCCATTCTCAAGCGCCTTCCCACTCTCAGCAATAACATCATAACTACCCTCAATCAGCACTCTTCCCCTCTCAACTTTATCTCACAATCCTATTCTCAACGAATGAAAAAGACACAAAATTACTTGTACAAAAGCTCCAGATGATCCTCCCCACTCCTAACTCTAGTCCTCCGAATAAATCCATAGCCTGTGAAAGGCGTGCCGACCACCTGGATCAGCGTTCCGTGAGTACTGGAGGTGGAGGAAGGAATGAAGAGCGCACAGTGGGCGCGCGTGCTGTTTACTTTTGAGGCGCGGGTAGGGTAGACGAGAAGATTGATTTGGCGATGCATGTTATGTTATTTGTTTGAGCAAATGTATGCGGTGCTAATTCCCGAGCTTGAAAATGAAAACATAAGGAGCTTGGTTAGGCAGCTACAAGCTGTCCAGAGCTAGTGAGCTATAAGTGCTTGGAACCAATTGTGGGGTCCACTGGTGTTTCTCCGTAATTATGAGGCTGTGTTTGATCTGCTGAACGAGAAAGATGTCTCGGAGTGGGATCATTCTCATTTTGAGACGGAATTCATCGGGTTGCGACTTGAGAGGTGATACCATTTTGCTCTCTCTGCCCCAGCCTCTTCTAACAACTTGACAATATGCTTCAAACCTTTAGATCGTGCCACATCTACGAGTCGCTCAGGCTTGCCTGTATAATTCCGGCCGCCCGGAATCCTCACATTCACGTCCGCACCGGCCGCGATAAGGCGCCTCACAGCAGTGCAATGAGCTGCGTACCCATTCTTGTAGGATCCGGAGGGTCTCATATCATTAATAAGACTTGCGAGGGGCCGAAACGAGCGGAACTCAATATTCACATTGGCGCCAGCTTCGATTAGAAGTGATAGGAGGCTCCACGGCCTCGCACCGGGTTTCTTGGCGTTCCGAAGAGCGGCGAATATGGGCGCTTCACACTCTGATCTGCTGTCTCCTGGCCAATTCGCGTTGGCTCCAAGGTGAAGCAGAAGTTTGACTCCTTCCTTGTCGCCTCGTGAAATTGCAAGTGCCATTGGGGCCCAATATGTTCCTTCGAATTTCAAACCCGACTCCCTGATCACCGCGACATGTTGATCATCATTATCCAGAGGCCTATTGAGATCCACTCCAGCTTGGTGGAGGAGTTTGATGGCACGGTGGTTTTCCTCCATAATCGATTTGACGAGAAGGATGGCAAAAAGGTTCGCTTCACTGCAGTGGTAGGGCTGTTTCGTGATGGCTGACGACCGAACATTTCTTTTCAGAATTGTCTAAGCAGAAAGAACGTGGCAGGAGTGTCTGAAACCAGGGCAACATAGAGGTAGTGCGTGCCGTCTACGCCCAAAATGAGGTATTTCATCTCTGCTGGTATGACACGGGTAGCTGAAAGGACAGTTTCAAAACTTCCACGGAGAATGGCATCTGGGATATGGTGTTTTAAGGTGGAGCTTGACTTTACACGCTCTAGTTGCTTTTCCGGAAACTGCGCAAGGAAAGCTTCCATGATAGACCAGCACATCTCATGAGACAACTTTGCAGATAACAGATTTGCAGTCAAATCTGAACCTTTAGCGTAATGTAGGCGTATAGTGGATACAAGTGCGGCGTGGTAGAACATGCCTTGTTCTTTCGTACCCTGACCAACTTGAAACGAAATATCGCAGTATTTTTCAGCCCGCAAACAATCCCCACGATAAGTGTGGAGCTCAGCAAGCAAGGAAGCGGCCCAGCGCTCATATTTGGTCATGGTTCTATTGGTACGTAAGTTGGCGAAGGGGTTCGGAATATTTTTCCACAATCGAGCCGACTTGGAAAGCGCAGGACTTTTCGATCCAGGGCTCAGATTCAACACTCGAATTGCGCTTAGTGAAAGGCAGAGCGAGATATTAATTTCCACGCTTGCTAGTGGCTTTCGGTTGAGGTTGCTAGGTCGGGATAATTCGGCGGAACTCCTATATGCCTCAGCGAAGCAATTGTAGGACTCGTTGTATTGTCCCTGGGCGTAGTATAGTTTTCCTTGCTCAAGGAGTTGGTCAAGAACGAAAGTCGAACCAAATGGTACTAATTCTTCAGTGAGTGCAGGCTCGGTGAGGATAGTAGGAGTAGAGGTTCTCTTGTCAGATCGCCAAGATTCAAGGATACCTGAAGAAGATGAAAGCCCTATAGTATTGTGGTGCGAACCATCATCTCTGGCATCAGCAATTGAAATCCCTTCGACCCAAGATTCAACTTCTTGTTGTTGAGAGATTGTCAAGGGGGTACCAGCTTCAGATCCTGTTGTAGACCACTGTCCTACGATGAGTTCCTCAAGCACCTCATTCTTGGGTTGACTTGCGCTTTGATTATGAATCGTCAAGGTTCTAGAAAAATGAGAAATGCTCAGGTAAAGTTGAAGAGTACACAACCTACATGTTGATTAACAATAAGCATGTTTGGGACATCTCACTATAGAACTGTATCTGTCTCCGGAGATTGATGAGGTTGCCACTTTCTGAACTGAGCCTCAGCTGGGCGGCGACAGCCCGGTAAGCATTCCCACCTTGTTTCCCTAGCTTCTGAAATACGCGATCTAGTTTCAAGACCGTATATTGACAATCAGAGATTATCTGATTCATTAAAGACCAGATGAACTCTATCTTCTGACTGTGGCGTAGTTCTGGCGGGATATCTTGGAAATTAGTCTTGATTGCTTCGAGGACACTTTTCAAAGTGACAACCTCATTGCAAAAGTTGCTGATTGTTTCGTCCGCATCTTTGACGCGAGAGATGAAATCATGGAGTCGGCTGATGACTTTGGCGAGAATTACGACCGCTCCGCCTGCTGAAGCAATAGTTGAGAAGATATCCATGGTAGATTGGCCAAATGTAAGGTCCACAAGTTCTCAACATGTCTGCCTTCGCGTGTGTTCCTTTCCAGGCTGGGACTTGGTGGTATGCTCGAATCTATCAGCCGTTACGCACAAAGGTACTTTAACAGTGTGATATCACTGAATCGTCCTCAAGCTAGCGCCCGTATATTCGTGATTGGGTTTATCAAGAGGGGCATAGGGCGCTTACAAGGCGAGGCTGTGAGAGCCTAGCCAATATAAACTTAGTAAAGAGACCTTTACAAGATGATATATGGACGTTGAGCGACTGACTGTAAGTATCTAGGTGTCTGCCGTCGATGTTCTCAGAGGCATATGTGAAGTGAAGAAATTGTTGTTGAGAAAGACGGATCGGAAGGAAAGGTGGTACGGGTTACAGGTTTGGGCCATCTCGAAGGCACCACTTACGTGAACTCCAGAAATAGAAGAAATAAAAATAAATACGGCTGAAGGTATAAATAGCTTGAAATATTACCGCCAAAATGTATTTTTCGGTGCTTACCAAGATTTGCTAGCCAGCGCTGTTTCATAGCTGAATTTAGATGCCTCGGAGGTCGAGCTATAGCGGGCGAGATACCTCACTGATTGAGACCTAAAAACAAAGGAGGCAATCAGCAATGCGGTTAAGGTTTCAATTCTCTCACAATCCCGAATTCTGCAATGCCTCTTGCTAGAGATGTATTGCGCCAGAAACGATGCATTCGCCACATCGGGCCAATCTATCACTTGAACAGCCTCTTTCCGCCAACCTTGGTGCCAAATCTCTCCACTCCACTAGATTGCTGATGCTGCCATAAACCCAACTGACCCACCAAACCGCCATCCCTCGTGAGGTTGTGCCTCCTCAGAGCTTCGCGTAAGTGATCCGGCAAAAGCGGTCCTCTTCTTGTCTCGTTTTCTCTCGGCTTGCCATCTTCTGCTGGTGGACCTGGACGACCAGTCGTTTGATCTTCCCCCGAGCTCTCCAGCCACTGTGTTTGCACCTTCCTCGCGCCTTCGATCATTTCGCCTGCATAAACTTTGGCCGCGGACTTGACGGCAAGAATAACATTCGTAGGCGCAGACTGAGAAAGGGTCTGGTTGATAATCTATTTACAGTTAGCATACCAGGTGCCTCGGCTTGAGTTAGAAAAGAATAGACATACCCTCCTAACAATCGCATCTGGCAATTTACTTGACCTCCATGCCTCAAACCGCGAGAACTGCTGCGCGTCAAGATTACTGGTAAGGAGAGCCCTGTGCTCCATCTCCTTCTTTCTCTCCTCCAGCGTCCCAGCCGCCATCTGGACATCCATGTTCCCACCCCCATCATCCTCCTCTTCCTCCGCCGTACTCGCTCTGCGCTTCCTCTTTCCCTCACCCCCAACCACAGAAGATTTATCATTCTCGCCTTTTTTAGGCTTGCGCGCGCGCTTCTTCTTCGCTCCGCTACCAGAGACCAAGGACATTGTGTCTGAGGTAGGGGAGCGCGAGAATGCGGGTGTGGTGTGGGAGGCATTTTCGGGAGGGAATGAGGTCTGGCGAAGAGGGTGGGTGGAGGCTGCGGAAGTGGTGGAGAGCATGGAGGCTTTGCGCCGTTTTTGGGCTGGTGCTGAGGAAGGCATATCCGATTGCCGTCGTTTCGGGGGCTGGGGAAGTTGCGCGTTGGATGGATAGGGAGGGGAGATGGCGGAGGTGTAGTTGTGGTTGTATGGAGGAGAGGCCATGATGAATGATGACTAGGAGATTCACCAGGTAAGAGGTAAAATATTTGATAGTGTACCAGAGAGACGGAGTTGGAGTAGGTGCTGGACTTGGAGATGTTGATGTTGAAGTTGTATAGTACCTAAGGTGTCCTTCAAGATATGTGTAGCCGTAGCCGTGGCGGTTGATGGATGGAAGTGATGTTGTTTTGGACAAGACAAGACAAGGCTGAGCTGAGCCGAGCATGTTGCGCTAATCAGTGCAGACCCCAGGGTTGAGATATCCCTAGCGTTACAGTAGCGTGCTGCTGGGCTATCGGGCAATAATATGCGATATATTTTTATCACCTAAGCTTACCTTCTCTTTCTGCAAACGGACCATAAAATGGTACAATTCGCCAATCCACCAACTCCAGGTAAAGAAGACGACGAAGAGGCCATTGAAGATATGCCTTCAGTAACCTCCTCCGAAGATGGTATCCACAATGGGACCTCGAAGCGCAAATCAGATGATGAGGGGCAAAGCAAAAAGAGGAAGAGAAAGTCCAAGTCCGAGAAAGGCTCCAAGGTCAACGGCGTAAAGAGGAGGCACAGCGTCAGTAAACCTGCGAGAGATCCAAGGGACGAAGCATCCTCTTCCAGATCCAAGAAGGAACTTGCTGGGACTCGCTCGCCAAGTCCAGTAATAGACTTTGATGGGCTCAGCAGACCAAGTAGGCTTCCAATTTTACGTACACTGTGAGTAGACTAACATTTTTCAAGGTCGAGGCACCCGCGAACGAAAAGAAGAAACCCCCGAACAAGCAACAGCCAGGCTCCAGAAGCTGTCTGGTGCCGTCCGAACAATTCTCGAATGCCTTGGGGAGGACCCGGATCGAGAGGGACTGCTGGGAACACCAGAAAGATACGCCAAGGCTATGTTGTTCTTCACAAAAGGATATCAGGAGAATGTGCGAGATATTGTGAATAATGCTATTTTCCACGAGGGACACAATGAACTAGTCATTGTGAAGGATATCGAGGTGTTCAGTCTTTGCGAGCACCACATGGTACCATTTACTGGAAAGGTAGGATTTCATAAACGGAAAGAGGCATGGGACTTTTGGGTTAACATATCTTCCAGATGCACATCGGTTACATCCCCGACAAAGACGTGATCGGAATCTCGAAACTTCCCCGAATAGCAGACATGTTCTCCCGCCGTCTCCAAATCCAGGAACGTCTCACCAAAGACGTCGCCCACGCCGTTATGGAAGTGCTAAAACCGCAAGGTGTCGCGGTAGTCATGGAATCTAGTCATTTGTGCATGGTGATGCGGGGTGTAGAGAAGACGAGCGCAACTACGATTACGAGTTGCGTGCTAGGCTGCATCGAAAAGAGGGAGAAGACTAGAAATGAGTTCTTCAGTCTTGTGGGGCTTAATAGACGATGATTTTGTATGGATGGGTGGAGATTTTGATTAGCATTTTACAAGGCGAGGCGTTGCATGGATTGAACGGGGATGGAAGGTCTTCAACACCACGGTCGGCGTTGTTACTTTGGTCTTAACGCCATATTATATGACATGAGAGTCATATTTATCTGGTCACTGAGTTGTCAACACTCGAAAGTACTCCTCTCTACGGAGATTCAACAATTGAAGGCTGTTCGCCAATATTTACACTGCGCTAATACTCACTGGCTTCTTTGATACAAGTCTTTGACATAAGTGGTAGCCATCATCTTCTTTTCTATTTGAATTCAACCACCCTCTTCTTCTAACGCCCCAACACTCCCCAATTCTAACCACTTTCCTCCCTCCACAGCATTCACCACTTTTCCTACCTCCCCCCAAATGCTAGCCGCAACATCCTCCACCCCTACACTCGCATCAACAACAAAAAAATCACTACTTTCCTCACCCCCTCTCCCCAGCAGTCCCAAAAACAGTTCCCTAACCCTCTCCTGCATCTCTCTCTTCTCATACTTCTCATCCCCATACCCACCTCTCTTAACCGCCGCTTCAGGGTCGAGATCTAGGAACACGACGCGGTCCGGGCGTGGGAGTCCGACTTCGGGTTGGCGAGCCCAGGCGAGGGATAGTGATGGGAGCTGTTTGGCAGCGCTGTAGACAATTCCGGAGTAGTAGTAGCGGTCGCATATTAGGGTGTAGCCGTGGGCTATTTGGTCTTTCATCCATTGTCTATAAGGAGTTAGTGAGATTCTGATGGAGGGTAAGGTGGAAGGCGAACGCTTTCTCCCATCTATTAGTTGTGAATAGAAGATGGATTGCATGGTCGTCCATTTCGGTTTGACTTTTCAGGTAGCTGGATATCATTTTCCCTATTGGGGATGTTCGGTCTGTGAAGAAAAGGGATTCAGCACGTGCTTGGATTTCAGGTGAAAATGATGATATGATATAGAAAAGGAATGGGTAAAGAGTATATTTAGTTACCTGGAAATCCAATTGCTTTTACATTGTGACCTTCTGCGTAAAGTCTATCGCATAACTTCTTCACTTGAGTTGATTTGCCCGCTCTATCGAGGCCCTCAACTACAATAAATGCACCTCTTGAGACGGGCTTTGCGGGTTCTTGCCAGGGGTATGGATCTTCGGAAGGGCTGGCCATTTAATGAAGGACTGTTTCACAAGAAAATTATATGGGGAAATTCGAAATGAAGTCTATAACCAAACTTTCAATTGAAGTGCTATGTACGAGTGGGGTAGTTCGCGTCCTGAATCTGGTGGGGGATGCGACTTTTTAGCGCAAGCTTTGACACTTCAGCCTTGCAACAACTCTACAGTATTGACTCTACAGTATTGTAACCTGCCTCGACAACGACGACGATAAATCGACAAATTCATATTCACCTCAGCCTCAGGAGTATCTTGTAGGTGGAGAATCTGATTCAATTGCCCTTTGACAGCTCTACGGATTTCAAAGATAACCCCTGCGGCCAGCGCAAAGCTTCGCAAACACCACGCCAACTTCAAGGTCGCATACGCTCAACTCGATGACTTGAAGACCAAGGAATTGTCATCTTTGACACCTTGATACTGTTCTCCAACAAAGCGCAGTCTTCATCATCTCCTAGCGCAGCTTCTCAACCCCCTCCGAACCTCATCATCCATCCCTCAACATGGCAGAACAGAAGCTAGTCTGGAATCCCGACAACGTCAGGGACGTTGCAGAGTCCGTTGGCATATCCTCCCTGAACGAAGAAGCCGTACGATCGCTCTCCCAAGAAGTCGAATACCGGGTCGGTCAAGTCATAGTAGAGGCGATGCGATTCATGCATGCGGGGAAGAGAACAGTACTAGGAACGCAGGACATTTCACAAGCATTGAAAGTGCTAGATGTTGAACCGCTCTATGGCTATGAATCTACGAGGCCACTGAGATTTGGGGAGGCCTCGTTAGGACCGGGACAACCGCTGTTCTATATTGAGGATGAGGAGGTGGATTTTGAGAAGTTGATCAATGCGCCGTTACCAAAGGTCCCTAGGGATATGTCGTTCACCGGTATGTTACTTTATGAGAATGGAAAGGGATTCAACTAATTGTATACAGCACATTGGCTTGCCGTAGAAGGCGTCCAGCCCTCAATACCCCAAAACCCCACCACCGCCGAAGCACGAGCAACAGAACTGGTCCCCAAAGGTCCAGGCGCAAATCCGAGTCTTGCAGCCTTAGCAGGCAACGACAACGTCTCCTTCAAGCCACTCGTAAAGCATGTTGTCTCCAAAGAACTTATCCTCTTCTTCGACAAGATCAAGGCCGCAATCCTAGACGAAGACCCCGATCCCGAAGTTGTCATCCTGCGTGAATCAGCCCTCGAAAGCGTTCGCTCAGATCCAGGCCTACACCAGCTAGTTCCCTACTTTGTACACTTCATCGCGGAGAAAGTCACGCACTCCCTAAACAACACTTTCGTGCTGCGCCAAATGATGGAGCTAACAGCAGCTATGATCGCCAATAAATCCCTCTTCATACAACCCTACGTCGCGGCCCTCGTGCCCCCCGTCCTAACATGCCTCATCGGCCGGTCTCTCGGTCCCGAAACGCCTGCAAACCTACAGGCGCAGTTCCAGCTTCGTGAGCTAGCATCGTCACTGATAGGGCAAATCTCAAGCAAGTATGCAGAATCCTCGCTGCAGCTCCGCCCACGTTTGGCAAGGACGTGCTTGAAATACTTCCTCGACCCCTCCCGCTCCCTCGGCGAACACTACGGCGCCATCTCCGGACTGCTCACAATCGGTGGTCCAGAAGGCGTGCGTTCTGTCCTCTTGCCAAATATCAAGCCCTTCGAATACGTGATTCAAAAAGCTCAAAACGAACGTGGTGCCAATGACGAGAGCATACGCATGGTTATCGCTGTGCTTCTCAAAGCAGTCATGAGTATTGTTGATCCTGCTGCTGACGCTATGACCAACGGAAACGGGACTGCGAACGGAACGGTGGCGGCAGAGGCGCCGCTCGTAGAAGAGTATCTGGGGACAGTTGTGGGCAGTAGGGTTAATGCGCTCAGTAATAAGGCATTGTGTAAGGCAGTACTCGAGGCGCGGGATAAGAATTAATGCCCTTCATTCATTGTTTCACTCACTCAATCCCCTCATTTCATTCATCTAAAACTGTAGCTGTAGCTGTATCACAACATGAAAGGGGGCAAATAGGGCAATCATCTGCGGGGCGTATAGGGCGTTCGGGCGGGGCGTGACAGCAAATCCATCTACTATATTGAACTCAAACACGCATTATACTTTCCATGTGACATCCAATCATATACCTCACACGGGCATCGGTTGCCCGATCGGGTTTTGTTGCACTTCGCATTTATCGCCCTTTTTGCCCTTTTTGCCCTTTGCCCTTCGCCCTTTTTTTCGCCCTTTCCGTGGGGCGTTTTGGTCCCCCGTGGCTTTTCGCGGGCGACGATTCCCTACTCGCTGACGGGGCCCGATTTGCTTTTTCACAGCATCGGGCAGTGATTTTAGGGCAGAGAAGATAGGGCGAGGGCGAAGGCGAGGGCGAGATCAAAAGTTCTACTTCGCATCGAGGTCTACGGGTGATTTGATCATTGTTAGAGATGCATTTACATGTACAGTGTTACAATAAACTGCTAGGCTCACGTCAAATGGATTTGCCAATGCGACAGAGTTTACAACAGGCCAGAAAGCCTTGATTTCTATGTTTTTTGAAGCCAGTGAAGAATACAGATATCCTCGACCCAAATGCCGACCCCGCGCCTAATCAATGCAATGCAATACACCTAATCTAATGATATACCCTCCTCTTCTTTTACACTGGTCTCCTTAAAGGATGCGCTTCTGTATTCAGCACATACTCATCCAAACTAATGACCCCGACATCACTATACAATAAGTAAAAATATTTTAACGTTTCAGCAAGCCAGAAACTCTCCATCTCGTCAACTTGCACGGGAGCAGCATCAAGCACGTTATCTATGGCACACGCGGCGATGTCGGTGGTGCAGTGCGCGATGATGGCGCGGAACATGTCCCAGCCGGCATCGGTCCAGTAGGAATTGCCGGTTATACGATACATGATAAAGACGGATTCAATGGCTTCTGGTCTAGACACATGTAAGTAGGGTTACGAGGACCTCGTAGCACCAGGAAAACATACCTCAACAGATATCTCCCATCCGTAATATGCACAAATCCAGGCGAAAGCTTCTTCTCCTTAATCCTAGCCCTTATAGTTGCGTCATCAGCATCAGGATCAATAGCCTCAAACCACTTCTTGCTACTCCATGGACAATGCTTCCTATCCTCACACGGGACAGCTGTGAAAGTCTCCGGCATAATCCCCGAAATTGTATTCCTGTACGCCCAGACACAGCCATCTGTAAGTCTAGCCCCATCTGCCAAGTCTTCAGGTCGGTTAAAGAGCTTGCCGGCAATGGCAAGCATGCCGCCAGCAAAGCAAGTTAGATGCTGTTGTTCAGCCTTGAGGAGTGGTTCTCCGCCTTTGAAGGCGTTGACGGTTCCTGATATTAAGATGTCTTCTTCTTTGACTGTCATGGGACGGAAGAAGAGATGCTCTTGGGCTACTTCGATGAAGTTTTCGTACATAGTCCGGGTTTGCTTGGATTGTCCTCCGAGCATCATGAATTGCTACCACAATCAGTACCTGTAATTTGAACATTTAAGAGGGAATTTACCTTTGGCAGGTACTCATAAGTCGAGTCGGCGAGAGCTCCCAGTGTGAATAGCTCCGCTGTCCCCGCATATGGCGACGCAAGTGCGATGCTTTCATTGACATGTGTGGCGTCTACAACGGATGGCCACATCCCAGGCAGATTAGTTTCGCTTTGCCACTTCTCCAATTCATCCGTGACTCGCTGAATACCATCGTAGTATTTGGTGTTCCCAGTGATTTGAGCAAGGCGGGTGAATTCCAGGGACAGAGAACCAAGCACAGCTACGACGACTGAACGACTTGGCATATGATCGTGTGCATTATCCTTCGTTCTGGAACATGATCAGATAGAACTTGGCAGAAATTAGGAAGTAACTTACGAGGACCAATGATAATGCGGAGAAGGCATCCTGTTCGGAGTATCAAACGCAGTATATAATATCTCTGCAAGCTCCAAGGCCTTTGTCATCAAAATAGGATACTTTCCCCCTGTGAGATCCCACGTAGCAATCAGACCTCCCAGATGCCGAATCGTAGTCTCAAAGAGATTAATCTGGCAACCCTCCGTATGTGTAAAATCTATGTTCTCCAATTCCTTCAGCGCAATATCGAACTCTTCATACAGCTCCATAATCCACAGCGTATCCAACGCATCCACCATTGTAGCTGCCCATCCGCAAAACGGAGATTTGTACCCGCCAGCAATGGGCCGCAATTCGTCTTGCGCCCATGCCTCCTTCTTGTACCCTCTCCACGAGTGCAAGAACGCGTCGCGAATCTCCTTCAACCTCTGCAATCGCACTGCCTTTGCTTCTGCAGTCTCAGGAACAGGCACATGTTGGATCTTGGGGAGCTTCTTTGCGCCTTTGGGGAGTTGGAGATAGGATGCGACGGGGTATCGTTCTGGTCGGATTGGGATGGGCACGTAATTAAACTTGGTCTGCGATGATTCGAATACGCTGGAACGGAAGAAATAGAATAACGCGAGTACGAAAAACGTCAGGCCTACACCGCGGACGATTTTCTGATTCGAGGCCTGACGTCGCAGCGAGGACTGGTGAAGAGAGTTAGAGAGAGTTAAAGAGAGGGCGCGTGAGAGATATTGAATTCGACTTACCACAAACGACTTATCACGGCTACGCGCATTCCAGCGAAGATCGTCCTTGTCCTTATACCCCATATTATCGATTGTTGAATATTATCATGACATGTTCAGTGAAAGAGAGAAGAAGAGACGCCGCCAAGAATGCCATGTTACATACTTATCTAAGGAGTCGCGAGTTACACATTCTCCAACGCCGCACGGGAGCGTGCCCTGCGCCTGCCTCGGGAACCCACCAACCATTGATATACGGAGAACGGTATAAATCTCCATAGTAAATCCTAGTACTTTTAATAGATCGAGGGATGGTCATACAATTAAAGGACGAGTAACTCTCAGATTGTAAGCACTACCTTGTAGCTTACATTCTATCAGAATCCCTGGAAACCTATATATATTACATCACTTTTACTCGAGCATATTACGAGTAGGTAAACCGTGTTATGGCTTAGATGGGTTTTATAATTATATCAGGAAACGTTTAAAAACTTCATTTACCTAGCTATGACTTGAACTTGCAGTTATATGATTATATTTAGATTATGTATTCCCTATCTGTCACACCGAATGTGAACATCAAGCCAAAATCTATTTTAGGAAGTAGCTACGGATTATGTCTAAGCTTTGAAGCCCCTCTAGCGCTACCCCTATCTGCCCCACCACGCTTTCTCTATACTGCGTACTTCGTACTCCATACATCCTGATTTCGTGAAGATACAGTACGGCAGCGAGCGTGAGAGGTTCTAGAGTATCGAAAACCTCACCTGGCAGAATACTATCAGTAGCAATGCAGGAGGGGTTAACACCCAGCTCTAAAGCTAAGGACATCATGTTCCATCTTACCTCATCTTCCCTAAACCAAGTCCAATCCATTCCGTTCCCTATCGTCTTATATTGTATTGCATCTGGACTTATCTAAAGAGGAAGATGAAGTCAAATTCGTCCTGGCTCTGCCGTTCTTTCTCGAGACCTGATTTCACGTCTAGTGCGGTTCTCGTAGGACTTTGCGTGGTGATGTGCTTTTGCCGCGGGAATAACCATAATGATTGTAGAGTTGGAAACAATTGGAGTGAGCTTACAGTTGGGAACTTGGGTATCGAGTGAGAAAAAGGAGACTAGAAGGGTATAAGCCTGCGGAGAGGAGGTGGTGTGATGACTGCGGCGGATATCTTTGAGGCTGCGAAGAAAAGGTGGAAGGTCAATGTAGCCAACAGTACGTTGGTGATGAGGGTTGATTAGCGGAGGAGGACTGGATCCACAAGACAGAAAGTTATTTTGCACCTCTTTTACTTTGATTTTAGTCACGTGTTTCTAGATTGAGGGTATGTAAATTGTTTCAAGTCTTTACTGATAAATCGAATAAGGCATGGAAATCTAATCTAATCGACTTGTTGCAAGGAAATTGGTGTAAGTTCTAAGGATTGTTGCGCCCAGATTTAATGAAAAACGTATAGCCTGCTGAAAGGCAGAATCAGGTACTCAGCAAGCCTCAATCGATCATCCAAATTCTTATCGCCGCCCAGCCTCTCCGGTCTAATGTCAGCGGCAGTTGCATGAAAGAAAGTTCAGATCAAGTGGTGGCCGGTGACAAGTGGCAGGAGCCTCAAGATATTCGGTAACGGATATGGCTAGTATGGCATGGCCTAGTCGCATGATGCAGAGCTGGGCGAACGGGACCTCCATCCACACCTCCCTTGACCGAGAGGGTATATAGTCTAAGAAGAAGACCCATTGCTCTATGTGAAATACTCAGTATCAATCTTCGAAAAACAGACAAGTGATATGTGAGTATGGTGATCAAGGTCACGTGTCTCATAGGCTAACAAGGTTATAGGAAAACTTACCGTGTCGGGAGGGTTGTCCTCATTACCATCGACTGGAGGCTCGTACATTGGCATCTACAATTGCTGTCAGCTTCTGAGTCGTTGCGGGCTCAACCTTACTGAGGCTGCGAGCAAAAACAGGGCATCATTGACGGATCAGACCTGAAGACCAGCGACCGCAACCGGGAGGCCATGATCGACCAGAGAATGAGGACTCGCAACTTACTGGCATGACGGTGGAATAGCCAAAGGTATCTTGTCCCTCATAGTGGATGCTGATATGAGCACCCACGATAACGCCATTGGCCATATAGATATCGCCTCGATTCGTATGCATATACGCCAGAAGGTTGGCTGGCATTGTCGTGGTTGGGTACCAAATCACCTCGTAATTCGCCGGAGCACCTTCGACGATGCTGTGCATGCCAGTCTTGGTCGAAGATACCATGATGAACCCCTATCAGTACGCCAGTCAGTATATTTCTCGTCGTACTGGATGTTTGGGTAAAGCTGGCCAGGACTATGGTGGTTTACGTACCGAAGCTTGCCTAATGCCTTGAAACATTGGGGAGATTAGATCAAGACGATGGTCTTGCGGGGTGGCTCCTGCAAGGTCGATATCGTTCTGTTTCCAAGACATGGTTGGATTGTACATTGAACTGCTGACAAGGGGCGTGTTTGTAAAGAAGAGTCGATCTTGGTCTTGAGAAGAGATGGTGGGTTATAAAAGAAACGAGAAAGGGCTATCAGGTGAGCTGGCTCTAGTTCTGTGATGACGATTTCTTCCTATCAGACAGTATCTGTTGAAGATAAAAGGAGAATGCAAAGCGCGCTCAAAAGACTTACTTATAGTTGAGAGATTTAGCTCCCCCCAGCGGCCCCCTATACGTCATACAGAAAAGGGCTCAACGTTCAGGGCGGCCTTGTCAAGTGAGTAGGCCGCTGTCGCTAATTTTCAAGACGTCTCTGCCCCAACTACCTGCCGAAAAGCTAGTATTGGTACTGTGATCCAGAAGGGGGAAGAAACCCGTATCGATGACCTTGATCGTATGGCTGAGCAAAGTTTCTGCCTTCGTTAATGTATCGGGGGATTCATGAGCAAGTGCTTGCTTTGAAAGGGCACGCGTGATGTTGGTCAAAGCGGCCATCGACCACGAGTAGATTTTTGAATGGACCTAAGCTTTTCAAATTACTGAAGACCGGCGAATGCATATAATTCTTTAGCTAGAGGAACGGGGAAAATTCAGGTGAATAGGGTGGATTCGAATGCTTCATCTCCAAGTACTAGAACCAAGCTGAGTAACTGCAAGTCGAGTAGTCCTCGAGCGGCGTTGAGAAACAATTCACACATTCACTACACGCAAACGCTTTTTGCCCTCTCAAATAAAGGCCACGAAAAATCTCCGAGGGCTATGCAGTACATCTAAGAGATCCACCAGGATGGTACCGGCAAGTTTTGCCTTTGCAGGGAACGTTAGACGAGAGGTGGTATTGTTAGAGGGCAGTCTGCAAAACGAAGAACCAACGCCCTTTCCTAACAGCACGCGGCAAATAAAACAGTCTAAAGCATGTGTTTGCTTTGCCACACTGCGTACTGTTTTTCAATTAGCTCGCGACTCTTTACTTTGACTTTCATTGCGTTTATTGGAAGTCGGGGGTGGCATGTCTCAAACAAGTGCTCGAAATTAGCTTGATAATGTGTTACACACACAAAACATGAAAGTGATAAGAGAAGGATATCAAGGCTCTTGACGAATATAGTCTGCCCTAATCGCCATGGCGCAGTCTAAGGCAGGCGGGTTGTGGATAACTTCAAGTGTTAATAGTCCGTCACCCCTGTATAATTTAGTGTTGGCAGGGACATTATGTTGATGATTGGCTAAGCTGTCGAATTCACAAATGGCCATCTTGCCAACCGCTCGTATAAGTGCACTTCTTAATCCAAGCTGACGGTCATTTGCTACCACCATTGCAGGTCTCGATTGAGATGATTCATTGGAGGCTGGAGCCAGCGATGGCATCACGTGGTTTACACTACTCGGAGGCTAAAAATTGCACAGTCCATTGCCTTGAATATCTATACAGCCCTTGAGATTTCCATGACACTGTTCTCTTGGTCTCTCTACTACTGACAAAGTCTCTTCGGACAAGTCACGAATTCTATAGCCTCCCCGTGAAATCAACTATCACGTCTCCTTTCTTGTGGAATCGATAGTACGGACTGGAGGGGAGGCCTGAGCGGATTTCATCCCATTTCTAAGCCTTGGAGAGTTGCCTTGGGAGCTACAGGTGCGTATATCCGTGCAGCATTCAACCTCGTTGTTACCCAAGGTTGACTACCAAGTTCATTGGGCCGAAGCTTGCATTTTGATCACAGCTGTGCCTCCCGGTTTGTGAGTACGGAGTACCAGTATATCTCTATATCTCCATTATACCTAGGGCTTGTAGGGCACCTTTCTAGGTAGTTAAACATTACGGGAGCCCAACCTAGTTTCTTAACGACATAACGAGTTGAGTAACACATACATCTAAGTCATCAGTGGCCTCCTTCCCCACACCCCCCCTACCGCACTCCCGTTTCACACATTTGAGGGCAAAACCATAGAACTCCTTCCTCCTTCCCTCTTACTGAAGTTAAGCTTGTTCTTCCTTCCGTGAATCATAAGCAAGGCTGCGGCGAGGTGCCTGACAATCTGCCGGAGCTAGGAATGCGGCAGTGCCATCCGTCACACAACACAACCGAAGGCGATAAGTCAACGGCGGACCCGGCATCCCTGCCGGGCTGATTTTGTGGCCAATTCCCAGTCTCCGGTTATTTCTAACTCATTCGTCTTTCGTCTCCAGTCAAGCCGCCGCTGTCCTTGCCTCTCATGGCTCCGTTCAACTCTCGCCCATGCCTCCAGATGGAATCACTGCTCTGCTCTCTCAATTGCGTTTTTCTGGTTTATGAGGGTCTCCAGCACTTCGGCGTGCTTTCTACTGTATCCAGTGCCCGCCTCATCCCTGTCCGTATATTTATCCCAATTCTCCCTGGCACAGTACCAGCAAGGTTATTTATGGTCTTCAAGTTTCATAGGCTTCGAACGATATGAGAAACTTTGAAACAAGTCTCGCGGAATTTGTTTCTCTAAACATCATATGCTGGTTCAGACTTTCGTGACCACCACTGAATGAAGGCGCCTTGGCTCTTTCTTCTAGCACGTCTCCTGCCAAATGTTAGACCGAGTCAATTTTCTTTTGATCGACACGTACCGTAGTGATGCATGATGCTACGCATCGCATTAACGAATGTCTCCAAGTCGTGACTCGGGGTTCTATCCTCGCCCGCCTGAAAACCATCCCGGATAGGGTTGTACTTACGCGTCTTGAAGGTCGCGTGGAAAAGTTCTGTAACGTGCCTGAATGGATATTCATCCAGCTTGCGACATTTTTCTACCATTATTTCTGGCGAAAGAGCTTCATTCTGATGAGTCCTTTTGTGCATGACAATTCCATTCATTGCCATTTGTGCCTCTTCCATGCACATACAAAGTATAATGATAATGCTGAAGGCTGTTGCCCAAAAGCCCTTGTCTCTTGTTCTGAGTTTTGTTTGGAGATCTTTCAAGATTTCATTTGTTGTTTCAACGCGGAGACTATGCATTGCAAATTTCACTTGTCGGTTGAGGAGATTCGAGACCACGTTCGAATTCCATAGACATAGGGAAGGTCTTTTCAGTTTCTGGGTTATAGTTGCGCTGGAGTCATCTGAGTATGTTATCGTTCTCCCCATGAAGTAATGCATCGAATGCAGCATCATGGCTTTTTCGAGAAGTTTTTTCTAGAGACAGGCTTAGCAAACTGCACAGAAGTTGGGCAATTTAGCGCTTACCCTATCCTCCGAGGCTGTCGTGTGATACCGATCAATAGCCTGTAGTAACCTACTAGTAATGCTTCCGATTCCTTCCGTGGCAACAATACAAGACCCGTACATTGTCCTTGCCATATTTCTCGCGTGCGTTTTACAATTCCTCATAAGATAGTCCAAATCAATATCTTGTAATGCAACAGGTGCGGGGAATTGATCTTCAAATACATGTTTGCCATCACGAGAAATGATGAGGGGAACTTTTGTGAGTTTGTCTTTAGCTGGTGTAAATTCTGCGACTTTCAGTCGCATGGAAATGAAACGCTGGCCACAACTGATAGTTATGTCAAAGTTAGCTGTGCTGGGACTAATAATAGTCTTCTCCAGTAGTTCATTGACGGCCGTTTTCTGGAAGTGACAAACTAGAAAGTCTCTAGAAGCGTCAGTACAACCTTTCTTTGGGAAACCTACACTCACCGGGGAAGAACATTTTGCAGTAGTCGCTTAGGTGAGCTCTTGTACAAAGGCTAGGGGTCAACGACCACCTCGTATTCTCACATCTGTCACACATCTCATCCTTTCCAGAGCACTGTACGTTGCTTGTTAGTGATATAACTCTTAAAGTGTAACTCGACTTACAGTAACCTTGTGGGCCCGGCATTGGGAACATGCTCCTTTTTTGCGCGTCTCTTTAGCCTTTTTGGCATTGCCTGGTTTCAGAGGTCCTCTTCTTCCTCCAGGCCTTCGTTTTGTTGTTGGTGTTACTGCGACGAGGGATCCGGGCACTGAAGGATTGCCGTACCCGCGAAACGTCGTCATGTTTTGACCCGGTATTTCATTTGAGGCTACAGCCCGAATCGGCAATGTTGGTGGTTGTCCTTCGAATTCGGGAAAAAGTATAGCATCCTGAATTACTGGTTCTGGCCGTCCGCGGCTTTGTCCTCGGGACACCGATCCTTGAGTCGCAGAGTTGCTAAAATGGCTGAGACTTGAAAGTTCATCGCTGGTCTTCGAAGCAGATATTGGCACATATTCATGGAGGGAGTTTGGGAAGTCACGTCTTGTGAGGTCTCCAATGTCAAAATTTACTGTTCTTTTCCTAAACACTGGTTGCCAAAGTGTCATTGGCGACGCTTCAGGAGTGGAAGTAACCTCTTCGCAATTTATTGGCGTGTGTATTCTCTCTTCACGAAATTCAAAATCTGACTGCCAAGGGAAAATTTGAGGTACAACTGGCAATGCATATGTACTTTGTTGTTCCTTACAAATATTATGCTCGTAATATGACGCGTCGTAACCGAGGGGGTTTGTGATAGTAATCTCTGGGGTCCCTGCACTTGTCAGAATCTTCAGCAACGATGGAATGTCTCATGCACTCACAGTTCATATTTTGTGACTCTACATAGCTGTCCAGGTTGTGTGTGGGGATTGGTCCTGCATTGCTGTAATCCTTCGTTGACATCGGACTACTGGAGGGAATATCTGGACCTTCATACAACCTATTCTCAAAGCCAAAGTTGCCCCCATGGCCAGAATTACCCGTAGCGTATGATATGTCTTCTTCGGTACATTTTACGGAAATTTGTGGTTGCAAATAAGCATCAAGTGGAGGCCCAGGATCGAAGTCCCATTCTGCTCCTTCTCCTGTCGATGAACTAGATGCAAGAGTGTATGACTCTGAAGTTGGCGTTGCCTCCTTCCAAAAAGGATCACTGCTTATATGACTACCGTTGGAAGCAAAGGATTTGACAGATCTTTGAAGCCTTAAGCTATCTGGCCAATTGTCCGTGATTGGAAGAGGAGCATTCATTCCACATGGACGTACTCCCCCAGAATATGTTAGGCAAGGATCCGCATTAACGCTCAAAGAAGCCTGCTGAGGTTGATTATGTACACCTGAAGCGTTAAATGACCCCTTACACAGATTGAGATGGCGCGAAACCTGCGTTTGGGAAGGTTTCTGTCGTTTGGCGTTATTTTGATTCGGGTGAGGGTGAGGGCTGACGTTACAAGGCTGCGATATGCCTTGACCGAATTTAGGATTTAACGGCACTTCGCATTCAAATGCGCGCTTCGAGGAGTAATTAAGGGGCCACATTGCGATTCTCAGCCGAGAAGCTTATAGGTTTGAGATCTCTAAGCCATTATTAACCCCGAGTCTTCGCAGAGAATTTCTTTTCGGCCCCACGAGTGTTTATTATCCTGATACCTGAGCATGAAAAAAGTGGGATACGATCTTCTTTACCCTATCAAAACAGTGAGGCTCAATAGGACTGGGTTTTAAATGAGTTTCGCAAAGGTCATTCTTACTTATGCAACGATGCCCGATGTTGACACACCTTACTGGCGCCCAATATAGCCTAGCGAAATCTCCAGCAATGTCAATTGGAGGACAGCCTCACTTTCCATAAGCCGCAGTATGTACCAAAGTCAGCACCGGTGAAGCCTCGTCTTTAAGCAAGCCTTTCGGGCGCTTAAGTTCTCCCGCCACTGTTATGACAAGTGGCATACGAATTTTGCCACACCGACTTTTGAACTTTATACTCACTATCAGCGAATGCGGCTCAATTGTGTTGGTTTCAGCATTCATTTATCATACAATATGTCTTGCGGTAACACTAAAAGTGCGTGGCTAGGAACGTATTGCACTATAGTCTGCAGTCATACTCCACGTAGAACACGGCTGAGGATATATTATCTGCTGGGCGAACTTAGGGACCATTGGTGGGTCTACCTAAATTCCAAATTATACCAATATCCCACCTACCACTTGGTATCAACTGGAAGTGCTTTTTGATATGAAGCTTTCTTGTATTGTCTTGATACCAAAGACAATTCACATTACTTTTGGTCGACTTCACGTAAATTAGGTATGAGTCCGTATGGAAACATTGACTAGTGCTTGCTTGCATGAGTACTTCTGAAATAAACTCATGCAACTGCTTGATGCAAGTTCTGTGGTACCAGCAAGATTTACAAACCACCAGTTACTAAGCTTTTGCACTCATGAAAAGATTAAATGAGTGAAATCAACCTAGAAAACTTGTCCGATAAGTGATTGTTTGCTACATGAGTGTATAAGGTAGAAAAAAAGACGCGAACGAGACAAACGCTGGTGAAGTTGTAATCCACCAAAGATTATATACAATTATCAACTTGGTCATAAAGTCTTATATTCATTCTATGTAAGAGATATTCAATATATCCAAGTCTTCCTTCAACATATCTACATATCTGCGTGCATTAAAACAACACCCTCTTCAGCTGTTCGCCGACTCTTTACCTTACTCGGCCCCGGTGCCATCTCTATCCAGCCGCCATCAGGACCCCAAGTCCCGGCCTTTGTATAATCCCAGGTCGAGCTTCCCTCCATATAAGCAAAGCGGAAATATTCCGGTTCTTCCGCTTTAGGGTCTTTATTCCAAGTAAACTGTTTGTCACTATCAAGTCCTTCGTCGGTGTATCCTCTGAAACGCTCTACATCGTTCACCAAGACGGATATCCCATCGAAGGGGTCCGGCGGAGCAAGCCAGGAGAAGGCTATGGTTGAGAAGTTTTCTGCGAGGGTAATGGAAGGCGATGATATGATAGGAAGTTTGGAATGATGCTGAGCATCGCCTTGGAGCGCGTCTGGCGTTTGGAGGACGGGGTCGAATCCCCAGCGTGCAATGCCGTTGATGAAGAGGCCCATGAGAATGCCTTGGTACAGAAGTGCCGGCCGCGTTTGCATACTCGTTCCTGGAAGAAAAAGTAAGGCAAGAATGTAGTGGTGAATACGGAGACTCAGGCCAGGTAGCGCAAGGGATATGATAATTGCCCCGATAAACATCCCGTAGACACCTAGGTACCGAATAAGACGTCCTTCACGACGGAAGTAGAAAATCTGTGACACGACTATAAGAAATATGAGGCCAACGATGATACAAAGTGCCAAGATAGCTCCAGGTTGTTGTTTGAGGTCAGGAGCATTGAGTCGTTGAATAGGTATCCAATCAAGAGTATGATTGGAAAGGGCCCCGAACCAGCATCCTCCGAGCCACAGGATAGTCTTTTCAACCTGAGCAGTGAGCCCAGTAAGTGTACGTCGCACACCCATGTATCGATAGATAATTACAGCACAAAATGCCCCAGGAAGAAATTTCCCCAAAATATTCGAAAACAGGTCCGCTTTGCTGGCGTGCCATGGAGGATCTGACGCCATCCCAACGTGCCAAAAAAGCCCAGTAAATATACTGAAGTAGAACACACCAGGTGATGTCGTGAATAAAGATATTGTTATAGAGAAAGCTAACGAGACAATGAGCAGCTGCCAGCGCGCATCTTTAGCCTTGCAAGTCGTCCCAGAATGAAATGTGAATGAGGAGGGAAAGTTCGAATCAAACCCGATGCTTTTTATGCCATGTCGCTCCGACGCGGGATAATTGCTGTGCCCGCCAACCAGAGACACCACACCACAGCCGCCTTCACTATTACTGATGACTCCAGCATGAATAGCTGAGGCGCAGATGAAGGAGTCGCTTCGATAAATAGGTGTTTGGTCGTCATCCGAAGGACCGCCTATGACCAAAGGCCGATAGTTGACCTGAGTTGCTCCAACCGCCCGGGGATTGAGGATCCAGGTGCTAGCACAATCCGCGGGGCATCTGAAGGCGAACCCGCTACCGTTGAACGGTCGACAATCGTTCCCATTCAAACCGCATCTATTCCCTGGTACCCAGTATGTATTGCCACATCCAATATTTGACGGGGCTCCCCATCCTTCAATCTCTGTTGCAAAAGTACTTCCTCGCATGACCAAGGCAAAGGTCAAGATCCATGCAGAATATAGAGCAACCAAAGCAGATATCCTATGCTTCCTCTTTGGCAGGAACCGATCCAGAAGTTGAATTGGATATTCTTGTATAGATTGAAATATTGGGGTAATAGTATGTATATGTGGAGGATCTGGTCCTTTCGCCCATATTGCTGCTGCCCTACTGACCCTTCGTATCCGCACAGGCACCCATTTTATGTGTTTGTACGAGCCTTGGTCTTGCATGAAACGCGGGGTTGGAGGGGAGCTGTCGTCAGAGAACTCGTCCATCGGAAGTAGAGTCGTCTGTGTTGAATCGTCTATTGGATCATCCGGATGCTCAATCACAAGCGACCGATACCTCCCCATTTCTTCATCATTGTTGCCATTGATAACCATTGCTTAGACTCTTTTTTGAGTCAGTATCTAAAACCCGACGAAGCCGAAGGCAGGTCTTGCCTCGACAACTGCGCAACTAGTGGACTGCCAGAGTAGATTTGCCTGCAAACCTGCCAGTTTCAAGGTTGTACCATTACAAGTATGATACAAAAACGCAAAATATGTTCCAAGAAGAAGGGCAGAGCACGTTGAAGTGGTGGTGTTGTTGATATTGTCGAAGTATAGAAGAGATCACGATAAGCCGAGGCTGGGGCTGGGTGTTGCTTCGCAACTGTACCTACACTAGTCTAGGAATAGGTTAGCGCTGAGAATTACTATCAGCGCTATTCCAGTTTCATATTTTTCAACACCAAAACAAAAGTACTTGTAAAGGAAAGATCAACGTGTACACCCCAAAGCCACCCAAGAAATGTCCATTGAAACTTCGTCTATTGGTCTATCAATACCTGGTACTCACGATTTTCGCTGAGGGTCGTTGACCTGCAGATAATTCAGCGAATTCTCATCGCTTTGTGAATTATGGCCGAATCTTCTGGCATGGCTACTGCGGTTGAGAGTTTAGAAGAGCACAAGGGGCTTTTCTTCGACATATTTGGGTCGTTCGATGCCAGTGCTGTGACACCCCGACTGGGCAGACTCCGGGTAAAAGGTCGTCAAGAGCTCGAGACACCAAATTTCTTTGCCATTAGTTCTAGAGGGGTGGTTCCTCACCTCACACCAGATGTGATCTCAGCAAGCACAACGATTGGAGGAGTTCATATGGCCTTAGAAGACTGTACGTTTCATATTATATGGTCACGTGCCGTGCTTCTTTCGGTGCTTGGACTAATCAAGCACAGTTATAGAAAGGGCAACAATAGGCACACCGCCGATAATGAATTGTCCAGGATCATCGCCTATTCATACTTTTACTGCCCTTCCTCGGCCTCTCATCACACTCCTCGCTCCTCGACGAACTCCTGCAGTTTCAGCTCCCAAAGGCAACAGCGCCACAGCTATTTCTATTTTCCCTTCAACTGGATTTCAGGTTCTCTCAAATAAAAGCTACATCTCGTACATTGCAAAACTGCATCCGGATATCGCTATTTCGCTTGCCGATGTCCCACATGGCTCAATTCCTGGTTCTAAAAGAGTCGCCAAGATGGGTGATAGGACACAAGAATGGGTCACAGAACTCCTCGACTCTAAAAATGACGAGCAAGCAGTGTTTGCACCAATACTGCCCATAGACTCTCTTAGTCAATATGAGTATCTAAATCAGCTAGTAGATGAACTGACTGACGAAATTTCTGGTCTTGCGTTCTACGACTCGAATCTTCTTCCCGATATGCCAGCCACTACATCCTTTTCCCGCCTGCCGAGACTATCACTCGATGAGCCATCATCCCCATGCCAGATTCTCAGGCAAGTCTCATTAGGAATGGACATCTTTACGATCCCATTCATTGGTTTCGCCACGGAGGCTGGCATTGCATTGACTTTCCGCTTTCCTCGCCCTGTGCTTGACGAACCCTTAGTCTCAGACGGCGTTGCAGGCAGTGTTCTACCGCTAGGAATTACTATGTCTTCCAATGCTCATGCTGCTTCACTCAAGCCGCTCTCTACTGCCTGTACATGCTATACGTGCGCGAACCATCATCGTGGTTTTGTACAGCACCTTCTCTCTGCCGATGAGATGCTGTCATGGACACTTCTTCAGATACACAATAGCCATGTTGTTTCCGAGTTCTTCACCTCAATTAGAGAGAGTATCAGAAGTGGGAATTTCGTAGTCCACTGCGACGAGTTTGCCAGAGCATACGAGAGCGATTTACCTGAAAAGAGTGGACAGGGCCCCAGGGTCAGAGGTTATCACTCCAAGAGTGAGGGACCGGGAGAATTGAAGAGAAATAAAGCAGCTTGGGGAAACCTGGGAAACTTTGAACACGGTATCAATGGCTTGATACCAACTGAGCCAGCTGGGACTCTGGAGGATAAGGGCTTTGATGAGAAGGCAGATACATAAACGCTCGAAGTCGAGATCTTGAACCTTAATAGATCTTTTCATCCATAAAATTATACAACTCTCACTCGTCTTTCGAGGGGTACTAAACTCCTAGCGGCCCAGTTGGTTCAGCTTTGGGGTTTATCGTCTGGTTGCACGCTTAGCTAGACTGTCAATGCTCAGGAGATATTGGAAGTCGATGATCGGCCTACTATTCTCTCCGATTTTGCAACAGGCTTCAGGTTTCGAAATTCTATCCTTAGCTTGTATGCTTTTCATCCATGAACTGGACCCCCTTGTCCGCTGCGGGGCACCAAGGTGGTAACTAAACCACGAAGTCATGTGACAGTACTTCAATATTTCAGAAGCTCGGGTTTTTGGGCTGACCTATTTCCACGCCTATTTTCTCCTGCAGTCGAGATCAAGCTGTCTATTTCGAGGGAAATGTATTATTTATTGGACATCGAATTGTTATTGCAATAATTTGGATTTCGCTAAGTCATCCTTACGGAAGAGGTAAAAATTGCCGACGGCAATAGAACCCTCCGATTGCTGCTAGTCCTCACAAGTGGGATGGCCTTTGGCACCATCGACAAAACGTATACCTAACGTCTATTATTCAATTCGAGGACTTGGCAGTAATATTCGTACCCTATTTTCGCTATTTTCTTCGTACAGCTCGTGACTCCATGGCCAATTGTGAGATTTCAAGTTATGCCCAGCTCGATCCCCTCGAGACAGACTCTGTGCTCAAGCCATCTGACGGCGCTTTCAAGGTCAAGAAGCGAGAAAGGGCATCAATAGCGTGCACAAGATGTAAAAGAAGGAAGCAAAAGGTTCCTCGAATCCGTATTTGAGGGTATTTACTTTGAGAGAAAGCTGACTGGTCTGGCAAACAGTGCAATGGTGGTCGCCCCTCATGCAACAAATGCAACGAATCCCAGGCCACCTGTGAGTACGCGCCTAGCAAAAAGTCTACAGCATATGGTAGGCGATCATATGTTAAAGCACTGGAAGATCGTGTGGCAGAACTTGAAAGTGAAATGAGTAAGGAAGGGAAGATAAAGTATGGAGAAGATCATTGGCAACCACCAATTCGCTCCCAAGACCCTTCGGCTAGCTTTCCATCTGGTTCGACAATGCACAGAAATCAAAAAGACACGGAAAACAGTATAAATATCAGCCCTAAAGGTTGCCATAAGACCCTGCTGCCACAGTTCCCGTCTGCCCACCGGGGAAATTCTAGGGCGCTTACTTCCAAAAATACCACATCGTTTGTAGTGCGGGATCTTGTGATAGAGTCACACGGCTTCTTTGTTGGGGCAGCTTCATGCCTTGCCCTTGGCCGCGTGATAGAAGAGATTGTTGGTGTCGTGGACGTGGGACCAAAGCTTGAAGAATTTGCATCCAGTCCAGTCGCATCTATTCAGCGTACAATTGACCAAGAATGGGAAACGTCCACTAGAAACACAAGGACGTGTGGGGAAGAGCTGTTCTGGCTTTGTCCAAAGTTAGCAGATCGGCTTCTAGAGGGCTATCTGAAAATTGTTGCCAACCAGTGGCCTATCCTCAGAACTGCACATATCAGAAGTCTCCACTCCAGACGTCTAACCCTGGATAACGTCTACGATACATGCACGCTGAGTCTCATTTATGCTATTGGTGGGAAGTATCTGGAAACCATAGATACAATGAAGGGATTCAATTCAGAGGTTCTTTTCAAGGCCGCTGCGAAACATCTGGAAGAAATACTGAAGTTCACCGATATCCGAGCTGCTGTGATGTTGCTCCTCCTTACTATATATTCTCTCCGACTGATCGGAGGCCCAGGTGTTTGGTATGTGCTCTAAAGCTGCTAACTGTTTTATTTTGATGAGTTAACTTGCATGTCAGGACGTATGCAGGAGTTGCTATGCGGCTGTGTATCTGCTATGGTTACCATCGAGAGACTTATTCGCCAAAAGACCGTGTCCAGGACGTAGAGATGCGTCGGAGGATTTTCTGGTCTTGTTATTGCTTGGATAGGCAAACATCAATTGAGATGGGTCGCCCTTTTGCTATATCTGATCGAGACATTGATATTTCTGTGCGTTTCCCGATCCATGGGAACTACGTGTTGCTAATTGTTTCGTAGTTACCAACTGATATCGATGATGATGCGGAAGAGCCAAATCCCCCTCCAAGATCCTCAATTTCGCATTCGACTCATTTTGTTCCCCGGTCCACGTCTATATCTCATTTCATTCACACTATACACCTAAGACAGATCGAATCCAGGATCCAACAGACCATATATCGTGTGGACAGGAAATCATTCGTCTCAGAAATGGACATCGATCCATTTCTAGACGAGCTTGCACAGTGGAAGGCAACTGTACCAAGAGACACTATCAAAAGGTCCGCGCCCGAGATGATCGATTATCATGGACATAATAGAACTGTAAGTGTCTCTCCTCATTCGTCGATTTGAACCTGTATCCATCCACTAAAATATTTAGATGGTTATATATGAGTACTATAAAACCTTGCGATTCTTGTTATATCCTCAGCTGTTCGTACCTGAGGTAAACCCAAAATATGTCAAGTCATGTGCGGAAGCGTGCGCTGGTCTTTGCGAAGCATTTCAAAAACTTCATCAGTATTTTGAAATCAGTTTCTCAAAAATGACGCTGCAAACAATTTTCGTGGCAGGTTAGATCTCCACCGGATTCCCAGCAGTGTGCTATTGCTCGGATTTGACGCTGACCTGTGACACAGGCTTAACCATGCTCTATTGTGTATGGGTTTGCCGACACGACCCCACTCAGCTCTCGACAAGTCCCGATCTTAATATATGCAGCACTTTGCTGCATGTCATGGCAGAGCACTGGTCACCTGGAAAGAAGTATTGCGATTTGTTTGAGGTTTTGAGATCATCAGTCGCGGAGTCAATCGCTGCTGAGAAAGGACAGCAGGGATCTCGGGAGCTTTTACATGATCACAACCGCCTCAACTCTGCCTTTAACACACTCGACATGGATAACGATGGCAACTATCAATGCGCCCAGATGATGACAGATATCACAGGTACGATCTTCACTGATGCGTGGTCGAGTTGGGAGGTCGATCATACAAAGCCAGGTACTGGAAACACGCCAACAGAACAGCAAAAGCTTGCGTCCAGGGACCAGGAACTGATGGGGGAAATATATGGGTTAAATGATATTTTTGATGGCAATAATGGTTCCCTTCCAGATATCAATCTTGACTTTTATCCTGGCATGATACAGTTTCCTTGAAAGCGCAAAGAATCTAGAGGCTGAATTGTTATTCAACATCCCTCATTTTCGACACATATCCAGTATCTCAAATTGTATAACTAAGGCTTCGTCGAAGACCGTTTTAATAATAATTTGATATATTTTCAAGGTACTAGCTTGGTGGCTTTAGATGTACTGCCATCCTAACTTCATGGGCTGTGCCTTGACTCCAGAACTCTGGCGAAGCCTCAAAGACGCATCTCGCGCATTCTGTTTGATTTGTGCCTCATCCACACGGAGAAGAACGCCATTTTCAACCACTACCTCTCCATCAAGCACGACCATCTCCACATTTTCACCAGAGCATGAGTGTACTACTACTGTCGTAGGGTGCATGCCACTGCAAGTCGTATCTGCTGGATCATAAGGCGCAGCATTCAGTCCACTGGGGTCGATGACGACAAAGTCAGCCTTCTTGCCGACCTCCAAGCTGCCCAAGGTTGATTCCAACCCCAACGCCCTGGCGCCATTGATAGTGGCCATCTCAAGTATCTGTTCTGCCGGCAGCAGCGTGGGATCTTCTGCTTTGGCACAGTGAATAAGACCTGCCAGGTGCATATCTCGAAAGAGGTCATATGCATTGTTACAAGGCCCGCCATCGCTGCCGAGGGCTACATTGATATTTGCAGCAAGCATGAGTGGAATAGGTGCGATGCCATCTCCGAGCTTGGCGTTACTGGTTGGATTATGTGCAACAGATGTACCCGTACGTTGTAGGATTTCAATATCCAGATCCTCCGCAATGTGAACTAAGTGAGCGAGGACAACGTGCGAGCCAACCATCTTTGTATTCGAGCAGAATTCCAAAGGCGTTGCTTTATAAGCCTCCCGAATCATTTTCTTGTCACCAGATGCTTCTGCACAATGCATTGTCACTCTGATGTTGTGCTGAAGTCCGGCCTCCCCAATGGCCGCAAAACCTGATTCATCGGCACCTCGCGGTGTATCAGCGGCCATCCAGATATGCAGGCGGTCATTGAAGTTCCCATGATATTTCTTATGGTTCGCGATGGCGGCGTTAACAGACATCAGTGCTGCATCTTTATCCCGTACATCAGTGACTCCAAGGTGACTATGAGTTTTTGGTCCCTTGACTAGGGTGCCCTAGTGTTATATTAGTATACTATTTGCAAAGAGGCTTACGATTGAAAACAAACCCCCCGATTACATGAAGGTGTGTTTAGGAAATCTTACCAAACAGGCGCGAATGCCAACTTCGCCCACTGCTCTACTAATATTTTCAAGTCCAGCTTGCACTGGTAGCATTGGTTCTAAGAAGCAAGTTGTGCCGGTCTTGAGCATTTCAGCCATTGTCAATTTCGCTGCAATATAGCCATCTTCATTTTCGAAAGCAACCTCCATCGGCCAGATAGTATCGCAGGCCCAATTATGTAGCGGCATTCCTTCCGCCAACCCTCTGATCAGTGACTGAATCAGGTGAGCATGTACATTTATGAGACCGGGGATTACAATCTTTCCATGCAAAGATACAATCTTGGTATTCGTAGGCTTGTCTAACTTGGACTTAATGTTGCTGGTGGGACCTATGGCAGCAATCAAATTGCCCACGACATGAATCCACCCGTCGCGAATGACGTGACGCTCATGATTGACCGTGATAATGGTTGCATTTGTGTAAAGCGTCGATGCCATCTTTCCTCCATAAAACGCTTAAGTAAGGCAACGCAGAATGAATAGGATGAAATGGGAAGAGAGTCTGAGAGATTGACTGCTCACTACTCGGCTGCCTGTCACTTGTAAATTATGGGTGTCGAAGATGGACAGGCTACATTTGGGCCCGGCCCCCTGCAAGCGCCACCCCATTATTGAGAGACGGGTGCGAACGTGTGTATCGACCGGCGGCACATCCAAAAGTGCCCGTCGGAATAAATGCATATTGCCCGTAACTCTTTGTCATTCTGACTTTTCGGGTATTTCATTCAAACGGTATCTTTAGCAGCGTTATTTATAAAACAGAGAGTTTTATTAATATCCTGGATACAGCAGTATCGCCAGACACTTCACGTAAGCCGATGGAGTATGCATTAGAGCGCATTAAAATAGCACATAAAGTAGGTGTTGCTATGCTAGCTGTCTATAACAAGTTTTGATGAACCCAAGCTACTACAAAAAGAAAAGAGAAGTACAGGCATGAAAGTTGGGAATAACCTCAAAAGCACGGACCTTTCCATTAGCGAAACTCTAGCGTCTGTTCTAGCGTTTTCTCTAGCATCGCATCCATCTTCCTGTTATTAATCTTATTACAGGCCATTAACTAGTATGCCATTAATCTTCGTCATTCCGGGCGGAAGTCTATCGTTAAGTTTGCTCGTCGCTTCAGGATGCTTGTGATGAGCTCTCTGCATTCTCCTATTATAATGCTCATACCCCGTCATGCCAATATCGTATCCCTCCACGAGCGGTTTCTCAGCGGTGACAAAGTGAGGGAGCGTGGTGATCAACTCATCAGCATTCAGACCGAAGAAGAATGGCAACGAATACCTGCCTTGTCCAGACTTGTTACGCACGCGGTGGATAGTGCTCAAAAAGAAGTCATTGGTCAGTCGGCCCATCATATCCCCTAAGTTGACGACAAATGTCCCTGGCTCCAGTTTTGGCGAAATCCATTCTCCAGCCGCATTGAGAACCTCTAAACCTGAGGCATCGTAAGGATCTTGTGCGATCATCGTGACGACTATATACTAAGGTCAGCTCAATTCAAGCATGTATGAGGACTCCGAGCAACTCGCTCTGAGAAAGTTTACATACGCTGCACATCAGTATGGGCTCCCAGGCCTGTCTCGTCCTCATCACTTGCTTCTTGAGGGGGATAATACAGCGCACGGATCCCTGCAATAGGATACGTTGACTTTTTCTCAAAAAAGTCCTCCTGTTCCCCAATAGTCTTGGCCATGAGGCCTGCGAGCTGTCGTACGAGATTGAGGCAAGCAGTACGATATGCCTCCAAGCAAGGTTGCAAAGTGGGAGCATCATTTGGGTCGGGCCATAAGTTCTTGCGGCGAATGAGCTCTGGCATTTGGTCTTTTACTCCCGCAGGGTCGAGGAACGGATCATAAGCCGAGGTCATGGACTCTTTGAGATCTGTATGAAATATCAGCATGCGATAATCGAAGAGTCAAGTAACCGCCACGGTGGCCGCCACGACGACAAGAGTGATCTCACCTCCTTTCTTCAACCGATCGACATTGGTATAATATGGTTGCTCGTATCCCATGTACGAAGGCGACAATGACTGGTGCACCTTCATTTTGACCTCCATGGGCAAAGCAAAGAATTCCTTAACACTCCCGAAAGCATTTTCTACAATGCTCCAATCAACGCCGTGATTCTTGATGACGAAAAAACCTGTACGGCTGCATGCATCGCGAAGGTCAACCACCAGTCTCTCTAAATCCGCCGCGGTAGCAGTTTTGGAGTGCAACGCGGTGAGGTCGATAACAGGAATCTCTTTGAACTGGCCACCAAGTCCATTAGATATGGGCCTGCTGATACCCTGTGATAGGATGAGTTTGGATTCAACGACTCCTGCCGTCCCGATCATGACTTCTGTGCTCTCGGAAGACATTTTGCACGAAGTGTAAGGAGGTGTGGGTTGAGATAAATATATATGCGCCTTCTCTTGCCAATCAAGATCAGATTTTCAAATGTCGGAATATCTGTTTGAAGATTGCTGCTACACCACGTAAGTTTTATACAGTATTTTCGGAACTGTAGACCTTCGACTCCTCTGGGTCATCCACAAAGACGGCGAGGCTTTACAAACACCATGGCGAAATTTGACACCGACGTCTCAATACAAAAATCCTTCTATTCATTTTCGGAATATCAGACATTCCACCTCCCACAAATGATCGGCATTATGCAGAAGATGGCCGTCAGCCTTCCAAAGCTTTGGCCGCATTGGTTCGGGTAATGCACCTTTCTCCGAAACGTCCAACTACTCTAACGGAAGCTTTGCTAAGTCCGCCAAGCCGAAAGATAGATGACCCTCAACTGCATATCACTGATTGCGAAGGACAAGGTACATTTTAGGTGGGAATACTGTATCATTGTCTATGCAAACTTCAGACTTCGTCTCCCGGAAGTCAAGCTTCCACGTTTTACCCTCGTAAGCATAACTTAATCTCCGAGATAGTAAATGATCCATAATAATACACCACCTTTATCAGTTTGCAGCCCCATTTAAATTTCTACTAGAACATAAACTCTAAGCTTTACTTTCCCAGTCTCTTTGTTTATCTAGCATGCTATCTTTCATGTTTACGCTAGCTGGCACTTCAACACCGCTCTAATATACAGCTGATATATAAAAGACGTCTTGTCTTCATGTGAAAGGACACAACATCCTCGTCAGCGCTTGATACTCCCTGAAGTTTTCTTGTCAGATTCCAGCAAAACTTACGAGGCCCACACAAATGGAATCCAAAGAGGCTCACACCTCCCATGAGACAGTGCATGATGCGTCACAACGAAAAGAGCTTCGTAGCACGATGGGAGTATGGTCTGTGTCTGCACTAGCTGTCGTTCTCCCTGGGTGAGCATTTAACCAGCACTTGCCGCTAAACTCACATCTTATTAATCGAATCTTCTAGAGCTTGGTCATTTGCTGCGAGCGCTTTGGTCATTGGTATCTATGGCGGAGGACCAGCTGTTGAAATCTGGGGTACTTTGGCGGTCGGGGCTGCTCTTTCCATATTTTGCTTGAATCTCGCTGAGTACGGCTCTGCATTTCCCAATGCAGGCGGTTGTACTTACATTGCAACGCAACTGGGTGGCCCAGAATACGGACGTATGATGGTGCGTCTCTATTGTCCTTTGTAGAATGTGACACTCAGCTAATGACAACAAACTGTAGGGTTACTTCGTTGGGGTTTTCCACTCGCTGACCGTTGCATTCATACCACCTGTGCTTATTCTTGTACTTGCCGAGTTGAGTTTTACATTCGCCTGTATCTTTCATGAGAGTTTTGTCCCTGCGCGGTGGCAGATATGGCTTCTGTTTCAGTTCTATAATATTGGATTTCTTCTTGCGATCAAATATGGCAACCGAGGCATAGCAATGGCAAATGGGATTGGGAGTAGGTGATTATTGGTGGGAAGAACGAGGAGACAATGGCGCTGATTTCATCATTAGTTTTTGTCTTAGTAACCGGTCTAGTTGTTACAATCGGTGTCATGTTGGGCATGTCAGCTGGTAATAAAAGACCCTCAGATGCGTATGTCCTCATACACTCTTGTACAATACCTACAGCTAACAAGCGGCTCAAAGTTTTGTATGGACAAGCTTTCAGAATGGGAGTGGATGGCCATCAAGTGTAGCCGGCGCACTGTTGGGGCTTCTAGGTATGTTGCACCGCAACAGGAGAGGCGTTAATGGTAAAGCTAGGCTAACGTCTATAGGTCCACTATACGCTTATGGACCCCCTCATTGGCTTTTGAATATGGCAGACGACGTAGAAAATCCCTCGCGCAATATTCCTATTGCGATGGTTGCTCAACAGGCAGGAAATATCGCTACGTGAGTTTAATCTGTTATATTATAACTTTGACTGGCCTGACAAGCTTTACAGAGTTTTTGCGTTCTACGTCGCCGTCTACTATTGCATCACCGATTTTGATGGTCTCTTAGACACAGACTTTCCCTCAATCATCGGCGAACTATACCTTCAAGGTACTGGCTCGAAAGGAGCGGCTTTTATACTCCTTCTCTTCGTCTTCGTCGCATCCCTATTTGGGAACTTTAGCTATATATCGGCCAATATTCGTCTTCTATACGGTTTCTTTCGAGGAGGCTCTGTGCCATTCGGGAACTGGTTCGGCAAGGTGGATCACAAATACAACCTCCCAGTCAACGTGCTCTACACCTGCATGTTTGTGAACTTCCTTATGAGCTTCATTTATTTGGGTACTAGTACTGGCTTTAATATTATTATTGATTCAGCCAACTTCTTTTACAGCCTAGGATTCCTTCCGCTGACGGCAGCTTCGCTTTTGACGAAAAGACGATACCTCGATCAGAACAGAGGTTATTTCAAGATGAATTACGTACTAGGTACTGCTTGCGAGATCTTCAGCTTCATATTCAACCTAGGATCTGTTGTAGTGGAGGCGCTCCCAGGCTCGTGGCCAGTCACAGCAGAAAACATGAACTATGCATCTGTCTTTGGTATTGCCGGCATTTTACTTGCTACTTTCGGCTGGATCTTCCATGGTAGGAAGCATTATTTGGTCCATATGGTGGATGGAATAGAATACAACACATCTCAGCCAACAGATGTGGTGGATGTAGACAGCAAGCCGTCAGAGAAGATGGCTTAGAACAAGCAAATGCGTCAATGGTTGGCGTAGAATCTGAATGATGTAAACCTGTCAACTCTCGGCGGGACCTGCAAGTACAGAAAATTGTCCTCCACATCCTGCATAGGAAAGCTTCTTGTCCTTGATATCGGCCGAGATAACCAAAGTGGCCTCCTTCACGGTGTCGTCCGTCCCCTGACCATTTCGATAATTAGCAGAAAAGCCCCACGAATATGCTTTCCCTTCCAAAGTGACTGCAAACGAGTTATCAATCCCAGCAGCAACCGAAACTGCGTGAATGCTTGGGATAATAGTAGGCATAAGAATGCGTGGCTTGCCCCATTCATCAAAGACAAGTCTATCTTTTGGCTGATTATCCAACTTGATGCCGGCTTGCCCATCATCGCAACGGCCCCATATCAACAGCTCACCATCTTCGGTACAAGCGATCGAGTGATGTTCGCCACCTTGAATTTCTCGGATCTTATAAGGGCGAAGAGATTCGACTATACCTGGCTTCAGGATAGTTGCATCACCTTGTCCTGCCCCATCTAGAATGCCTGTCTGGCCAAAGTTATTTGATCCCCAAGCATATACTAGGCCGCTCTCGTTAATGGCAAAGCAATGGTATGCGCCACATGCAATTTGCTTTATTTTTGACAGGGCTACTCGACAAGGAGTAAGAGCTCCAAACCGAGTTCGCTCTACAACGCGACGAGCGAGCTGGCTTTGCTCTCCTGCGCCCCATGCGAAGACTTTTCCGTTATTATCGAGAGCTAGAATATGATTGTTCCCTGCTGCAAGAGATACAATCTTCGTTAGAAAGGGTATATGCACAGGCTTTCGCTGTAATTTCTTCTCCCCAATTTTCTTCTTTTCGCCTTCGATGGCGTCCTTTGTGAAGAAGCCCATGACCCCATCATTGGCCTATGAATCTATTAGAGTGTAACGATAGCCTTGAACTGACTTTGAACTCACGCGAAATGTTCCCCAACCATAGACCAAACCTTCACTTGTAAGCGCAAAGCTAGCGCTGTCTAAAGCTACAACTTGGACGAATGTTAGGACAGAGTTACCGAAACTTTCTGCGGGTATAGCGATAGGTGTGCTTTCCATCGGGTTCAAGTCGACATCATCATCATCAGAATCTTCCGAGTTGGATTCCTGGTCAATATCTCTTGTCGGTGCCTCCCAGCTTGTATCTCGGCCAAGTGCCCCGTTGTCATTAACGCCCCACGTCACAATTTTCTGATCATGCGTGAGAGAGACACAATGCATACCGCCAGCGGCAACCTGAACTATTCCGACCGTGGTAGCATCGAGAAGCCTATTGCGACGAGGGCGTTTGACGTGCGTAGGCTTCTTTCCATCAATAGGCTTCGCGCCTAAGCCGAGTTCACCACACTCGCCGTCACCGCAAACATAAATGTCCAGCCTCTTTGTCGGAGGAATGTTAAGTGCTGTAGCTTTTAACCTTTTCGCAGGTCTCGAGATTGGTTCGTTGGGTTCTTGGCGTTTTTTATTTGGTGCAGTTTTGACGATCTCAGATTTCGATTTCGCAGGTTTCGAGGCCGCAGCTTTTGATGCTTGAGAAGAATTAGCATTCATTCTAGGAGTTGGTTAGTTGGTCATATATGCATGAGTACTGACAAGTAACTGGAGCAAGGTCTTTTCTGGCCGGCGCCTTGGGTGCTGGCTTCTTGATGGTTCCGGAAGCGGCTGCGCGTGGTGGCATGATGCAACGCGGTGGGTGAAAGAAATGAAGAGATTTAGGCGGAATCTAGGGAATTGCTTGAACGAATTCAGAACGAACTCAGATGATTGTGAGGTCGTAGATCGGTACCTAGTATGTAGATAGGTTCACATTAAGGTTCACTTTAAAAGCGCAGCGCGAAGGTTTGTTGTTGTTGTATTCTAAATTCGGCAAGTTACATTACAAGGGTCTCCTAGTCAACTATTTACCCGTTGGCCTGAGGCTGGCCCCGACCCGACCCGACCTACTTAAGGTAATCGGCGGTCCCCCTAGCTTCAAACCTTATTGTATCGTATGTATACTTCGTAAACTTCGTAAACTTTATCGTTCTCATTCTAATATACGGAGGTAGCATTTTATCTAGAGGTTTCGCTTATTTAAGGGGAAATCTGCTCTGCTCAAATTACAGCTCCGTCTATGTAGGCGCACTTTTCAACAATGCATTTTTGGGCCATCTCACATGAAGTGAAGCAACTGCATGTCTTTTGAACTAACTACTGCGGTATTATTTCATCGTAGTGTAACTCCGGGGGATATTCAAAAGTAGATATCGACACTTGAGTTCCCGGTGGAACCCGAGAGACTGACACTTGTTGATCAGAGCCCCCTCCGCTTATCGAATCGTATGAACGTCCCGTTGCATGATCTCCTGTCCTCTGCCCACGACCGAAACCAATGTCTGATGTCGAGGACCAAATCACCCGTTCAGTCGATTCTTCGTTGCCTTCTGGGAAAATTGGCATAGTATCCGCACGTTTCTGTTGATCGGAATTATGGCTAGACGTTTGTTCTCCGCCATGGTCTCGGCTGCTTCTTCTTCTGGTAGCCCTAGGTCTCGATTCTTGAACAAGGCTTTCGGATTGTTTTTGTTTGGAGCCTGAATGTTTCTTCTTGGGTGCGAATATATTCTTCATCGCCGAGAGACTGATACTGTCATTTAATCGTTCGGAATTGGATTGTCGCTTGGAAGGTTTGTCCTTGTTGTGATTCAGATTGTCGGTATTCCGCGTCCTGTCGCGCGTTGGAGAGGGGCTAGGAGTTTTCAAACTACTAGATGGTTTGATTCGTTGCTGCGACTTATATACGACGACGACAGGCTTGACCAGTTCCAAATCAGCTTCGTTCTCAACCCCACAGCGGTATAGACCGGGCGTTATTCCATAAAGTAAACGCTGCGATTCGTCAAATGCGCTATAGCCAAACTTTCTCCAAGTCAAGATATCTCTAAATGTCCAAGATGACACTTTGGTGGGGGCCTGATCCCGTGTTATCTCTGGCGATTTGAAGACGTAGTCTCTCGTGGAGCATGTTATCAAGCAATGGAGCTGTGTCGCTGGAATAAAGATGTCGTCGTATAGTTCGTCTTTATGATCACGGAGGATATTGTCTTCCATCCAATATCCCATGTCCTTGACGAGCTCCTTGAAGTAAAGCTTCAACTTTTGTTCTCGGCTGTCTCTGAATCCTAGAGTCTTGGTCATTGCGGTTACTGTTTCGGATCTCCATTTTCTAGTCCGAATTGAACTACCTGTTGGTTCATTATTAATATGACATTCCGAGGTCGACTGAATCAAACACGCACCTTTATCCTGTTCTTTATTCTTCACTTTTAGTATATCTTCGAAAATCACGATTTGGTCTCTTGTTGTACCAATAGGGAAGTGTTTGCAGAAGATATAAAACTCCATGAAATGCCAGATCGCGAGTGATAGGACGATGTGGTTGCAAGTGTCTTGTTTGCTCAGCCAGACAACTCCTGGGGCCCCATCACCCGCCAGCTCAGAATCTTGGATTGCGGGGTCAATTCCAAGTTTTGACAGATTCTGGGGCTCTCTTTTCAAGACGATGTTGAACCTGCCTGTGAAGTCGCACTCTTTAAACACCTCATCTATCCATTTCTCAATTGATTCGCAGATATCGTCGTATTCTTTCCTGATAGTCCCGTCCGATACTTGGTTGTCTTCACATAATAGCTCGAATAAGCGGATTTTGCATTCTTCCAAGTCTGCTTTCAATCTCGCGTTTTCCTCCTCTAGTGATCCCACAGATAGACCCCCAGGAGAGTCCGAGTCTGACATCTCCATCCCCAATTTGAAAGTGCTTTGAGAGCTCTGTGGCAAGATACGTTCCCCGCTGTGTGTTGGTGTCGCATAACATTCAGGCCATAGTATACCTGACAAGGCTGCAATGTGTTGAATGCCAAAAAACAGTCGTAAATTCGCGCCAAACGGACCAGACACCTTGCGAAGTTAGAAGTTTTTAGAACAAGCCGAGATGATTCCCTAAGATCAATAAGACCCTGTGGAATTACTAGAATAGTTTTCTATCAGTACAGTGTACTTGCTAAAACTCAAGGTCGGGAAAGCGAGCGATAGGGGCGCTCTGGAATATATTTATCGTGCCGATTGACGGGGACGGGGAGAATCCCTACTCGGCAAGTGGTAGTATTCATGGTTCTGACCACACTCCTGCAACAAACATGCTGTCATCCCACCCTCTTCAAAATTTGCCGGGAATGGCCCAATCCGAAGCACAGCAACGAATGGGGATGATTAACTCTCGCGTAATGGCTGCGATATCTTTAGGCGGCAGTGGGCTATTTGCTAGGATTATAGACAGCCTCACTTTGGTGGAGGGGTGGGTTACATTGAGCCTACACAAGGAAATATATATTCGCTGGCGGGCTGCGATTTGACCTTCTGCGATTCCCCATCACCAAGCTTTACAGCATTGACACAACTAGGCACCACCTGATATTATTCAAACCCAAGGACGCTGGAACAAATAGCATCAGTCATGGCGCCCAAAGAGCCCAAAGAGCCTATGAGGCTGCTAGTGGCAGTAGACTTTGGTAGGCTCAGCCTTCTCTGTCATTTCACAAAAGCTTCTCTAACGGATGCCACTTTATTACAGGAACTACGTTTTCAGGCGTTGCCTACTTACAGACCTTAAATGTGAGCCTAGAGCACAAGTCAATTTACCCGGAAGTGTTGTCACTGATCGAGAAGCGTATAGCATCAAAGGCAAACTGTCATACAGGACTGGGGCGAAGCCGGAGGGGAGGGTGAGAAAGTCCCAACGTAAGTGACGCCCATCATTCTATATTGTATTACTGTAGAACTTGCTGACTAGTCCCATAGAATACTGAAGTATGATCCTGGACAATTCAGCCCACCTAGATTTGGGTTCAACATCGACGACGATGAAGATGGCAAGATCGAATGGTTCAAATTGGGCCTGTATCCTAATGTTGAGGAGACAAGCCTAGCGAAGAAGTATCCCATCAAGACGCCAAAAATGAGCGACTCCGAGTGCCAAAGACATGTTGTAAACTATCTCACGGCTCTCAGAGAACATACAGATACATATTTCAAAGACCGTTTCAGCGAGGCATTCTGGCGGAACACCCCCAGAGAATACATCATTACTGTGCCAGCAATTTGGCAAGACAAGTCAAAAGACACAACTCTCGTCTGTGCCGAAAAGGCTGGTATGGGGGCAAGAAACAACATTCAGATTGTGGCAGAGCCGGAAGCTGCAGGCATTTATGCATTGCAGAGCATGGAGAATATGAATCTCAAGGTTAATGACACATTTGTCATCTGCGACGCGGGAGGAGGGTAAGTCACATCAAAACTAAAGTTTTCTGTGCTAGTACTAATTGAGACATCAACAGAACAATTGACCTCGTGTCATATACTGTGAATTCGTTAAAGCCAATTCCAGTGATTGGAGAGGTAGTAGTTGGGTCTGGAGCGTTGTGCGGTGGCACCTTCCTCGATCGTATATTCGCGGACTATTTGACCAAAAAGTTCCACGATTACGGTCCGTGGGATGACGAATACCAGGCTGCTGCTCTGAAGACATTTGAAAAAGACATCAAGAGAAAGTTTGCTGGGGACACCAATCGAACCTACACAATTCGAGTCAGACGACTTCCTGACAATTCTGCCCTTGGTATCAGGAGTGGTTTTCTCGAGATTCCAGGCAAAGACATCAAAAAAGTCTTTGAACCCGTTGTGAAGGAAATCGTGAAGCGTGTCAAGTCGCAGATACAAGCAACCGTCAACACTGGCAAAAGTGTGAAAGCGGTTCTGCTTGCCGGGGGCTTTGGACGAAATGAATATCTTCGGTCCAGATTGAGAGATGAGCTAGGTGATGGTGTTGATGTGCGCAAAGTCGAAAATAGGTAATCAACCCCCAAAAATGGATCTTATTTAGCAAAAATATGAGACTGACCCATGATACTACAGCAATACCTCCATTGTTAGGGGTGCTCTGATTTACGGCTTGGCCAAGAAGGTCCCAAGGCTTGCCACCTTTCTTGTTGATACGAATATTGCACGCAGGAATTACGGTTAGTAAATCCTTTTCATTTATCATTAGATGTTCGGTTCACATTAATAGGAGAGCTGAGACAAATTCCCACGCCTGATTATCCTGTGATTCTAGTCCTAGGGACTTCTGGTCGAATTTCTGGTCCGTCCTACTAATTTAATACTGACCACATGATCTTGATCTACAGGAACTCGATGTTGGCTTCCCCTGACGAATAAATACGACCCAAGAAAAACTACGACGTAATATCCTTAGCAATGATCTTGCATCAACCGCTGATTGGATGACAGGACAAAAGACGATGTTACGGGTGAAACACGAGTCGATGTCATGCAGTGGTTTCTGAAGAAGGCATGCCCTTTGCCTGAAAGTGCCTTGCTAAAGTTTACTTCTAACTGAATATCCTAGGGAGCACCGGTGAAGGAATCAAGTCCTCCCGAACACTTTACCTTCTGCGTAGACCAACCAGTTGACGAGGGACCCCTCCAACCTGCCAACCTCGACATCTACGTGTGCGAAGACAAAGAAAATATTGGATCACCGGACTACCCGGGACATAGTATGTACTATCTCAACCATAACATTGGAAACTGTCCTAATGAAGACAAAGGGGCTAGCGTATCCATGAAGCTCAGGGCAGATTTCAGCCACATACCTACTGTGAGATTGAATAAGGTGCGAGGCACAGATATGCGGCTCTACTACAAAGAATATTTCATAGTTGAGATGACCTTGAGATCGGCAAGCCTTCACTTTGCTCTCATTCACGATGGGGTCAGGTACGAAACTATTCAGGTAGAGTTTTTGTAGCCTGGGGTATTGTCCTACACCTGGAGTTCTATCAAATCCATGTATTCAACATACATGGCATGTCGATGTTGGCATATTGTATATGATTATCATTTTATTGTATTATGGAGTAAGGCGACGAATCTCGGGACGGGTGGGCTGCGTGGAAATAATTTGTACCGGGAAAGGTTCACCATCATAATAATTCTCATTTGAACACCATTAAGCCCACAAAATGAACTGTGAATTCGCGCTAAATCATCTATTGCTGAATTCAGTTCCTGACCAGAATTTGCCCGTCCTTATGAATCCCTGGCTCCCAAATCCATGACCCTTAACCCAACCTGCCGAACCACTGTGTCCAAACAAAGTCAGCCCAGCCGCCCCATCAGTGGCATAAACCCATTTAAAGAGTTCTGTGCCCACTGCATCATTCCAATTGCACACTTATTTTACATAGGGAAACCAAAGATCCTGGGCCCTCTTCGCGGGGTGCGAGGAAGCTGCGATTCCTTTCCAGAAAGGGTAGTTCTAGTAGTGGTAATCGATTCAACGTCCGATCCGAGGGTCCTTCTGAACATCCTGCCAAAGCATAAATACAGCAGGACAAGGATCGTAATGAAGAGTATGATGACGATCGCAACGACATAGTTTCGTTGGACCATTGCTGGGTTTCGGAGGAGGATCGTGAGAGCGACGAGTCAACAGTGATCGTCTTTCTTAACATTTCAAATTAGAATTATACGAAAATGGGTCGCAAAACTTCACGAAACTTACTTTGTGAGATATAGGTTGCCTGGTACCGATAGGACCATAGAAATGATGAGCTATTGAACACTGTAGCCCTAGATGAGCCAGCTTCAACGGGTCTCCACAGTCGCGCGAGAACTAATGGTGTGTGGTTCTCGCAGATGGGGGACGGCTTGCTTCAAGGTTTTTCTTAAATGCAGGGCGTTCAATGGATGACACAGCTAATTTATTTTTTATTTTCGCAAGACTGATGGACACAAACAGCGACTCGTCATCTTCGCGTTTATACACAAAGTTCGCATCTTCAATAGAGGTAAACAAGTAAACAGCGGGGTAAAACGAGCCAATTGGACCGTGGGGAACCCCTGACAGACACTCCATCATAAAATGCTTGCTATGAAAGGATGGGCAAACGGGAGGCTCAAAACGAGTGTGTAGTTGCCCGGGTTATGAGGAGGTAGGGCAGGCTGATGGAGGGGTAGACGACCATCTGCAAGCAGTTGACTGCAGACAAGGGTCCCAAAACGGAAGGAGACATAAGCTCGGCCCGCTACCCGCTGAGATTGCGCATTGCCTCTCATTACTCGTTATAGCCTGCGCTGTTAGAATGTAGCAATTGGCTTGAAAACGCTCTTGCAATTGGGTAGTTTTGGGAACGAAGGGGCTGAAGAGTGAGGTTTCCATGCGCCGGCAATTACGCCACCACGGTAAGAGAACAAGATGCATGCAAATAATATTTAGAATAATACAAAGGAAGATACCAGAACTCGATAGAGCTTTTGCGTATCATTCAAGGGCGAGGAATCGCCTTAGCATAAGTCCCGTTTACGCCCGAAGTATTATTGCTAGGTGCGGAACCGTCGTGAGTCTTGAACCAATCCAAAAACTGGAACATGCTAGCTTTCGGTATACGTTCCATAGAAGTCTGGTTCAGGTATTGAAGACCGAATTTCACTCGGCTTCCAGAGAACCATTCAAAGTTGTCGAAAATTGCCCATCCAAAGGCTCCTGTTACGTTTACGTCTGTTCTGGTTAGCACTTTTCTTGCATCTCTCAGTATAGAATATGACTTACTATCTTCAACAATCGCGGCAAGGATATTACCCAAGAAGCCCTGGTAATAATCGGCCCTCCTCAAATCCCAAAGGATATTACTCAAACTCGTCTCCTCGCCCTCTCTCGGTTCCGCAAATCCAAACTCACTGACCACGATACCGGGAACAGCTGGGAATAATTCCTTTGTAATGACGCTCAAGAATCTTCTGATAGCAACAGGAGTGCTGTACAGCCAACTCATAGCATAATCCGCATTCGGCCCCAGCGGGAACCCATCAGCAGCGAGGATCGAACTACCCGCGCACTCGGGATAATTAGGATTGCTAGGATCAGCAGCACAGGCTGCAGAGCCGCCCTCGATGCCTATGCCTAGGTACCCAGTGTACGCATCAATAGCAAAGAAATCACAAGAGCCCTTGATCATATCCTTCTCCTCCTGCGTGAAAGCCGGCAGCAAATCACCAAGCGTCTCCTTCAACATATCTGAGTAATCGCCATCGCGCCAGCACCCATTAAACCAGCCAAGCGCAAACTCGTACTGCCGGGCCACGGCATCAATGTCCGCTGCCGAGGTTTTGTTTTCCGGCTCGTAGTAATTGCCGGAGTTCTTGAAGGAGATGCGGCCGGCGCCGTAGAATTCTTCGTGGTACCATTTTGCTACTTTGGCGTGGGCAAGAATAGTGTAGTGGGAGCAGGCATACGCGCTTCGAGGCCACCGCTTATGTTGTTGTAGGCTGGGTAGTTACCTTTATCATTGCCAGCGGGATAGTAGGAATACTGCCAGTTGCAGTATTGAGCTGAAAGCCAGGTCAGACGACAACAGTAGCATACAATAAGAGGGTACGTACGTTCGTTGAAGGTATACCAAGTTGATACATATTTATCATACCTGTTGATCACAAACTTTGCATAGTTGAAATAATCTTCAACGATTTGGGGGTCTGTCCAAGCACCATACGAATTGAAGAGTGCGAGGGGTGTATCTGGCGTTCTTTAGCCTGAGGGCCCAGATGAAGAATGTAATCCGCACCCCAGTGGAAAAGGACAACAATTGGCTCGATTCCCGCGTCAATCAAACTAGCAACAACATCATCATAGTGTGCTACACCTTCGTGATTGACCGGTCCGTTGCCGAAAGAGAAAAACCTCGGCCTTTGAAATGCACAATTAACGTAAGAATAATGTGTTTCCAAAGTTCATCCTAGAAAGTGGTAGAGCTTACCAAGAGAAAGATGGGGAGAAATAAGGCACCCCCAAGCTAGCCAGACGTGCAAAGTCCTGCTTGTATAAATAGTAGTGACTTCCGACCACATCACCGGTTGAGTTATCCGCAACAGCCCCATAATCTCGGTGTGCAATCAGATCCCAAATTGACGGTCCTTTACCCTCGTCTTTTGCGGCTCCTTCGATCTGATATGCGCTAGCAGCTAGACCCCACTGAAAATTGGTTGGTAGCTTCGCAGCTGCCAGAGAAGGTTCGTATGATGGGACCTAGATAACGTCAATTTCGAGACGATTGAGACCAAGGTAATTTATTTACCAATGGATGAAATGCCCCGGGTCTGGGATAAGAGCTGGGCTCGGGAGTTGGTGAAACTGTTGTGGTGATTGGGCCAGTCTTAATCGCCCCCACCTGGTTCCACAGCATTGCCAATTCCTCATTCGAATACTCGTAGGTTAACGTTGTTGTCGCCGCGGAGACATTATAGACTTTTGTAGAGTACTCCGAAGTTGATCCAAGAGAACTGTTGTCGGTCGCTGCCAATGCAGCTGATAGCAGCAAAAGTATGCCCAGGAAGGACAACATCTTTGAGAAGAGAATAATAAGACTAGATGCATGAGATGGTTCGAATCGAGGGAAAAAACTTTCCAACAAAGGGTCTCTTCCGTTCTATAGTTCGCTGAATTTATAGTTCCATCATTTGGGGGAAATTAAGTCTGGGTATTCGCCCTTTCCGGGTAAATGGTTATGAGAATTTCATCTGAATTTTACCAAGATTGGAAACTAAAATTTATGAACACGTAAATCAAACTCGAGCTCTTAGAGACATGACCAGAATTACACTTGGCTGCAAGTACATGGAGATTAGAGCCAAAAGAAATGCATACGGGACACGAGCCTCCGCAACAGAAATGAATTACCATTATACATGGCCCGTGACGAGGAGCTGTCTTCTGAGCCATGCTACAAAAAGAATAAATCTTCTGTAAAGTAGACCCAGATACGAAGTAGATGCTGGTGGGACTAGGTATTAATGGCGCTGAAGGTTGGAAATGGACTTCCGATCAAACCGCACAAATCCCACTCAGGTGTTTCCACCGAGTCGAATGGCAGCTTTTCGATGTCGAAGGTTGGGACTAGAGAAGAAGGCAATGCCACAAACGAGGAAATTATTTGTAATTCTATTTGATTTGGAAGGATCAAGACAAAAGTCGACACATAATCTGATATCTGGAGTCTACCTACTGCTGATATCTTGTGGTTTTTCCATTTGCAATGCAAACCACGGAAGATATATCGTAACTCGTGTGGCACTGCAAAACAAAGTTGCTGGCAAGTGCAAGTTTTCACGAACATGACTTGAGGCGTCCAAACCGGAGGACGCGCTCCTCTCCCCATCACGCTCGCTCTCCAACCACCACTGACAGTCGGCCCAGATAGAGACCTTCTCTGTACAAGTTGCGATCCTCGCCAACCAGATGCACAATTGCAGAATCTATTTGTAAAGTGTAGATCATAAAATGAAACGACCTCGAGATTGATTCCACGAGGTCGAGATTAACGACAGATCGAGTTCTTTCTGCGAACATCTTACATGACCATTACCAACGACAAGACGTCGTCAGCCAGCCATCTTCACCGGTCGCTGCCACACATATCTAGCTGCGTGGTGGTTGATGCTCGTGGCCAAGAAAAGAGGGATTCAAGAGGCGAAAAAAAATGAAGGGTATTTTTCGTCTCACGTGATACGCTAATTAGTAATCGCTTGCTTTGAAAGTTGATGATTCTCATTGGCTGCAGCAGTGGAGCAATTGCCGAGGAGCAAATGCTCGCCGATAGCTTCCGTATATTGACGACGACAACATTTCTCTCCCCTCTTGTACGGTATTGGTATTGCATCGCAACCACAGGACAATCAATCTCACGCCGCCCATCATGTTGACACAGAGAATAGCCCAGCAATCGCTGCGCAGGCGTATGTCAATCCCGTGTCCGCTGCTCCCAATTGAGCGCAGATCAACATCCCACCTCAAGCAAGAGTGAAGCCATGAGATAGCTAGCTAACATGAAGATATACAGTCGCAGCCAGCCAGCCCGGCCTTGTATCCCAAAGCATGGCATTCAAGAAGTTTGCTGCTCCCGCCGCAATAATGGGCTCTTCTCTGCAGACCCGGTACGCATTCCCTTCATATGGGCCGTAGAACCAGAATACTAACGCGCAGTCAACAGACCAATAACAACGCAACCGATGAAGCCCTCCGACTCGTACGAAATCCTCGTCGCTCAACGGAAGAACCGCCCCAACTCACCCCACCTCACCATCTACCAACCCCAAATTCCCTGGATCCTCTCGATCACCAACCGCATCACAGGCTCCGTCCTATCCGGTGCATTCTACATTTTTGGCTCCGCATATCTTGTCGCGCCACTCTTTGGCTGGCATCTGGATAGCGCCAGCCTGGCTGCTGCGTTTGGCGCCTGGCCTGTTGCCGCCAAGGTGTTGACGAAATTCGCGTTTGCGCTCCCGTTCACATTTCACAGCTTCAATGGGATCAGGCATTTTGTGTGGGATTCGGGGAAGGCGTTCAAGAATGCAACTGTAATTAAGACGGGTTGGGTTGTGATGGGGTTGACGGGTGTTAGTTCGTTGGCCTTGGCTCTGTTCTTGTGAGTGGGAAAGGGATTCATATGGGATGGGGCACGGCTTAGATGAAATGCTGAGATGCTGGAGTGTAACAATTCAATGCAATATTTCTACTGTTAGGGTCGTGATACAGAGCAGTGCTGTGTGGTCGCATTGACTTTATTGCAATGCATATCCCTATACCTGTATCTTAGAAGTACTTTGAGTGAAGTTTTCTCGCTATAACAACTGGTCCATTGACCATAGCCGCCAATTTCAGCTACCTCTGTTTATCGTTCTATCTTATTTCCCAACATGTTCTTCCGCAGTCCTCATCATTTGCTCAAACTTCCATACGTTATCAAAGTTCCCCACACTCAAATTTGCATCTTCAATCTTCTGCCTATATGTCGACACTTCTTTCTCTTCCCTCTTACAAAGCAGCATCGTCCCCTCCTCCTTCGTTTGTTCATCAATAACAACAAAGTAATCCCTACTAACCTGCAAATCCTCTGGGCTCTTGCCCAAAAACGCAGCCAGCTCGTCCAAGTTCTTACTGATGAAGTCAGAGTGGAAAGAGTCCAGGTTGCTGTCAGGCATCGGCATTGATTTCCTAAGATTGCCTTTAAAACGTGGGAAAATAGAGGTCGCCCATAAAGGGTTTATTCCCTAGTATGTCGTTAATTTCCTGTGGAAACTTAGTTTAATATTTGGATGAGTTGCAAAGGGGTGGGGGCGACCTCGAGCGAGAACTCGGCCGCAGCGAAAGGCGTGTAGGACATGTGTAAAGATTAAGTTCATGGACTGTGAAGGTTAGGTTGTTTTATACCCTGATAGTTTTTCAAGGAGATATGATATGGGTTTTGTCGGTGGCTATATTGGAGAAATAGTAATTTGACCTGTTGTTTATCGGTTTTCGAAAAGTTATAGAGGTACAGATTCTTAGTTGAACAGTTTGATAGGAACTCTACCTCCTTATAAGTAGAATGTGGGAGATGCGGAGTAATAACGTAAATATAAGATTGCTCAGCCTTTCGATACTGAAAAAAGAGAAGCCATTTTCCACATGTGGCTATATCCGCTACCAGTCAAATCAAATCAACATCTAGGCTGACTACAGGCTGTGAGATTGTGCCCCCAATATCCTTTTCGGAGCACACTCAACGACCAACGAAATCTGTTTTAAGGCCAAAGTATGTTGATCTTATGATTTCTACGCTATGATAAGTGGCATGTGCAACGATTAGCTGGCCAGGAGCATCCGTTCTGATGAGAGATATTGAAGTAGTGGATGGTTAGACTGAGACTGAGGTTTAGCTTGCCAGTAGCATTGCTAAAGATGCGACAAGTAACAACCACAAGCCAAAAGGACGGAAACAAGATCTCTGGTTCAACGAGGAGAAATTAGGTATGACAGAGCCACTCTATCTCTCCATCCTATACTTTACAGGACTTTACGCAAGCTTTTAAACCCCACCCTAATATCGCAACACATTAAATATCCGATAATTATAAGATCAAGCCGGTCAACAGCCCACCAATCATCCTTTGATTTTATCGTTCCATCATCAATAAGTTAGATCAATTCTTCCGCGGGGGTGTCAAAACATAGGTAGGCGGCCGCCCTTCATTGTCAAGTGACTCATACTTTCCCACCAACTGAACTCCATCTTCTAACCCTTTGACTCCTCTTCTTCCCTTGACACAACACAGCCACCCTCGAATTAAGCCCCACAACCCAGGCATCTTCTCACCCCTTGGGAATACAGTCCCTGGGTGTATCACCAGGGAACACGAAATCGCGAACACCATTGGCATAGCTTCAAGGATATAGAAATACGATTCGTGTGAGACGAGACCGTTTGTCGAGGCATTCGTGCCGGCAGAGAACTGTATCAAACGAAAGAAGATACGGATCTAGCACGTAAAGTTAGTTCAAAATTACCAAGACAAGAAAGGAAAGGCACATACGGTAATGAATCCCAAACTGGCATAAGTAGCCCACAGCAATTTCATCCACCCCGTCTTCCCAGCACCTAATGACCCTTGTCGTTCAAACGCCTTCATTTCAAGATGAAACTTGATAGCCATTCCGAGAAAAACAAAGATGAAGAACTGCTGAAGCCCGATACCACCCATATATATATGTACACCCTGCATGACTTTGTCTGTCGGATCATTGGGACCGGCCCAACTGCCACCTACCAACTGTATAACGAAGGAAATGAAGTCCAGAGTAACGAAGGCAAAGGCTAGTGCTGATGCGGGGATAGACAAAATAGTGCGAGCGGGGTGGAAGAAGTAGAGGAGGCGGCCAAGAACCATGTATGCGAATGCGTTTACCCCTTATGGCTTGTTAGTGTGGTCTTGCAGGGAAAGTAGGAGCGGACGTACAAAGCGGTGCGAGGAGGACGAACAGATCAGAGACCAGCTCTATGCCTGCACTCTGCTGATAGCGTGTTGATATTGAGCGGAAGGTAAAGGAGATGGTCTCCCATAAAGCTCCCATAATCACCACCCAGGCGAATCTCTGTTGATGGTGTTTTTAGCCTTCATGGTATCTTTTCCTTGAGTCTTCATGAGGACTTACTGTCTTGAATTTTGCAGCTAGAAAAATATGGCTAATACTCAATACACCAAAGAGGATCGAAAAGAAAATTGCTGCACCAAAGCTGGGGTAATATTCATATAAAGCACCGCAAGTTCCAGGTGGCACATAGCCATTCTTATCTGGAGTAATGGTATGGCTGCATGTTGGTATGACTATTGTTATGGTCCTCTGGGGAATCTTAACTTGATCATCCGTAACTCCGGTGATGATATCGTAGATCGTCGTACTGAAATATATACCTGTAGGCGCAGCAGTTGGCGAAGGGGATATTGTAGTGTCGCGGGGAACAAGAGCTGGTGTATTTGTAGGAAGTACAATAAGTGCCAGGGCGCTACTTGCGAAGGGAACTAGGTTAAGAAGACGCATGATCTTTTCGAGGCGAGGGTTCAGGGGATAGCAGAGGCTGCAGAAAGTCGAGCTCGATGTTAAAGCTAGCGTCCCAGTTAAATAACTTGACAAAACGTTAGAAGTTTTTGATGTTGGTTCAGATGCTAAGAGCAGAGTATTGTACAAAATTATTGCTGCCCAGTGAACTGGCGATTGAAGCAATATATAACAACATTAAAGAGGCGGAATAAAACGAACCACTATACCTTTCGCAGTATCATAGCCTCATCTGAAATAAAACCCCCTGGTTTCGAGGCTTCCCCTATGTAGGAGTAGAGACGTCAAGAGGCCCCTTCGTACAAATGTTTTCTGTCGAGCATGACTAAGTTCGCTGTTGCCAAAATAATGGCCTCTGAGTGGCTGGCGCGCTATTATACAACTTTATGAAACTGGGGTTGTGCCTGGTTAAAGGCTCCCCTTGATCCCTGAAAATACGACCTGCCCAATGAAATAGACAGGATCGGCTTACATAAATGAGGCAAAGCTATATGACAACCACGACCACGACTTTATTTAGGATCATGTTTAATAGAAGTTTAAAAGATAAAACAATGGCTATTAAGGGGTATTCGCACCAGTTGTATTTCACAATGCGAGAGACTCACCAGGAGAAATCCGCAATCCGAAATCCAAAGTATATGTGGAATATATGCTCCTAGCGGGTATCTTTCAGAACGGCTTTGATTATCTCATCCCTGCCAACCTTCTAGTAAGTAAACAAGTGTATATGACAAGTTGAGCCTCTGGGCTCCGCAGGGTCAGCTCCTTGTGCTTGACTTTTTCTTTTGGAATTTGGGCACACCATTGCAGAAGAGTCAGACTGGAATGCTCCGGGCTATTCTCCACAACGCACTCTCCAAGCACCCTGAGCTCATTCCGTCAACCCTTCCAAATATCTACAACAACTGGAAGGATACTTATTTGAACGATAAACCAACCTTTGTGGAGATGAAAAGAGCATTGGAATTCTTCATGGAGAAAGCCTCACAATTTTTTAAGATATGCATCTTCATTGACGGCATAGACGAGTTGGCCGGTGAGCATAAGGAGTTAGCTCAGTTAGTTCGATCTCTCACCATAAGAAATGTCAAGGTCGTGGTATCCAGTCGGCCGATCAACCCAAGCGTCAAAGTCTTTCGGGGCTGTCCAACCTTGAGATTGCAAGATCTTACAAGACACGACATGGATCAGTACATTAGGGGAAATCTGGTTAATCACCAGGCTATGTGTCAAATGTCGAGATTTGACCCACAAGTAGCAGGAGGTCTGGTTTCGGAGATCAAATTGAAAGCTGAAGGTGTCTTTCTCTGGGTTCGCCTGGTTGTGCGACTTCTCGTAGACGGTCTCGAAGCTGGCGATTCGGTCATGGACTTGCAAAGGAAACTTCGTTCACTTCCCAGGGACCTGAAGGACTTGTACCGAAGAATGTTGTCGAAGATCCTTCCTGAGTATCAGGTACAAGCATCCGAAATGCTCCAGATGTTCCATGTCTGGAATACCTACACCTCACATCAACCACTCGGCGTCGTCAACTTTGCATTTGCTATGCATCCCTTAGATGAGGCGTTTCACCGCCCAGTTGCCCCTCTGAATTTGGATCAGTACATATGGCTGTATAACAGTACTGAAGCGCGAATTCAAAGCCGGTGCTGTGGTCTTCTCGAGGTTGGAAGAGACCGTGGTCCCACTAATGCTGCCTTGGATTGGGCCACTGGCGAAGACAATGATGGTTCAGCGGTGAGATATATGCATCGAACAGTTGCTGAATTCCTCGTCTCTAGCGAGGTATGGGAAGAGATGAGTAAAATGACACAACACTCTGGATTCAATCCCGCTTTGAATCTCTCATCAGTCTGTCTTTCCATGCTCAAGTCGGCGAGCAATATCACGATCACATCGGCATCGAAGAGAATGCTTAACAATTTGATCAACCTTCTTGGATCGTCTATTTGCTTTGATGGTCGAGTCTTGCCTGAGTATATGAAAGGTATGGGGCCATCGATGATAAAACATCAGGACCTCTTCAGTCATCTCTTGGGCGGAGAAGCCTCTCGGGACAAAGATTGGCTACAGAACTTCCGCTCCGATGTCGAGAAAGCTATCAGCAAACATAGCGCAGAACCATTCAAAGTATTGGACAAAAGGCGCCTCCTGGAGCCCCTCTTCGCAGTCCATAACACATCGAGTTCAATAGATCTTCATGGTTTGTGTCCTCTCCGGACAATACAGGCAATCCGAATGAAGGTCGCGCTGAGGGTGAAATTGAATTTTGGAATTCATATGCTCCTCCTTCCCATGCACCTCGCCAGTCTTCAGCCTCCTCACATGGATCTTTCACCACCCCGATTCAATTCCCAGATACCTGGAGGACTAACAGCCGTGCAATCCCGTATCAAGAAGCTACAGATCGATTGACAGATGGTTGACGAGCACTTGGAAGGTCTTGGTGACTTGCTTAGCGAAGGGAGGAAGATAACCCCCAGCTCCAAGCTTTTGCGGATGAAAAGGATGCAGTTTACTAGCCAACTGCCGCCAGAATATGGATTTGAGTAGTATTCTACCAACGTCCGCTACAGTAGACTTCAGGCACAAGGACGCACTATACGAATCAATCGTCACTGTCTCGCCAGAAGTTAGATAATAACCTACGAAGAAACAGATACATCCGACGTGATACAACTGACTAAAGGCAGAACAGCCAGTGTCGTGAAAACCGAGCAGCAAATAGTAGAATCTACCACATAAGTCAGACTCAACTTTTTATTTCGCTGGTTTTGTTTTAGTATCTAAAAATGAGCAGCTGCACCTTTAACCTAAGCCAGGAGTCAGCATTCCTGAGCATACACTAGGAGGCTATTTTAGTATACAGGGGGCCTCGGTTATATTTTCCTCGTCTTGTCTCTAAGCGTAGATCTAATTGTGGCTCTGAGCTGAGTAAGATTTCTACAGAACTATTTTTGGATCCACATTCGCATATATACACGTGATAAGAAACGACCCCTTAACGCCTCCTGGTAATTTTACACAGTATGATTTCGAGGATACACAGTTTCCTCTTTTTTGCTTTGGATCTTTGATGCTAGACTTTACTCGCATGCAAACCCCCCCCTCGCCCCCGCTTGCCCCCCATATTTAGTTCTACCTCCAAAAGGCAAGGGCCAAGCTGCATTCTATCTCCCTTTACGTATGAACTGTCGACACAATGACCTCAACAAAACATTCCCCAGCCCAAATTTTGGAGCCGTGTGTATTTCTACCTCAATTGTATTTCGACTTGCTGATCCGGCTGCAGGTGGTCAGACGAGCTCCTTAGACTGTTCTTACAATGTCGCAAAGCCACGATTCCTTCTTCAGATGCCAATGACCATTCAGCATTGGTCGCGCTCGCTGGAAAGTCAGCAGACTTACCTATCGTTCCTATGCCAGGGACCCCTTTATCAGTGCTAAATCTGTTAACCCTTTCCCACTTGGGCTTTTATCTGGGCAAAAAGCGCGGATTTCCATTAAATGCAAACTCTCGATGGCTTCGATACGCCCCGCCAGGAATGGGTAGAGTTAAGAGAGACGCAGTTTTGGATTTCGCCGCGAAGGAATATGTGGAAGTCATTAAAGCAGATGCTGCTGCGCTGCAGAAGTTTGATGAAGATATTGCTGAGACACTGAGAGAGGAAATCGTTATTTCAAGACACTCAGGGACAGACATATACAATGTCTATCTGCTAGATGACGATATACAGTAAGGTTTTCCCCATTTCGATACAAAGTTTTACCGGGCTGTTCTTCAATCGTATACTAAGAAGCGGGTACTTGGCAGGGTTCTCTATGAAACTTGGGGTATAAGGATAGATCCCAGGCAAAGTTCGGAAGAGGCATTAAGCTATGCTCAGGAGGTCGCAAGGTTTTTTTCAAAGGGGACTGCAGTATCAAACTGATGAGAAAATGGCTTGAAGCTTGTAGCTTGTAGCTCCCGATAAAGACATTCTAAATATAGCGTTTCAAAGCTGCAAACCTCTCTAAACCTCATGGGATAGCAATAAAGAATATGAGAAATCTTTTGTAAAACTGACATTTATCTTTTTCTTGGCGATACAGGATATCACAGGACAATGCTGCGCGATAATATTATTGACCGAAGATAGGCACAGCTATCCTAATCCTGGGAGAACTAATCAGGACCTACATTCCATTTACCGCAATCGGTTCTACAACTTGTGGATAGCCCAGAAATTGTGATACAATACAAACATACATCAACTACTGCTTTTTCGCAGTTATGAAATAAGAATACGAACCGCTTTCCCTGAGGAGTTGCTGCATTACGCCTGTCAGTAAGGACACTAGCTACCTGCCGAGGATTTGCCTATTCGTGCTTGCAAGTTGACATTAACCTAGGGTTTTTAATACACCCCGAGCTACCTGCCGAGGATTTGCCTATTTATACGTACAAGTTTGTATTAACCGAGGGATTAAGTCGACTTCTACTAGCTAAATCGGGAAAGGATTATAGTCTATATAAATTTTAAACTATATAAATTATAGACATGCTAACTTGCCGCGTACTTCCATCTCTATAGATACTTCGTCCCAGGAATGTTACCCCCCCGCTTCCCCGCACAGACATAAAGGCAGGGGTTCCTCTAACAGGAGCTCCCATAGAAATTCACCACTGGCACAACCGCCCGTGTCGGGGGCGTTATTATGCCTGGGACGAAGTAGCTTTGCTATGTTCTAGAGACGACGCGTACTGCGCTACCAAAGTCATATTTCGCCAGCTTATATCCCGAGGGAGTGGAGATAATAGTCGGCTTCCTTCAGACAATAATTAAACAGAACCCCCAACGCTAGCAGGGGGCTTTCTCCTCAAACTCCGCAATGGAAAGGCCTCAGCTGATATCATATGGAATTCTCCAAGCAGCACTAAACATTTAACCGGAATAGATCATGCCGAAGGCATAGGAAAGTATAAGGAAGTGCTTTTGTAATCTATATAACTTAGGGAAGTTTCTTAGACGGTCAGGTTCTACACCATCTCCTTCTCCGCAACCTTCGATCATTCCATTCGACACCCATTGTTTATACAACCCTACTTCCACAAGATGGAAAAAGGACAGGTGAATTACGAACATATCGACACGATTGGAGTCGAGACGCAGCAAGAGGACCGAGAGGTTACAAAATGGGAGGCAGTGGACAATCGCAAGGCTATTGCTTGGACGGCCTGGGCCATCTTTGTTCTGTGTCTCCAGGGGTTTGATAACCAAGCTGGAGGTATTGTCGTTGGTGTGAGGGAATTCCGAAAAGATTTTGGATACGAATTTGGCGGCGACTACGTCTTACCTGCAAAATGGCAATCTGCTTTTAGTGGCGGTCCAAATGCCAGCGCTGTGTTTGGCGCTCTATTCGCAGGCTGGCTCGGTGACCGTATGATTATCATCCTGCCCTTTCCATCCGAACATCAGATACTGACACAATTTCTATCAGTCATCGGTCGGAAATGGGCTATCTTCCTATTCCTCTGCAACTCCTTCATAGGCGTTGCGCTTGAATATATTTCAACTACGAATGCGGTTTTCTTCGCCGGTAAAATGCTTAACGGCCTCTCTCTTGGTGCATTCAACTGCCTCTGCGTTGCCTACGTCTCCGAAATCGCCCCTCATGTGCTCCGTGGAACTACGACCGCAATGTGCAATCTTTCTCTGTCTATTGGCCCCCTCATTTGCGTCATCCTCGGCGACGCTTACGGAGATCTACCAAATCGGTGGGCATATGTTAAGTCTCGAGATGTCAATTGATGATTTGTATACCGCTCGCTAACAGTTCTTCCTTTCCAGCGTGGGATATTCGTAGCTCAATGGGGATTCGCTGCTATTGCCATCATTTTCTGCCCATTCATTCCTGAGTCACCCTGGTGGCTCATTTCAACCGGGAAAATCGAAAAAGCAACAAAGTCTCTAGGTCGACTAGGAATGAACACTATCAGAGCCGAAAAGCAGGTCGCATACATCCAATACACCCAAATGAAAGCTAAGGAGGTTACTTCCGGGGTTTCTTTCCTCGAGTGCTTCCGGGGAACAAATCGTCGACGCACGTTTCTTACAATCGCACCCTTGACTATCCAAGCCTTATCTGGTGTCTCATTCATCTCTTTTTACGGCACTTATTACTTCCAACTCGCTGGAAATAGTGTCCACAGATCATTTCAGCTCTCGTGCGGCGCACAAGCTCTGTCGATTTCTGGTAATATCACCTCCTGGTTTCTTATCGACCGGATTGGCCGCCGACCCCTCATTTTCTGGGGCATGTGCAGTCTTACAGTTCTTCTACTCGTCACTGGTGGCCTTGCAACTAATGGAAGTCCCGGTGCTTTGACTGGAACGGTTGCCCTAATCTTGTTCTATAATTTTGTTTTCAACCTTGTCATTGGTGCTGTTGCTTACACCCTCATTGCCGAGATTCCGACAACGAATCTTCGAGGAAAATCGATTGCAATCTCACTTACTATTCAGCAAACTCTATACACAGTCCAGCTGTTTGTTCTGCCTTACATCTTTAACCCCGATCAGGCCAATCTTGGAGCCAAAACCAGTTTCATCTTTGGAGGACTTGCAGTCATCTGCTGCGCCTATTTGTGGTTCTGCTACCCAGAGACTGCTAATAGATCTTTCCAGGAGATTGAGGAGATGTTTTTCAATAAAGTCTCAGCACGAAAGTTCAAGACTTATGTGACCACCTCGCAAACAGAGCAGGCAGTCAAAGGTGTGGATGCGATTTAGTGCTGTAGATAGTCCTATGAAATCTGGCTTACCGTCATATTATTATTATTATCTAGAATCTTTTAACCCTTTCTCTGCAAATCCCAATTCTATATGTCCTCAATTCGTGACTGAAACAAATATTGTTGGGGTTTAGGATTAGGGAACTATCCGCTGAACCGCGGGTTCGCTCTGAGGGCGAGTTTGTGAACACTTAGATTTGGAGACTACCAAATCTCGGTTACGCGCCCGTGAAACATATATCCAAGCCCCCCGCGGCCCCGCGCAATCTCCAGAGCGTTGAACACAGAGAGAAGGGTATAAAAACAGGTTATCTAAGTAGGTAGGAGTGGAAGAAGGCCGCGGGGGAACGTGCTAGCGCTAGTAGGGTGTATGATTAGCTAATAAAAGTAGCAGTCGTAGGAGCGTTTTCAAGCATGTTCTTCGTCATCCTTCTCTTACTTCCATACTTATAGCAGCTGATCTATGTGGTGATATCGTATAACTTAGTATAGTCTGATTACTACAAGTCTAAAAATAGCTTCTTAATATTATAAAGAGACTTAGTAATCCATATGTAACCATTCTCTAAGGTTAAAAGGTGAAAAGTACTCGATAGTAGTACTATAGGTCAAAGAGTCTAATTGAACTATAAAAGTCTACTCTCTGCAAATCAGGTATATAATAATAATACAATGTAATTTTCAAAGTAACTAGGCTAGGAGTGTTATTGAAAGGCCAAATGATATATTTGATATAGAAAGTACGAGAAATTTTAAGGCGTTCAAAGATTTAGAGCCGCTTGAATTCAAAGTACCTGTTTCTTGTCTCGCGACATAGTGTGTCTCGCTACGCAGAGACGGACGTTAGTTCAAACTGAAACCGGTAGCAGTAACACTATGTCCATAGTGTAACGAAGCGGTAATCTTGGTGGTGGATTAAAGTGCAATGTTAGGGTGTGTAGTAAAGCAGGGACGCTGTCACTAATCAAGGTGTAGTTGCAAGTTACTAAGTACATATAAATATACTATACTTGAGACAAGCACGAAGCTTCTACCTAGTACGGAAATAACTGTTCTTATATAGATGCTTCGTAAAGGATAGATCAGGGCTGGATCATATACTCCTTATAAACCCTTATGATCCTAACTGAGCCTTCGTCATCCATCGCGTGACCTAGTCGCTTAATTCACTTACGAACGTTATTCGGACCACGCGTTCCTGTAAAGCCTCCTGCGAGTATACTGTAATCGAGAAGATGAGTCAGCATATCATGGAGGCTTCTGCCTCTATATAAGTCCTTCCATCGAAGGCATCCAACAGATAGCAAGGATAGACACCTTTCCTTTGAACAGCGTTCTTTGACTACACTTAATACAATAATGCCTACGTGGATCATATGACACACCGCTATATCTTGGGGATGCGGTATACTCTATGTCAGCACCTTAATAATACTACTGTAGTACTGCTTCTCACTCGGAGAGCCTCTAAGGTACTCCTGCTTAGCTTTCAGGTCAATTGGAGCACACTTTGAAGTCTAAGATTTTCGCTAACTTGACACTTTGCAACACGGACAATAATGCAAAGGGCTAAGTGTAAGATAGATAGATTTTAGATCTGGTCTTTTACAGAGATTGTTTCAAACTTGGCAGTCTTTCTAACTATAGCTGAGAGCTACTGTACCCTAGTACCATCAAGTACTTGGAGGAAGCGGCGTAGCAAAATCTCCATCAGTGTCGACCCAGGCATGACACTCGATGTTTTTGACATTCGTAAGCTTCGTGCCATATTCCGGAGCATACTGGATGTTGCAGCCACTATTGGTGACAACAACCTTGAATGGGCAATCTGCTGCACCTGTAGCATCCCTCGCGACCCAGGTGCACTCGCCACCACCCACTGGAAGAAAGATTTTGAAGTAATCCCCAAAGTCGGAGTTCCCGGTACAGGTGCATGTAGTGGTGTATGGTGAAGCGTCGACAGAATGGGCACATTGAGACCCGCTTGACATACAAGCACCCTGAGCGGCAACTAGCTTTGCTAGGACTGCAGAGGCAACGAGGAGGTTGAGCTTCATAGTGACTTTGGTTGTATCTATTGTCTCTCTATTAGCAATGATTCGGGTTTTATAAGTGCTTCTGAAAGCTTCTTACAGTATATACGGATTGACTGTAAAAGCTGTATTAGACATTGTTCATTCCCAATTCGTACAGGCTTAGAGAGGCTTACATATATTGATATCTTATGTTTTCGTTGACTGCGTTGACTGCGTTTTGAGAAAGATAGTACTAGTATTGAAAGTCAGTATCTATTTGTTATCAAGTTTCCTGTTGGATTTGGCCGGTTATATACCTCAGTATTGCTATGAGGTTATCTAGCTGTCTGTAAGGTCGAGAAGGATGGTCGATAGAGATAAGTCGTTCAAGAAAGTGATGACGAGATCTCTGCATACTTTTAGAGACAGATAGACCAGCTTTATAATATTCCTGGAAATATTAGACTTTGATATGCAATGCAACTAACAATACTCGGCCTCTGAAGACATTTGTAAATACCAGCCGGATTTTGTAAAACACGTGGGAATTCTGGCCAAACAGGCATTATTCCTCAATCTCTGCCAAGATATCGGCAGATCCTCCTCATAATAGCGCTAATACTTCGTATATACCCACTTTGAAAGCACGAAGAACGTATCATACATCCGCATTTGTAAATAAAATCTCGGACCGGTCGGATATTGTAGGAAAGATAGATTGGCCAAGTCAACAAGCGTGTCGGCCATCCTGATTAGTTTCGTCAGTGTCATCATCTGTTCCTGAGCACAAACGTGTTAGACCCTCTTATGATGTGCACAACCACAACGTGGGGTTTTAAGGGGCGTCGCATGAAGTGGAAGTATGCAGCTAAAATGCATCGCCTCGTAAGACTTCGACAGACTTACTCTCCCCCCCTTTAATAAAGAGCATTTATGGGTCAAATCCCTATAATACGTAGAAATCTATAGAACTAAATGGCTAGAGCCTTTGCTGGTAGCCCGTGCTAGCCCTAAAGGGTACTTGTAAGGTTCCACTAAGCTTATAGACGTAGTAATATCATTAGCTTAGCCCCCTTGAATTTACGGTAAAGAAAACCACAAATGCTCTTTATTAAAGGGGGGGGGGGGGGGCGGGGGGATAGAGATGGATCAATTTTCTACATACACACTCTTTAACCATAGCATATTATTATATGAATCATGTTACGATGAAACCATAAGTCAGATCCTAGCCTAGAGTTCGCGGTTGTGTTGTCCCTCCACAATGTCTGTCTGTCGCACAGTCGGTATGCAGATGAAGATTCTTGTTGAGGTGTAATTGGAAGTCCTCAGCCTTGCAGCAAGCCGTGGTTTAGTTGTGCATCGCTACGACCGCGCAAACTTGGCCAATCGTTAGCCAGCTACACATGGCCGGATGTACCAATTATTTGACTTTCTGCTGTTAATAGCTAAAACTCACCCTTCCTCATCTGGACTACGCAAAGACGGCTTCCCAGTGAACTGTCTTTGTGATTCTTGCCCGCACAACAAAGACCTTTCCATCACTACTGTCTCCTTTGTTCAGATGTTCAAGCTGTTTGAGATTCTGTCGATGATATCGTTTGGTCCAACTAAGAAACACTACGAGTAATTGGACCAAGCGACCCGACCGCTTTTACATCTCCCATCTGTTACCTCTTCTAAACAGTCATCTCCGTTGCAATTGATCGTTAAAACCTCACAACGTCATTTTCCTTGGTATATTGTCAGCTTAGTTCTGAGTAATCCGAACTTGCTTGATCGGGATATAGCGTGCAAATTACTAACTCATAGACCGGCGACTTTACTTGCTAATGTAAAGCTATGTTTTAGCATTCAGTTCCAGGTTTTCCAGGTATGGTATTATTCTCGATCGATCGATCGATCGTCCATTAAGCGTTTCGGGCGTATTCAATCAACTCCGTTCGCCTGCAGCGGAGAAGGAAACTTTGCTTGAAATTCAACAGGACCGTGGAATGGCATAGGAAGGTGCTACACCAAGTGGCATATCATAAAGTGTCCGAATGTGGTGGGGTTTTAGCGCCTGAAATTACCGTGACATGAGTCGCGTCCGTTTCACCGCCCATACGATTTGCGCTCGGAGCATATCCGGCCCTTCAATGCAGACTATCCTCGTGCAAAGTACTTCGTATCTTTCTCTACTTCTTATCAGCCATAACCTAGCTCTCTACATCTACGAGCCTTACACCTGACCCCAGGCCAAAGACGAATCTCTACTGATATGGCGTACTTTCAAAGAGTTGATCTACAAGCGGGAAAAGGCTTGGTAATTTGGTCTCACTTCATCAAGAAACAGACAGACATCTGTTCCAGTTCTTCCGCAACCTCAGCTTATATCAGACTCCCTGCCCTTGGTGTAGCTGCCTACACCGTGTAGGCAGCTGTCGATCTACTTGCCAAGGCAAATACATTCTTCGCATCTTTTCTGAATACGAATTCAGAAATGGACATGATTTACCGCCAAGGCTCTCCAGGCTTTATGCAGCTAGATGCTAACACTGAAGACAGCAGTAATCTAGTGTATCCCGAGTACTCCGGAAGTCAACTATATCAGACCTCAGGTGACTTAAGCTTACCACTGCAAGCTGGGTTAGTCTTTCCCGACTTTGACACTGGAAATGTGCATTATGTTACTGTGCCAAGAGGATCCTGGTACGCGAAGATGCGAATCGAGGTCTACCGCAGAGCAATGCTGCTGTCAAAATCGAAGTCCGCGCTATACGCTTTGTCGAGAACGTTCTCTCGTTTCGCACTCCACAGAGAATATTCTTGCTACACAGCCCGATGGCCCAGCTCCCGATCCAAGGCGAACCATCTAGGCGAAAGAGCGAGATGACAGAGACAGTGGCAACACTGGTTGGCAAGCAGGTTTGAACGCCAACATTAACTCGATTTTCCTTCAGTGTTCCAGCTCTTGAGGCGAGAAATCGCTGGAAGCCAGGCCAGTATGTAATTCTCGATTTCGAGAAAGAGTTGAGGGTTCACTCTGACACTAGAAGCCATGAGTACCACAAAAGGTGGGACAGCAAGTATGATCGGAAATTCACTATATCCTCGGGGCTTGACATCGAATCAGATTATAAGTAATAGGAGCTAACTATCCGGAATTTGGGTCTGGTAACTAAGCATCTATCCCAATACAACGACAAAACTTTGCTGGAGCTCCCACTAAAGGGCTTTGGGGGCAAGTTCTTCTTCCAACAAAATGAAGGGGAGTTTATCGGGTTTATCGCTGGAGGTGTAGGGATTACACCATTGTTGGCGCAGACGAACTGTCTTGATCTAGCTCGGAGGCAGATATGCTGGACTGTTAAAGCCAATCTTGGTTTGGTCCTTGATTCGTTTGACCGAGCGCCGGCATTGAACAGGCACACGAAGTTGTTTGCGATTGGTGACGTGGTCCCACAGACTGAGGACAATCTCCTTAAGCTCGAAGCTATGGACGTAATCCTGAAGAGGCGGAGAATTATGGCTGCGGATCTCCAGCTTGGTACTGCCAGAGGCAGTATGCCTAATAAATGGTATATTTGTACTGTAGCTGGTCTCCGAGGCACACTCTTGATTGGCTGAAAGGTTACCATGTTATTTTGGAGACCTTCAATTATTGAATATAGCTCTTTTGAACTTATGCTAAATGTTTACTTTGGGCCCGTCTCCTGATAAGTAAATGCGAGTGGATCAGATGGACCAAAATGGAGCAAGTGGGAGTGTTGGTTTCACAAGGTGTGTGCACTAGTGCTGGCCTAGATGTCGTTTCGTGGTTGCATTTCTAGGTGTAGAAGAGGTTCTAGCTAAGGTTGCGACGATGAGGTGAAAAGCCTCATCCATGCTTAGTCATAGAACTAATGGTCGGTACACGTGACATATATCCCAACATGTACAAACCATATAGAAAACTCTAGATCTCCATTCTTTTTTCAAAATTGTCTGAAGTTGACGTCCTAGTAAAACCATTAGTTGCGGTGTTTTCTTGTCGCTTTGAGCTCCCAAACACTTACTCGTAACTCGATAATAAAGGCCACAACCAGAACCAGGTCGGCAAGTGGCTTCTATGTACTCTCCCTCCTACTCCTACTCTTGAAGATGAGAATACATTTGCCTGGATCTCGCTCTAAACATCTATTCTGATTCCTGGCTTCAAGTATATCTTCCAATTATCTCTTCAGAGTCGAGTTCCGAGGTGTTTGAAGTGAATCATTGCACCGTGCCTCCTCTCCCGCTTTCGACGTGTCATTTTGAGCAATTCCAGCAAAGGACCCTGTATAAACTAAAACATATTAACGCTTAGAATCCGCGCTTCCGGAGGAGGGCGGCTCACATACATTTCTGGTACTCGTAGTTAACTCTTTACCAAGTTCTGGCTGCCCGTTGTCTCTCAAGCCGCCAGAAAAATCCTTTGCGTACGAGACAACTGTACTCATACATGCTGTAGGATCGCCATAGTCACCTTTAATGCCATATTCTATGTCCGTGACAAAATCTTGCAGCATTTTTATATCATACAGAGTGATACGAGGATTTTCGAGTTCATACCTATTAAGTGAAGGACTAAGTATTAGAAATGTCTCACTTTGGATCAATTTTGCCAGCATACGGCGATATCTCTTCAAAGTGTGGTCGGTAATTTTTTTTGACTCCTTTTAAAGTAGCAATAGTATCTTTACTGTTCTCAGAGCCATTTTCATAGGCTTTCTTGGAGAATCCTCAGGCAATTTGTGCTTTAGCATTGTGAAGAGTCAGGTAATAGTGAGGGTAGAGTAGACCGGATAAATGAATGAAGTGACGTGTGAGAAAAAGGAAATTAGAAATAGCATGGCTGTTGGGATAAGGGGCTGCGTCCCGACCTTCCTAGTCATGTAATTTAGCGTAGCTTACAGTAGTCAGCGAAGAGGCATCACCTCTTCGCGTCCACAACACCATACTAAATGTTAAGCATCATCAACCAGAAAACCCAGTATCAAGTCCTACTACGTAGTAGAGAAGTGATCACGTATCTGAACACCTGTGATACCAACACTGGCAGTTGAGTTGGGAAGGAGGAATGCAGACTGTGAATGGGATGGAGGCAGGGAGATGACTTATAGAAATCAGCAAGAAATACCTCTCTGTCGATAGGATGTTCATGTTCCACTGCCGAAGCAGAACTACACCACCCAAAGAGGTATGCAGTAAGTCCTTCTACGAACTGCAACAAAACATTTCAAACCTATGAGCATCAAACTCTAAGCCTGGAAGCGGAAGATGAACAACTGATATCGAGCTTCGGGGTGCACACCCAAACAGGCAACCTGCGAGTCTAATATTATGAAGTGCAACAAAAAGAAAGCATTTAGCTAATTATCTTCCTAGCCTAGACAACCCCTCCTCTTATCCCTGAGAAAGGTAACCTTTTTTTTTCTTTTCTTAAAAGACGAGCTGCAATCCCAAGTTGGCAACCCATGCGGGTATATGCATATTGCGACCCAATACGGTAATCTTTACGATATTGGTGCGAAAGGAGAAGGCGCACGGATAGACCCGCAATGACCGAAAGCGGCAATTCACATCTCGCAAGAACGCGACGTGCAACAGAATAACAGCTTTTGCCAGATGTAGAAGTAGACGCAGAGCAATCTTGCCATGATACTCGTACAGTATGATTTTTAGAGTCCATGTTGTTCTTCCCTTGGCTTGGCAGAGCCCGCAACTGCGCACATGCATCGCAACATGCGCCGAAAGAAGATAGCAATACGTAAGGATCCGACGTGCAATAAAATGCGCAAGCCGGCAGGTAGGAGAGGATTCGTTGTCTGAAACTAATGGTGACTAAACGAGGGAGTTTGCGAGATTGTAGGAGGAGGAATAAGCTTTCGATTCTCTCGCTATTGCTAATACAGCAAGAAAATATCCAAATGTGCGCCTTGTCTAATAAGCAAAGCAATGGAATTCTCCCTTCCAAATCAGATGTACTCACTCACATCAAACCATAACAGCCCGCCTATATAAATCGATCCGCTTCCTGCAGAGAGCTTCCTCGGTCGGCTAATTCAATATCCTAGACTCGCACTTCTGAGAAGAAGAGACTAGGAATAAATACGCCGTGCAGCCTGCTCGCAAAGCCAAGACCTCAAAGCCAGACCCTAGCAAAGCCGATAGATATGCAAACCAAGGCCGTCCAGCTCCACGAAACCCACACCCCAAAACCCAAAACCCAAAACCTAAAATATGAACCTCAACCTACCTAGTCCTGCAATAAGAAACAAAAGCACAACTAACCACAGCCGGACTGCAGCCGCGCTAAAGCAACTCCCAGTCAAACCCCTCCCTACCACCCCCAATATACCCACCTATACATACATACCACAACCAAACCGCACCTCAATCAAAGCTTACCTAGCTAGTCCAGACCCTGCGCCTCCGACATACGTGCAACAAAACGTTCACTTCCAATACCGTACTCGAGTAACAGGGTAGTAGGGCAAGAACCAAGATGTAGATGGATGATATGGTGGGCGGGGAATGAGGGAGGGAGGAGAGAGGAGGGAAGGAAGATCTATTTATGTATCCGGAATATGTACTGTACTAAGAGCTATCGATCTATATCTATATCTCGATAATAAACCGCGAGCGAGGTTTCAATTATCCGAACCAGAGAAAATCTTCATATACAGTACCCAAACCTCTTCAACCTAACATCTTCGACCCAACCCAAACACCTTCGACTTCGACCCAGCTTACGCCATGCAACCCCCCGCGCCCCCAATCACGACACCAAGATACTTCTCATCGCGTCCAGTCTAGTCTAGTTCATGAAGAAATTCGTCATGGCATTACTTCGAGACAAGTCCAACCCACTCACTCACACTCACCCATCCCAACTCTCCTTACTTTCTCACCTCCCTACTAATCAAGCTCACCACAACAACAGCACTCACCTCGACATATAGTAATCCACGACAACTCGCTCGCTCGCAAGCAAGCAAGCATGTAGTAATCAATGTAATCAATCACCCTGTATTAGGTATCTAACGAGCGTACAGTACGTAGGTAGGTATGTATATAGCTAGACAACACAACAACACAACACAACACAGAAGCATGTGCATATACAAAAACAAAAACGAATACAAAAACCCTTGCTTCCTCCCAGCTTTTAACGCCAGTATACCGTGCATACCCAACAAAACGCCACCCGCACCAAATCAAACATCACAATTCAGTTTCATCTTTCGCACTACCGCTCTATAGATAGATAAGTTAGTACTTGTTTTGAAGATTGATGGGAGGAGATAGGATAGGATGGATGACTTACCTCCCAGACCTCGAACCCCTCATCGGCTTTCTCGATTGGTTCAAGTAACATGGCCTTAGGCGCAACTTCAAAGTCATCTTTTCGCATCAACGCCTCGACATCAACCTGCACCTCTTTGCCCTTCCCCTTGCCATCAACTTCAGGAGTGAAATCAAACGTCCCAGGAGCTTCAGTCTCGCATCCCTCGCGTCCTTCCTCTTCCGCAGCCTCGTCAGAAGCAATGATGAACACCGACTCCCCATCACAACCCTCAGCGTAAAATTCCTCAGCAGCGAGATCTCCCAGCGGCGAACGATCAATGTTAATAGCCCCCTCGGCCACCGCACGACGTGCCCGGATCCTTGCCTTGATATCATTCATCGAGTCTTCCACCGCATCTACGGAAGTGAGCTGCGACCGCGTCTGTGAGATATCGTCCAATGGCGGCACATTCTCCTTCCCCCGCTCATCTTTCAAGCGAGCAGCTGACTCCTCATCCGAACTAATGTCAAGCGTGCACGTAGAATGCTCCATCAGATTCGTCGCCAGCTCCTCAGCCGTATCCTCATGGATGTCAAAGAACCAGCTATCCTTGACTTCAGGCTCATGCAGCGTGTCCGGCACAGCTTTCGCTTGCCGGGACTTGTAGGAGGGAATGGTGCCGCTGAGCGCGGCATCGATGCTAAATCCTAGTCCTCCTGAACCAGCAGGAGTGGTTGCGAATTTAGGAGGCTCGACCCTTGTAAAGGGTGCTGTTGTGCGGCGTCTGTTCAAGATACCGATGCGCTTTCGCGTTGGGGAACGCCCGGCGGGTGCGGATAGTGGGGTGGATTTGGAGATGGAGGTGTTTACTCGTGGAGCTGGAGAGCGAGCGGCGAGGATTGGACGACGGGGAGAGGTGGTGGGTTTTAGACAGGAGAAATCGTTGGGGGGAGGGGGGTCTTTGGTTAGGAAGAAGTTGGTGGGTTTTTGGAGGGTGTCTTTGCTGCTGCTACCGTCGGGGTTCTTGGAGCGTTTGGGGGAGAAGATGATGGGATCGATGTTCTCGGAATTGTCATCTTCGAAAGTTTGGACCTTGCGCTTAGTGGGGGAGGTGAGGGTTGTTGGAAGAGCTGGGGTTTTGTTACTCATTGTGGTGGGGAAGGGGGACGAGAAAAGAGGGGAGGTATTGTGTAGGTGGTGGTGGAAGCATAAGCATACCATTCTGACGGTTCTTGAGACTTGTGAGGTTCTGGAGACGGGAGCCATTGAGAGGGGCAAAGGGTTGCCTCGTAGCTGCATTGTAGTTGCCATGGTGGAGGCGGTGTGGTGGTGGTGGTGATGGTGGTGATGGTTCTTAATTCAGAATCAATTGACTTTCTTAACCAAAGCTTGAAGATAGTCAATCAATCAATCAATCAATCAACAAAACAATTATCGAAAGACCCTTTGCTTCTTTCAATCGCGTGTTGTTGTATTGATTGAATTAATTGTAGTATCAATGTTGTTGTTGTTGATATGGACCTGATCCTCCTAATTTGCTTGCCTAAGAACGAACAAACACAGAATTAGAAGTCAGTCGATTTGGGGGGGCAGACGGGGGATATATTGCCACACACACAGACGGATCTCCCTCAGCAGTCTCTCCTCTCCAGTAGCGGTTGGCTGAGCCTTCCTTTCCGAGTTACAGTGCAGTGCAGTGTGTTCCAAGATTCCTTCGTCCTCGCAGTAGCGGCCTCTGCTCTTTTCGCGAATGGACGTGTTTGCACGCGTTTTCTTCCAATCGGACCCTGTGCACTCGGTCGCCAGGTCTCAGCCGGAAAGTGCAGATCAGGTAGGGCAGGGCAGGGGGAAACAGAGGCTGTTCATGGGAGAGGATGTGCAGCATATGATTCGACAAGATGGGCGGTTGTGGAGGCAGTGGAGGCAGGGGGGAAAGTGTTCCATCTGCTTTCAGACCCGCCCGTCGTCAATGCGGCTAGGGCCAACACGTCGACGCGGGTATAAAAGGGGGCGTGTTCCTCGACGTGAGTTCGTGTTTTCCCGTGGAAGCCTTCATAAGGTCTGCATTATTGCTGCATATAGTCTTCTGATTAAAGGTTGGGGATTGCTTCAGATGCATAGCTTCCCTTCCCTCAGCATTCTTTCTTCACGCGCTCGCTTCACGTCTATACTCGTAGACATGCGCGTTCATACCGTAGGTACCTTGGATAGGTGAGACTTCTACTCGATATTCTCTTCCTCGTCTCTTCACGCGCTGCCTCGCGGCTTCACATCAAGCGACCAGCTTCAAACTATTCATGCTTCTCATTCAACGCGAAGATGATACCAAGCATCCGCGTTCTTATTCTACTTCTGTTTCTTCAAAGCTCTTCCACTCATCCACCTACACTCATTCTAATCTCGGCCGTCTTTCCATTTCCCTCACTCCAGGATCAAGGCTCAGAGGAACGAGGCTCAAATCAGGAACTTCTATCCATCTCTTAAGAAAAAATTACATCCTCAATTAATTACCTATCCCATCACCCATCACCCATCATCCATCATCCATCATCCATCCAGCAATTCCCCTTAAACACCCACCTACCTACCTACCTATTTCACC